TTTCCGTCATTTTTACACACAGCTATAAGCAAATATTTACAAGTAGTCATTAAATGACGAGACATAGAATGGAACACTGCATTCAATACAAACAGAGATAGTCTCTAAACAGAGATACAAAGATATGTTCACACATTGTCAAGTAGCGGAACGAAATGGCAAATATGCTAAAACAAGAATTGAAAAGAGAATGGAAGACCTCAACGGCCGTAATTGAAAGATATGAACGTAAAGTACGCCCCTGACAGACGTGCCTGACAATTGACTGTTGCAATTTGCGACATAGAAATAGACAGAAAAAAAAATATATAAATAAAAATAAAAAAAACATTAAAATACTATTGTAGAAAATGGGTAAAATAAACTGCGTTTGTTTTTTACGACTCGAGCGTTTTGTCCACATACATTTCGTACTTATTTGCATGCCTGACAGATAACTCATTTGGGATCTACTGCACTGGGGGAACTTTTTCAGATTGAATTATTTTAGAAAGTTTAGTTGGGTATTTATGTATTTTGTATTTTTGTAGGAGTATAACTTACCTCATAACCAAATGTGATGGCCATAACAGTGATCAAGAAACCAAATAGGAACTCCAGTTTACGCAAACCGTACTTATCCAGAAATAGGAACGTAAATGTGTCGACAATGGTGATAAGTACGCCTCCCCATAAAGGTACACTACAATGGGAATTACAAAATCGATATATCATTCGACATTTGATAAAGTCTAGATAAACAAACGTACACTTTATTGGACAGCAAATATATGGCAATGGCTGTGCCTATGACCTCTTGCATGTCCGAGCCAATAATGGCAATCTCTATCATTATCCAGAGTATCCAACGTGGTAAACGCTTGTATTGTCTGTAGCACATCTCCGCCAAATGCAGACCAGTGACAACGCCCAGCCTAGTAACGTTAATGAAATAATTATTGTATATACTCCACATATAGTTCGAATTGTAATACACTCTTACCTTGCGGCCAAGCGTTGCATGAGCAGACCCAAAACTGTGGCCCATAATAGCACCCAGAGTATTTTATATTTGGCTGCGGCGCCCGATTGCAAATCAGATTCAATATTGCCCGGATCTAGATACGCAATGGACATGAGAAAACCGGGGCCAGTGAAGGCCCACAGCTTGCGAAAACTGAAACCGATCTGTGTGTGAAAATAAGACATATTAATATCAACATAGTTCAACATATCAAATATAGTTCGACTAGAACATACCCTGTACCCCATAAAAATTACATACTATAAAATTGAACTTTCTCTCTTACAAAATCGATATGCAGACATTCGATATTTATCAGTTACATAATATTATTATTTTTGAATACAGTGTAAATATGTTCTTTCTTTTTTACTCACATTTGTGCGGTCATCGTCGGGTATGAGCACCTTCTCATCGCTGAAGTAGGCCTGCTTCGAGGCCTTCAGATATGTATTCTCATTCAGTATCTGCTGATGCAGTTGCGTACTGGTTGCCGCTGCGGCACTTGCAGCACTTCCATGGCTGCCACGCGCACCCGAGCTTGAGGACTGTTCATCACCAGCGGACCCACCGCCTGGCTCTATTTTATTGTGATAGCCCTCGTTTGAAGACATGCTGCAACAGTATTGAGAAAACATAAAATATTTAAATTGATTATTTACTGTATTTTATTTACTTAACACTTGTGCGTGACAAGTTCAATTAGTGGCCCTGATCAAGCAGAAAATTACAAAATGCGTCCAGATAAATTATAGTTTTCTGTATTTGTTTACATTTCAGCACGTGACGCTTCGCAGACAGCTCTGCAATTTGAATACTCAAATAAATAATATTTATATACAATTTATTTGCTAACATAAGCAAATAAAAAAGTTGCCTGAAATTAACATTGCTTTCATATAATTCGCACATACTAATTTTATTGTGCAATTTCCCTCTGTACTTCGCCATTTATATTATCAAAATCTGAATAACAAACAAATAGAAAATTAACGAATGCCATAATTTTGTTATTATCTGCATTTGAAACATATGAGACACAAATAGAATGAGATGACGGAAAAAGTAATGACCAAGTAATAAAGAAGTCGGAGCTGCTGAACAGCGTCGACTAGGAAATACCCTCTATGCTATCTCCGAACACTAAAAAACTTACTTTAAATATATTTCTATTTATTGCTAAGATATACTATTTGAATCAGACGTTGGATTAGCTGATATAGATAAGACTACATAATAATTACTAAATCAGCATTTGGTCATCACCTTTATTAAAATTCTGATATTAAATGAAGTATATCAACATGTTCATCTATATTGCATAGCAGTATGTGTATGGAATGATCTTCCACAGCAGCAAAGCTTCATTGTAAGAACGCATAAGGAAACTAAAAATATTTTGCGTCTGTTCCGCCTCAATTAGATTATTGAAGTTTTTAAATGTTGATTGATAAGAATTTTGAGTAAACACTTAAGCACAATCAGTAAATAAATTCGAGAATTGTTTTTATTGTTATAATTAATAACGAAATTGTATATGAATAAGACAATAAACAGATAAAAGAAATTTGCGAAACTCTTTCTTAGGGTATTTTTGGCCCTTATTCCTGCTGTTTTCTCCGATAATTCGAAAAATCTTTATATCAACAATAACAAAAGTAAAACATACCAACACGACTATGGTTACCTGTAGCACAGGTTGCACAGGTTAATAACCTGCTAAAAAAAACAAATATGTTACATACACTTAATACATCGTTTTCTTTTTTTTTTTTTTTTTCAATTTAAAAAGTTGATGCATAAGTTTTATCGCTGATTTTGCGGCTTCAAAGCAAGCACACAGACATTTTATGGCCGAGCTCAGCACATCTTGAACATTTGTGTATTTATAAATGTATATCAATATGTAGGTGCCGCGGGCAAGTATAGAGGTAGTTGGAAACACGAGGTGTTGTCTGGTTCACCTTGACAAAACGTTGCGCCGCTGTTACGGCTGCTGCTGCCTTCCACATCGCTTCATCGAATCGTTGAATTGTCTAATTATGTTTGGCGCCAATTTAAGACCTCGGCTGCTCACTCAATTGAGTAAAGGATTTTCATTTTATGGTGAATTGTCACAATTTCATCCGTTAAGTTCAGTGGAACACATATGTTTTGTCTGTCTCTATACAATATTGTTTATACAGTTGGCGAAGCAGATACGATTGCCAGTTATCAAATCAACTTGGGTTCATAAATACCGATAAGTGTATCAACAAACTTGAACCTATGCATAATAGTCACTTGTAAATCAACTAACAAGCTTTCAACAATTTGAGACATATTTAAATATAATACAATAATAAATATAATACCATACTTTCTATTTTTGTACATTTCAAATATATATTTTGGTTACCATTTCTTTGTGTTTTAAACTAAAATGTTTACTTATATGTGTTTACATATGTGTATAAATATTGAAATGTATATATAAAGCATGTCATCCTATTTAAACATCGTATTTATATTAAATAAATAACATTTAATTAAAAAAAAAAAAGAGTTAGAGAATTATTAGTTAACAATTATTAATGAAATTTTTTTAATAATATTTTTTTTTTTATTCTAGTCATATTTAATTATTGATTGACAATTTCCTGCACCAGACAACAATAGTAGCTAAAAAGCTGAATTAAATCATTTTTAAATTCACATATTCATTCGCATACCGTAATGATTGCGTTCATTTTATACACTTGGGAATTTGTCCTATTGTTCAGGTATGATATTTCAGATTAGAGCAATGCTTATCAACATAATAAATTATTAAACAGCCCCAAACAGGCGAAGGCCTGGTAACTGCTACGCAGCCACAGCACATGCTAAATACGATATCAGTTAACGCACCTTAAATACCCTCTACGAGATGCAATCCCTGAAGACAGCTTGTAGACTTACTTTCTTTACATGAAATGGCTACACTTTGTGAGTGAAAATAACTAACTTTTGTAAGGGAATTTAAGCTGGAACTCTCTCCTAATTGAACTTCCACTATCTTCTCGCGCTGTAACATCTCTTTCTTTTTAACTCTAGTTAGCCGGTGTATGCGTGTTTTTTAAAAGTGCTCTTTGAACAGTTGTCATCACCGTTGCACTCACACAGAGGCACATTAAACCAACATGTGTAAGTAACCAAATTAAAAAAAATAAAAAAACACTTGCAAAAGTCATAAGATGTGAACAAGTAGCAAGTAGCAAATGGGATATTCTTAAATAACCTCTAACATGGTATGCAAAAAAAAAAAAAAAAAAAAAAAAAAATTATTAAGAAACAATTTACTTTAGCAACACATACTTGCGACAGCTTGACGATTTGTAGGCGGCAGAAAAGATTATACTATTAACAACTACACTGCGTCGTTTTAGATTATTTGTATTAGTAAATAAATGCAGTTGCTAATTTAACACAGAGCCGCAAAGCGAACAAACTAGTAGTTTAATTCTCAGCAATACATAGCCGATTGTACGTAATTCTCTTTGTGTGTTGGAACCAATTACAAGTTCGGTGACGTTGACCGTTTGTTGTTCGGCTCAGCTTGTGGAACGATTTGCCAGCGTCAAAACTTGAGTAGCGTCTGCCACTCAACAATTGTTAATTTTGCGAGAGTTATATTCAATCAATCGTACGCGCAACATAAACAACTCGACTTTTTGTTTGCTTTAATTATATTTCATATATATGTATTTTTTCTTTGTTTTCTTTTAATTTATGTTGAGCAATATTGTCATTGTTGATTCTTCCTTCACGCACCCACTACTTTATTTTTCATTCGCACTTACGGTTAGGCTATTTACACAAAAAATATCAGCTGTTCACACGTTGAAGAAATTCGACTCAATCAGCGATATGTGCTATCAATAAATATATCGATACATCGATTTATGTAGTCCAAGCGAGCAGCCGTGTGCATTAACCGTCGTGAGCTCCGTCGTCGTCGTTTGACGTCGAGTGACTGACTGCCGAAGTTAGCAATTGCCTCTTTATATATATATATACATATGTGTAAAATATACATACATAGTATACTGAGCGCAATTCCACCAAAGAGACTGATTACGAGCGTATGCATGTGTGAGAGAGCAAGTCCGTCGCGTCCGATAGGGGAATTTCAGATTGGTGACTTTCTTCACGCTCCTCAGGAAAGGATTCGCATAGACAAACTGCATTCGACATTACATACATTGTACTTATCAATATTTACAATGTTTTACAAGATCCTATGCGAATTGTGGGATTGCTTTGAAGTATTTACTGATAGCGGTATATTTGTAACGGAATGCTTGCTGGAACACTAAGCGGGCTTAACAATACATGTTGCTTGTCTCTCTCCAAGTCTATATTTAAATGTACGTATATATTATATCTGGGTTGCCTGGAATCATTTTGACAGACAATTCATACTGATAGCAAGAAACGTTTTTTGATGCACGCACTTGTTATCATAATCCCCCTCAACATCTAACAGTTGTTTGATCAAATCCATATCAATAATAATGTAGTTTATCAAAGTTCCATTTAAATTATATATAATCGTAAATATTGTGTCACAGATATACCTGCTATATAAGTAAGTACCTGCTATATAAGTATATACAACTCGACTTTTGTTTCTATGCATGTAGCCTATAAGTTTGTATGTAGAATGTAAAAGAACCCCATTTAATTCATTCAGTCACATGCTTCTTTGTCCAGATATGATTCACTCTTTTCACAACTGATGAAACCCGTATCATGCCGATATACAAATGAATGAAAAATATACATAGTAAGTGTTGACACCCATATCGTATCCTACTTCGTGATAGCTCTATAATAAATATGTGATATGAATTCAAAAATTATAATAATTAAACAAGTTTAAGTTTTAAAATAGTATTTTTTAAGTTACTAATAAACTTTATTTTGCGTTATTTTATTAATAAAACAGACTTTTTCTTGTCTAACATTCATAAAACATTCATAAACTTTATACAAGTGAGCATACTTTTGACACATTTACTTAAACATTTCAGACATGTTCCAAAACACATACAATTACATTTATTTAAAAATTTGAACAATTTAAAATAAAACAGCTTCTGCTAGTAGTATAAAAAGACTATAAATAATTATGGTTTTAGCATATTTTTTCAAAAATACGCACAAAAATACAGAAGAATGTAAATAAACATGTTAAACATTTTTAAAAATCGATTATGAATGTTGATAAATAATAAATATATATATATATATATATATATATATATATATATAAATATATATATAATGGAATATATATTGCATGTGACATGAAAGAGCGTTGCTCAAACCCGAAAAGTTACAAAAATGAAAAGTTACAATAATTTGTTAATTCAATCAACCTCTCTAAGTTGCAAGTGGAAACATGAGTTTTTATATTGTAAATTATGACTCAGTAGTTTGATTCAACATGGGTTCTTCGCTGCATTAAATATTTAGTGTATAATTTGATTTTGTTCCTGATAATAATTTCAAATGGAAGTATTTGCTGATTAGGAGCTTTGATTAATAACTTGCACATAGTTGGCAGGAAAGAGGCCGTAACGGTTCTTGCACAGGCCACGCCACCAGCCATCATCGATCTTCTCAATGTGCGTAACCACATCGTCGGGATCGAAAGATATCTCGTCATCATCAGCTGCCTGGTAATCATATAATGCAATTGCATGTATGCCAGTATCCTCCAAATAGTCCGCCAAATTATCAGAGTTTGCGTAGATGGCCTCCTCCGATGTGCCATTAGCTGCAGCCGCTGAGGCTGCTTCTGGTATTGGCGATTGAGCAGCTGGCAATGGGGACACAGATTTCAACTCTGCCTGGTTTTGATAAAGCGGCTCCTGCTCCAGCTCCGCCTGCGGCTCTGGCTGGGATTGCACCTGTACCGGCGGTTGCGAGTGTGGCTCGGGTGTTTGCTCCACAGCTGCGACGTGAGCTGGCGATTGGGGCTCGCTTGATGGTGGCGTGGCGACAGTCTCTATCTCAATTTGGGGCACCACATCTGGTGGTGGTGCAGAAACTTTCGGCTCGGCTGCAGCCGGAACCTCTTTAGCAACAGCAGCTATCGGAGCCGCTGGCTGCTCAGCCACGGAAGGCTTTGCTGACTCCACGGGCGCCGGCTCCTTCGGTATGACAATTGGTTCTTTTCGTGCCGGCGGCGTTTCAGCTATCGGCGACTGCATTTGATTAAATGCGCTGATGGCATTGCCAATACCACCGGAACGTCCCGTCTGTATAGCTGTGCGACTGCCCTTGACCGGCGGCGTACGTGCCTCTTCGGCAGATGGTAGTGGCGTGTTTTCGACAACCGTTTGCTTGGCTGCTTCCTCGCGGTCTCGCTTGTCCTTAGCTTCGCGCAAACGCTTCTGCTCTTCGGCACGTTTGCGTGACTCCTCCTCAGAGTTTTTCGCCAAGTTCTCAAATTTGGCACGTAAGTTTGAGGGCTTCGCACCCTCAATAATGGGCTTGACTTTATGATCCACTTGGCTACCGTGCTTTTGTGGCGCCTCAATGTGATCCCAACCGACGGCAGACTTATCCTTGCGATCCTCCTGTACGCCGAACTTACCACCAAAGCCCTTAGAGTAGTCTGAAATGGATAAGTCAGTAAGTTTTAACAAAAATTAACAAAAACTTACCTTTCTGCGACTCGTGCTTCTCAACCTTTTCGATATGATCCCAGCCCAATGCCGATTTATCCTTGCGATCCTCCTGCACGCCAAACTTTCCGCCAAAGCCCTTGGAGTAATCTGCAAAAAGCGCATAGCTATAATATATGTTATATAGTTTAGTTCTAACAATGTACCCTTTTGGGATTCGTGTTTTTCCACTTTTTCGATATGATCCCAACCCACGGCAGATTTGTCCACGCGATTTGTTTGCACGCCGTATTTACCACCGAAACCTTCGCTGTAGTCCACCTGTGACGCGTGCTTGTCTACTTTGCCCTGATAATCATGGCCTACCGCCGACTTGTCCATGCGATCCTTCTCAACGCCAAATTTACCGCCGTATCCATAGCCAGCATTTTGATCCTTTAGCAATTGTTTCTTCTTATTCAAATCCGACTTCTCCGTCTCCTCGCGCAGTTTGTTCATGCTATTGAGTTTCATTTTTAATGTTAATATCAAGATTTTTTAATGGTGCAATGACCTAAATATAAATGACTCACTCAATGGCGCCGCCTCCGTCGCGTCCGCTGCCATCAATTGTTTTGGAGCCCCATCTTTGCTCTTGCTCGCTGACATCGTTTACAAAATCAGGATCCGTTTCCCAGTCATCGTCTTCGGCGGCGCTAGTTGCCTGTATTTGATGACCGGCAGTTGCTTTCCACATAATGGCTACTTCTTATCTACATTCAACGTTGGCACCAAAGATAAAAACAATGACAGGTTTTTTCTTCGAAAAATAATTATAGTGTAGGGAGGGGCTGGTTCTGTGGAATTTGAATGGCAGCCTTTCTACATGTAACTTACATGTGTTAAGTATATTAAAAGGGTTGCACGGCAGCTAGCCAATTTTTAAACACTTAAATTAGAAAAACTAAAGCTTTAAACAATTAATTTAAATGCAATGCCCTAAACGAAAGAGCTATTGTTAATGAACCGGCTGATTAATCGAACTTGAGAAATCGATTTCTTTTCGCTCATGTGAACTACATCGCCCATCGCAGTCAGTGTTGAACAGCGATATAATACAAATTGCGCGGTAACGGTTTAAATGACCACGAATAAAATATTCTCAAAAATATTATTTTTTCAGTACACAACACATTATTACAAAATATTTTTTATTCTTCTACTGATAAGATCATTATCAGTCACTTTCAGCTTCCACTCTTTCGAATCACGCATTGCTGTTTCACGTAATTTAAGTTATTTGCTATATACATTTATATTATTATATCTGCATATACATTTGTATGAGTCGGAAGCTTAGATCTAAAATAGCAAGAGCGGACGAATTCTAACAAGATAAGTCATACATCTGCAAACATACATGCAAATATACCTACAATACAATCCTATGTATAATTAAGAGAACTTTTAATTATAATGTCATGACGTAATTATGGGTCTGCGATTCGCTCTTCCCTTTTTAACTCTCTTAAACTTTTACTGCGAGAAAATTACCAGGGCTCCTCAAATAGGAAAACTACTTATTGATTCACTTTTAATTATTATTATAATTATTTTATAATTTAAAAAAAAAAATATCTATTTGCTTATTTTGCATTGAGAAATCCATCTTAATTTAAAAGAGCAACTAAATAAACGATAATCAAAAGCTCCATTCTGTACGGCCCTGACCACACCAACACTATTACAGTACCGTTACGCTCTTTGCAATTACTCTCAGATCCGATTCGCCGGTTATTGCAGCGCATATAAAACCAGCTGAGCACCGAGCAGCGAGTTCAGTATTTATTTCACATCGCTAAGAGTTCGCAACGCTTAACGGACCACACTTTGTACGTTTGAGAATATCACTTGGTAAATTTTTTGCATTCTTCTCTAGTTACTATTTTGTTTATTTTCACTGTGTCTTTTTATACATACATATATAAATTTATATGCATGCATGTACATATACATACACGTAAATGTCACACTGTCGTCTCTCCTAAGGTTGAAGTGAACAAGAAATTCAAGTGAAAAGTAATTAAGAGTGCAAACAAAGTGTATAAATACAATGTTTTTAGCATTATAATAATTTTTGGGCGCGGCAGATGAGAAGTTTTCAAAATATGTATAGACTACATATATGTATATGCCATAAATAAAATAATTGTATTATTTTCAATAATACAAATAAACATACAAACGTATATAAACATAGGAATATACTTTTACAACGAATTTACATGTGGGTGTATGTGTACATATAAATTTGGTAGACTGATTTGGATAAAAAAAGATGACATCATCAAGTGTTCAACTGAAGCTGCCCGAACTTTAGCGTTTTGAAGCTCTCTTAGCACGAGCTCTCTTTCGCGCTCTCTCTCTCTCTCTCTGTAGGTCTCAGTATGTCTGCTCATTCGCAGACGCGTGTGACTTTTCCATAATATGTACGTATATATGTGTGTACTTGATAGACGTTTCACTGGCAAATTATAATTGAATTTATCTACTTAGAGCTTCCATCTTTTTTCTGCTATCTTCAGTGGCAATCAAGTCAAGTGCTTTTAGCGAAGCTGCTCTGACCACAGTAAAACCTTTGCACATGTATAGCGCAAAAGCATTTCGTACGAAACATACACATTTGATATAATTGCATGCATTTATAAGGTGCGTCATCAAGGCTTAAAGCAAAACTGTTAGCAGAAAAATGTAACAAATTAAAACAGAAAAAAAAAATAATAATAATAGCTTCAAAGGTACAGTCAGTCAGTCACAACACAATTTTATAAGCTAAATTTATTCACACATTTTCTACCAGGTCACGAGGTTTTAACTGCTACATAAAGAAATAAAAAAAAACTATATGTTGCAGAAATAAGTGAAAAAATAACGCTAAACATTGCAGTACGTAAACAACTTTCCAGATCATTCAGTTCCAGTCTTATGCTCTGTTTGCGAAGCACTTCGCCCGCACAACGAGCCACGTTTGACGTCACAGTAAGGCGCGCTTGCCAATCAGCCCATGCCCATTATGATTCACGAACGCAGTCTCAATGAGATGAATTGTGATCATATGAATGTACGACTATTAATAACTATATAATTAGAATTCAATCCATACAGCTAACTCAGATACATATTTGTGAAAATGCCTAGAATGAGACATCAGCGTTGTTATTACGCATTCCAAACAACTTTCCCAACTATTCCAAGACATTTTTTGTTTTTTTGTTTATGATGCGTGTTCCACAATAGCATGCTAATTTATAGCTCAAAAGAGAAACAGACAAACAAATGTTTACATGTATGTGTGAGTGCGTGTCTGTCGTGCATGTAAAACTAAATTTGAACCGGTTCCAGCGCCAACGTTTGGAAACAGACAAAATATTTTTTTCTTTATTTGTAGCTGTGAAGAGGCGTAGTTGTAGTTGTAGTGATTTTTGAACACTGCCACGTCATTTTTTTTTTTCTCTTTTGGTATTGTTGATTTTCCACGCTTGCAACTTGAGCAGACGATTCTTTTATGACCTGTAATCTATCAATTACTTGGTCATATAGAATGCAGTTACTCTCTATGTTTAAATTTAGAGCGACAAAAGTATTTTATTGTGATAAAAATCGACAAGTAAAATAGAATATGGAATATTTTCAGCATGTTTTATAGCATACAAAGAATGAGCTCATCCGAGCTCCCGGTTGGTTTGGTATCCATAACAGACGTACTTTTACACATACGCAACGTTGACTGCACCCACAAATGTTAAAGTTATCAACTAACGCTAGGCCCAGGCCATTTTTTTGTATTAAAACTTTCACTCTAACTTTGTTCGTTGACCTCTATAAAAAGTAGCTGCATAGGAAAGCAAAAGCATGTCGATTTTTTTGTGGCGCCACAAATACTGCGAGGCGTATGCGTAATAGCCGCAAACATGAAGCACGGCACGGAACGGCAGGTTTGCCCCTCATATTTGGTGATGTCATTCGGGCAGCAGGTTTCTGAACATTCCCATAGCTATTTTATGTATAGCGCGGCCTTGTCGCAAACCAATTGCCAAAGGCCTCCCTTTGTAATCAACGCGCCTCGACTTTAATCATTAGATCATTATAAATTATGTTTTTCCTTGTCTGCTTTGCATTTACAGATCTTAAATAACTACCAAACCAAACTTAAAAAGAAGCAATAATGAGCTCCGCTGAGTATTATCCATTCAAGGTGAGTGACAATACATAATACATCAGTTTTGAACATCGCTAGACGTAGATTGACGAATAGACGCAATTATTGATAATTAATTGTATTACATTTAATCGATTTGTTTCGAGTGCTCTACATGACAAATCTTGTAGTATATTTGTACCTATAAATATTTTAAGCAGTCAGATAAGAAATATATAGCTCTCAAAAAATTTAAGAACCTATTGAATCATAGAAAGCTAATATATTTGTTAATACAGTAATCAAACCTTGCATATGAGTAGAATTTTTACAATATTTCTGGATATGAATACGTGAGCACAATTAAGTGCGTGAACCTCGAATTACATTTATAAGGAAACTTTGTTGAGTCAATTGTTTGTAGAGTACGTGCTGTACCCGCATTTAAACGCGCGATTATTCATGAATATTTGTGTATTGATTACGTATTCATTGCATTAGCCAGACGATTTATTTATATGCAATGTTTACTCATTGCTCTATTCGCAGTGCACACCCACCGTTTACCCCGCTGATCCCTTCGATCCCGTTGAGGATGCCGCCATTCTGCGCAAGGCCATGAAGGGCTTCGGTACCGATGAGAAGGCCATCATCGAGATTCTCGCCCGTCGCGGCATCGTCCAGCGCCTGGAGATCGCCGAGGCCTTCAAGACTGCCTATGGCAAGGACTTGATTTCGGACCTGAAGTCCGAGCTGGGCGGCAAGTTCGAGGATGTGATTGTGGCACTGATGACGCCGCTGCCCCAGTTCTATGCCCAAGAGTTGCACGATGCCATCTCCGGCGTGGGCACCGATGAGGAGGCCATCATTGAGATATTGTGCACGTTGTCCAACTATGGCATCAAGACCATTGCTCAGTTCTACGAGCAGAGCTTCGGCAAGTCCCTAGAGTCCGATCTGAAGGGCGATACCAGCGGCCACTTCAAGCGTCTGTGCGTCTCGCTGGTGCAGGGCAATCGGGATGAAAACCAGGGTGTTGATCAGGCGGCCGCCATTGCCGATGCCCAGGCGTTGTATGATGCCGGTGAGGGCAAGTGGGGCACAGATGAGTCAACCTTCAATTCGATTCTGATCACCCGGCCGTATCAGCAGCTGCGTCAGATCTTAATCGAATACGAGAATCTCACCGGAAACGACATCGAGTCTGCCATCAAGCGTGAGTTCAGCGGCTCTGTACAGAAGGGTTTCCTAGCCATCGGTGAGTCATTTCTATAGCTATGATAATGATTCATCATGTACTCATATAATATATATTATATATTCAATTGCTCAGTCAAGTGCTGCAAGTCCAAGATTGACTATTTCTCTGAGCGTCTGCATGATGCGATGGCCGGTTTGGGCACCAAGGACAAGACGCTGATACGCATCATTGTTAGCCGCTCCGAGATCGATCTGGGAGATATCAAGGAAGCATTCCAAAACAAGTATGGCAAGAGCCTGGAATCCTGGATCAAGGTAAATACCCTTCCTCAACTGTTTATATACATATATATATATATGTTAGCATGTTAAACGCATTTATGGTGTTGGGCACGAACTATGCACCTGTTGATTGTACATTCTATATTGTATATCAGTTCAAAATTGTCTAGTATACTTGAAAGCAGTTAACAGTTAACTTTTCAAAAAAGAGCTTTAGCCAAAAGCGCTCTGTTAATTACATAGATATAAATTAACAGAGCATTATATTCCAAAATGTTCCCACTCATCTATTGCTCACTCATGATTCGCTTTTTTTTACTACTTCATTTGTGTGCTGCATAAAACATTAAAACTTGCCATATTCTATATTTTTAGGGCGATACATCTGGCGATTATAAGCGTGCCCTGTTGGCTATTGTTGGATTCTAAAAAATAAAACAGAAATCACATGCCCCAACCAACAATACAAAGCAAACACAAAATTAATAAGAAATAAAATATTGTCACTGTCGTGTCTGTTCCATGCCTTAAGCACAAACATATTGTACAAAATTTGACTATATAATAGTCGAAACGCATATACATTATATTATAGAATAATCGACTAATGCAAAATTGGAACAAATTTTTACAAGCAACGCAGTGCATTTATTGAGGCCTACAGTCGCATCACATGTTAATTATTATTATACATAGTCTTATGCACACTCATTGCACATAGTTTTATCTCTTAACTATATATAACATTATATACATATGTATATATGTAACTTATGGTTTTTGTTTTTTATACTATATATCTCGAGTCTCATTTTGCAAAAATTTTAAGTTACAATATTGTTAAAAACATTCTTATGACAACAATAAAAGAAAATCAAATCCAATTATTAGGCGCCATTTTGTTAGCATTTGAATTGTATTTGCCGTTGCCAGATGCTTCTGCTTGCTTGTATGTACAGAGGCAGCATTTTGCAATGCTTTCTTGCCTGCCATGTTACTAACAGCGCACTCTTTGCGCTTAACATAACACTTAAAACGGGACCAGCGGTTATTTTTGTTAAGCACAAAGCAACTAAACCAACAACATTCAAAATGTATACAAAATAACGCGTTTAACGCTCTCGCTCTTGCTCTTTTTACGCTTCTCTTTTCGACGTGTTTACGCAATCTCTCAACACACAAACAAACCACAGGAGGATGCAAACAGTGAAATTGGACATTTGCTTGTGACGCTCGTCGCTTGGTAGAAGAGCTGTGCGGTATGCCCAAGTATAAGAGTTGTAGGGACTTATACAACTGTGCAATAGAAATGCCAAAAAAATGCATTTTCGAAGTCAGAAATATAAAAACCTGAAATTATTAGTGTTGTGAAATGTCCATGTATAATTCTCATTGAAATATGATTTCTATTTTGTATTAATATTTCTTAAAGACAGCCTCTGTAATAACGTCTAACGTTTAAATTTCTTTTCTAATTGCGAACAAAAAATTATAAATTTTTTATTTATCCATTTTAATATATTTTGTATACATTTTATTTGTACATAAAAGTATTTTGTGCTTGTGCTATTAACAAAAAATAAAAAAAGAGCCAAAGTATGACATTTGGAATTCTCGAATTTTTAAATCAGAATCAAATTTTTTCCGTTTCATTTACAGGATGATATATCCGGCGATTACAGCTACGTGCTGCAGTGTTTGGCTTCATACTAAACATAGTACATCAATTAATATTTTTCATCATTTGTTACATTTTTCGTTTTTTAGCAAACATTTAACTTAATATTAAAGGATTGTTGTGCAAACTCTAAACTATATTCCTTTTAAATGCTTAAAATTCTTTTGTGTTTTGACTTCGCTTAAAATATAACCGACTAGCGGTATAAAAATATGGAAAACTTTTCAAATACGTCGAATGGAGGTAAGTTAGAAATATAAGTTTTTGATGAAGCCATTCTTCTATTTGCTCACACGCTCCAGGTAGGCTGCCCAAAGACGATCGCGATAGGTAGCCGCCGCCTTCTCTACATTCGCAGCTTGTAGTATGCCACGACCCACGATGCCAATGTCAGCACCGCGCTCCTTCACCACATGTTCGGGTGTTTGATACTGTTGGCCCAGATTATCAACGCCCTCGTCGATCTTCACGCCCGGCGTCAGCTGTATAAGACCAGGAAAACCAAAGCAGGTGGACGATTGGCAGACAACGCCAGATACAAAGTCAGCATCTCCGCCCTCTGTGGCAATTTTGTTGCTGCTCTCCTTGTACTTCTCATCAATCAGATTTCCCTTGGCTGACATTTCGGCCAAGAGGAACACGCCGCGCTCCTTTCTCGCATTGTCATTGCTAAGCCCCGCCTTTAGGCCTTGCACAATGCTGCGTCCGGGCAGCGTGTGCGCTGTCACCAAATTCGCCCAACTGGCTATCTTATACATGCCCTTGCCGTACTGCTGAGAGACCGTGTTGCCAATGTCCGCAAATTTACGGTCCTCCAAAATCAAAAAATTGTGTTTCTTGGCCACCGTCTTAAGATTGGTAATGAAAGCTTCACTGAAGTCTTCGATAATGTCCACATGGGTTTTCAGCATACAAATGTACGGTCCACACTTGTTGGCCAAATCCAGAACATCATCGGCCTTGCTCAGATCGGCGGCCAAGCACAGATTCGTCTTCTTTGTGGCCATTAGAGTAAACAAACGCTTGGTCAGAGGACTCTTGGCTAAGTTGGCGCGAATCTCGTAGGTCAGTTTAGTGCGCGAAAAGTCATTGGCTGAAATTGAAAAACAACAATAGAGCGATTAGCTATCAGCAGTTGATATCAAATATACATATATGTATATATTTATATATACTTCAAAATAAGGTAGTAAAAGTAAGCGACTGATAGAAACGCCTTTTTGTAGTGCCTACAGCTGACAAAGAGTCTTCTAGCTGTTAATGTGTTTGCCGACTTTAAGATACCCTGAAATTTGTATTATTTTAAATCCCTAGAGATGATCTTAATGGAGCTTGTATGTTTTACAAACTAAAAATTCGTCTGTTTGCTACATCCTCATACATAAAAACAATATGCCCCATGCACCTATGAATGGATACAACAAACTGAACTTCAAAGCAGGTATTTTGCTAATCTAAATGAAGTGCTAAATATATAGTATACATATATCTATATATAGCATATATTTGCATTTCGAGTTCAGAAAAATAGCACATGAAAATCAATGAAGCAATTGCATAAATCAATTAGGATTCACTCGACACATATTTGAAACGTTAATATAATTAGTTTTAACACCATCCATCATATATTTTATATACAGTCATATATCATATCTGATATGATTAGCATGTTGAGACCAGTCAAATTAAGGAAAATTGTCGAATTAATGACTTGTGGATAACAGGCAAAAATATAAATATATATACATATATTTATATGTATATGAACCTGCCCTAATTGAAACAGCTGGAAAGGGGAGCTGACATTGAGATTTTGGTTTAGATGTCAACGTAATCATAAACTAAATTACCATGCACGCCGCACATGTTTATATATACACACATGCAGATATATATATATATATATTTGTATGTGTATGTGTGCCTATATTATATGATGGGTTCATATCTAGAGCTCGCTTTTACTTACGAATTGAGGCCTTATCGCCGCCAATAAACGAACCATCGGTGTTTATCTGCGTTGCCGCAATATACTTGGCTACCGCATCCACCGTGGACCGTTCAATGCGTCCCTCCTCGTGCAGCGTGTTGAGCAAATAGGAGAGCGTGAAGAGGGAGTGCATGCGCACGCCATGCTTGGCTACATTTGCAGCGCCGCCCTGTTCCCGATCGACCACAACCACGGCATCGGTGACCACAATGCCCTCGCTCTGCAGATCACGCACAGTTTCCAAAATACTGGAGCCCGATGTTACCACATCCTCGACAATGAGACAAGTGTCGCCAGCCTGGAAAATGCCCTCAATGAGCTTCTTGGTGCCGTAGGCTTTGGCCTCTTTGCGACGCACCAGCATGGGCGTTTGCTGTTGCAGCGAGACAATGGTGGCCAGCGGCAGAGCGGTGTAGGGCACACCGCAAACGTGCTTAGAGCTCAACTTCAACTCTTTAATCTGCGCCACCAGCAGATCGGAAACGGTTTGCTGCAATAGTTGCAAGAGTAAAGCAGTTGTCAAATTATGTCCCGCCCTCCCCCTATTACCTACCATCACATCTGGATAGCTCACTATAACGCGCAAATCGAAATAAACGGGAGAATTGACGCCGACCTTCATTTTGAAATCCCCAAATTTAAATGCATTAATTTCAAATAATTTAAGCGCTAGCGCTTTCATCTGATCTTCACTCTTTGTCACCATTTTATAATTACGGATATCTTTTTATATATATTTTATCCCAGAGTTAGGCCAACCCAACCACGTTTATTGTACACGTGCAACTTGGTCTGAATTAAAAAAAATACGTCCCACCGCCGCTAACAATCAACAAAAATTAATCAGTTCTGTTGGACAGGCGTAAAGCAGATGAGAAACTTCACTCGATTGGCACTGTACACATGATAGCTTAACCAGATTAACTTAGTTCACTGTTAACTTAACATAGTTCACGATGATTCACTAGCTTACAAGTATTTTTAATATATATATTGATGAAAATCCATTTATTAAATTAAACCACTGGTTAGCGATTAAACTGAATTATATTTGCATTTTAAATTGCAAGATTACTTTTACTTTTTTACTGCATTCAATACACCTAAAATGAATTGAATCCGTTTTTGTAATAATAGATAATGCCAAAAATCGAATAAAGCTAATAACATTGTGGTTTATTTAATTTGTAATTATAAAAATAAATAAATTAGAGAATAGTGATAAATAACTTGGCAAATTGCCATCGCTAGGAATAGTTATCGTAATGAAGTTCTTTTAAATCGATTTATATTATTAAGGAACTTGTTGCTACATAAAGTATCGAACTGGAACAGAGCAGAAGAGCTTGAAAACTAAGTCCCTTTATTATTTAGGTAATTTGAAAATGGTCCAAAATGGGTTTTCCCGCGCTTCAATTCTAAATACTTTAAATTCAATTCCAAATAAACAATTCAATATTTTAGGTGATTATAATTTATTAGAATTTTTATTGACTTAAGTTTTATATATATATATATGTATATATATAAATAAAATATTATTCAAGTACAAAGTTATATATACTCATTATTATTATTTAATTCAAGTAAATATAATTCAAAGTGTGTATGTTTTTTCTGTGGCTGTGTGTATATTTGTGTAAGTACAATTTACTGTATCCTTGCTCTCCTATTGCCGTACAACAGCGAATTTTTCAACTAAATTTTCTTTTAAAGTCAATGCATTTTTTGTTTGTCTTCTTTTTTTTTTTTTTTTTTTGTTTGGATCACAAAACAGTAAATTTGTCTTAAACGAATTGAAAAATTGAATTGAATCAAACATAGTTAAAACAAAGAAGTATTTTAATTATAAAAATAGTGTAGCTGCTGCTGGTAACTTGTTAATCTCTCTATTTTTCATCAAGTTTTCTTTTGTTTTTAATATTTTTTAGCTCGAAAGTATGCCTAACCTTAAACCAATTTCATCTGCGCGTGCGTTCATTTTTTTTTTTTTTTTTTTTTTTTTTTTTATTTTTTTTTTTTAATTATTAATTTGTTGTCGTCCACATCCTTGTCCATAACACTCGCAATTTTGTTTTAAACGCTACGTTGCCTTAACTTCAGTCCTTTCGCAGAAAACCTAACCTTAAAATGTATTAAGCTTTCTCAATTTATGTTTTTCTCTTATCATCATCATCATTATCTTTTTCTTTTTGTTTTTGTTTTCATTTTCATTTTTAATATAGTTGCTGCTGACACTAAACATAAATACAGTACAATGCAGACATACATTAATTTCTCATATTTTTTAAGTTTTCAATTTTTCGTTTTCTTTAGTTAGGGTATATATAAAAATGTTTACATAATATAAACTGCCTGTCTGCCTGAATTGAATAATGTTCATCGGCTTCACTGTACTTCTAACTACAATTCTAACCTCATCTTTGGCCGCTTTCGCTTCCGCTTCAGTTTCCGTTCCGTTCCGTTCCGTTAGTTTGTAAATATGTAAATTGTAATACATTTAATTTAAATTCACTAAGAGTTGCACGGACTGTGTTAAATATATATTTTCTTATTTTGTTTTTCAATTTTCATCTTTTAAATAATTTAATTAATTAAATTTTCTTTTGCTGACGTTTATACCTTTGTTAAACCAATTTTGTTAAATTTTAATTTTTGGAAAAATATGTTTTGTGTTGTTTACCAGTTTTCGGGTTTGTTTATGTTTTATTTGCTGCTTTATGCTCATTTTTTTTTTTTTTTTTTTTTTTTTTTTTAAAATGCCAAAAATTTGTGCAAATTTTTAATGATTTTTTAGATTTCTTCTTTTTCCTTACATTTTTTTTTTTTTTTTTTTGCTTTATACTAAAATATTTTTAACTTTAAAATGTACCTTTTTGCATTTATTTATAAATTTTATTTGTATTTTTTTTTCGTATTTAGTTTTATTTAAAATATTGCATTTTTACTTTATATTTGTTTGTATTTAGTTTAAGTTTTTTTTGTTTTTTTGTTTGGAGGCTTCATCCCTGAGTGATTTAATTTCCTTTGTTTGTCATTTATTGCATTTTTTTTTCGTTTATAAACTTATTGTTTTATAACTTCTTATATGAGTGATTTACAAGAGTATGCTAACGGAACAAAAACAATTGCGAATTAGATAATTTCTGCGTGGGCTTTGAAGGTTGCTTATTTCTTGATGGGCTCTGCGAAGTGATTTTCTTACAGTTCTTGACACACTTTTGATTCCCTTCATAATTGTTGTTGGGCAAGATACGTAAGTGTAGCAAAAATGTGCTATGTATATATATATACTATAAAGTATTAACTGTATTAAAGTTGTTTTTTTTTTTTAAATGTTTTTTTAAAGATTTTTTCTGGCTATTTGTTATATGTAACGTTTGGCTAATACTTTTTGTTGGCTTAATTGCCTTTTGTGTGGTTTGAGTGGCTGCTGCTGCATTTTCTTCATCATCTGGTTTTGTGTTTTCATTTTTGTATTTATAATTAGTATTTGTACTTTACTGCAAGTATTTGAATTATCCCATGGCAACGCACAAAGCCGCAAAAGAAGCGAAAATCCCTTTGAAGAATTTCCCATCTGCTTTGCACTTTCTTTAAGCTGCTGCATTCTTCAATCACGTACACATTACTTTAAATATATATATATATGCTTGGAACTTAATTAGCATACATATATATATACTGTATATAGCTAGAACATTGATAACTACGCAAAGTATGAACCTACATTCAATTGGATATGCATAAGAAAACAAAAGCTAAACAAAATACTGGGAATTATGTGCAAATGCTGCTATGAGCAACAAGTTATTAGTATTTAAATGCTTAGTATTTGAAAAGCTTTTAGCAATGGTGTTATTAGAGAAAAAGTCAACAAAAGATCAACAGAGAATGCGAGAAAGAGAGAATAGATAATAAAATTATATTGTGTGACTTTAATTGCATTTAAAATATAAGAGTACTCTTGCCAATAGTCTTATATTGTAAACAGAAAGTGAGCACAATCAAAATTTCTAATTACTATATTCGTATCTCTCTCTCTCTTTCCTTTCTTTGTTTATATTCTGTAAGCTTGTCAATATTCAGCTATATATAAGCATACATTTTCAATAGTTTTGATCTTCAAATTAGTTATAAAAGATATCTCTACACGTTCTCTTTTATCACATATTTAAATTTAAGAGTTGTCCTTATAAAAGCTCTAAGAGTTTAATATACTTTATCAGAAACTTGTTGCTCAAAGCACATTTGTGTGATATTTGAAATATAATATATGTGAAAATTGAAGGAAATGCAAAACGAAAGCTTTACAACTATTTGGTATTAAGATTTCTTTTTTTTTTTTTTTTTTTTTTTTTTTCATTGTATATTCGTTTGAAGCATTTCGTATAACTATATGTAAATATGCTGGTACATCATATGATAAAACGTATATTGGTATTGTTTAGATCTTTACATTAATCTCAAAAAATGCTATGTATTTGAACAGTTAATTACTTTTTCACTTGCATGAAGTGTTTGCACTTTATTTCGGTTATTGTTTTATGCCTTTCATTCATCATATACTTTATCCACAATCTTATCTCCTCGTCTCTTCTCTTTTTTTGTATTTGGTATAAGTTTTTCTGTTTTTCATTTGCATTTATATAAAAATATTTATTTATTGAGTTTTATTGCAGTTATTGTTTTTGGTTAGCTGTTTTGTTTGTTATTGTTTTCTACTATTTTGCATTCCTTTAGAGCGATATTTTGTTGTTGCTTTGTAGTGGTTAAATATATATATATCTATAGTATGTATTTATAGACATATCTATATATATATCTGTGGTACTGTATTTAATAGTATTTTGTGTTTCGTTTGGTAAGCATGATAGAGGAGGTTGGCTATAGCTGTATACTGTATACTGTAGTATACTGTACTGTAGTATACTGTAGAGTATGTCTTATATGGTGTATAGTAGTTCGGATTTTTTAATGGATAGTTAATTTGATTCAAACGATGACTGGAAGTTGCGCATGCAAAGACGCTAGCTTGTATTGCATTCAACTGTTTAGAGTTTGTTTGTCTCGCTTTGAACATTAAGTTTAAAATTTCTTAAAAATACATGACATTTTTCGTAATTGTTCAAATAAAGTATAAGACTAGAATTATATATATATCTAGATATATATATATATATATATATATATATATATATATATCCGTCACAATTTGACTTAATTAATATGCGCCTCAAATGAATTCGTTTTTCTCATTTTGCTTCTTTTTTAACTCTGAAACTTATTCTAGATACATTTATTTAAGTTGTTGCAAGAAATAAACGAAACAAAAAGAAAAAGAAAGCGAAAACTTAAAGAGGAATAACATAAAAAGAAAATTGCACATTAAATTGTTTTCCATTAAGAATTATACGCTTACACTTAAAGGCTTTCATTGTTGTATCATTTTTGTGTTGATTTTTTTTTTTAAATTTGTTTTTGTTGTTGCAGCAAAGATCACAGATCCTCAGAAATAAAATGAAAGCCAACTATGCGCATATTTTCATTAAAAAACTCTAGCTCGAAATTATTTTCATTTTTCTTTGCTTACATACAGTGTTTTTCATTTGTACATTTGAATTGCTATACTTTGTTAAACTGTTTGTGCGAAAAAGTGAACTGAAAGAACCAAAGTTAAAGAACTGAAGGTGTCGAAAACAAAATTCAACTAATACTTTGCATATATTATTTAGTATTAAAACTTTTCTCTTCTGTGTTTCTCTTTTTTTTTTATATGTTGTTGTTGTTGTTGTTGTTGTTGAGAGGGTTATTGGATTTGGGTGACGCTCAGCAGGACTTCCGGTAAACTCTTAAAACATTTCAAAAGCAGCTAAATTGTTGCCAACAGCTTACATGTCTGTTGGCAACAATTTAGCCGCCCTTTGTGACATGAAATGTATTTAAGAATTTACCAAAAGTCCTTGTACGAACCTCAGGAACCGTGTAGCGTATTATTTTGGGCATTGTTGGCGCCGGCACCGCCGCCGCCGCCACTGCCGCTCACATTCTGTGCTGAGACCTCAGATTTGACGCGGCGCGCAATATGCGAACGCGTATGCTTGCGCAAGTGATCCTTGCGGTAGAAACCTGAATGAAGAGAGAAAGAGTAGATATTATTAATTGGATCCGAATTATATAAGTTCGCATTAGATGAAGTAAATTGCTTGTTAAATAATAAGCAGTGATCGCCAGTGACGCTCTCCAGAAAGCATTCCAATTCAATGTTGAATCTTACTCTTATATTGGCTCATTGAAGCCTTATACTCGAAGTAATCGAGAACTGAGTGAACTGAACGGTATTGAATGCCACCGTGAGAAGCAGAGTAGTTGTGAACTCTTATATTAACGCCTGCGTTATGATCTATAATCTATCGGAGGTACGCGCTTACTCTTATAATAATGTCTGATTGATCTATCGGGAGCAAGCGCTTACTCTTCTATTGATGATTGATTTCTGTATTTCCTCATTGAAATTACCTTTTCCACACTCGATGCAGACATGCTTCTTCTCACCCGAGTGTATGACAATGTGCAAGGTGAGCTGCTCCTTGCGCTTAAAGGACTTCATGCAGATCTAGATTGGCGATGGGCGAAAGTAGCAATGGATTAATTTCATCAACTATATGGGAGGTATTAAATCGGCACTTACATTGCACACATGCGGCCTGTCCGGTATGTGGGAGAGCTTGTGCCTGGTCAAGTGATCCTTGCGCTTGAGCGCCGCATTGCAGATATCGCAGACAAAGCGCCGCTCCACGGCATGCGAGATGACGTGCTGTTCGATCAGGCTGCGGTCCGGATAGGCCATTTGGCATTCGGGGCAGCAGTAGAGCGTGGAGCCGTCCAACGCTTTCGTTTCACGTATTTCGCCGGGCTTCGGCCGGGGTTTCTTCTCCTTTGGGGGTTTCTTCTTTTTGGTCTTCTTGCCGGTGGTGGTGGTGCCGCCAGCGGCATTCGTGGTGCCCACTGCCGCTCCGCTGCTGGAAACGGCGGCTCCATTGCTGACCGCACCATTAGCATTGCCATTGACGCCGTTGGTGGCTCCGCCGTTGGCCAATCCCGCGCCAGTCGCATCTGTCATGTTGGTCATGTGGCCGCCATGGTCCATGCCCACCAGCCCGTTATGATGGCCCCCATTGGCGCCATTATTGCTGGGCGTCAATGCCACGCCTCCCAGCGCCAAGCTGGCCAAATTGGTGCCATTCTTCAGGACATCGCCGGTAGACTCCTTCTTTATTGTTTCCGAATACTTGAGGAAGTGCTGTATGGAGATTGGCAGTGTTGCGGATAGCAAATGGGATGAGTAGTCGACCGTGTTGGCCGTATTGGCCAGCGTTTGCCACGATTGGTTCACATTCTGTAAGATTTGCTGATTGAGCACTGCGCGCGGGGAAGCCCAAAACAGTTGGAAAACATGTGAGTATATATGTGTATGGATAAGATCAGATATTATTATTCATTATTTAGTGTATCTACAATTGTGAGCAGATTGTAAAACAATATCAGACAGAATCTCTTCGGTGGTAGCTCTTCATTTAAACCATTTATTCCTTAGCTTCAGCTAAAATTGAGTTCCGATGAGGTCTTGATACAATATCTGCTAGGGTAACTTAGTTACGATAGATTCAGAATATGAGACTTTTCATGGTCTAGCTGTTTTCAGATAATGATGATGCTGCTGCTGCTAATGGACACACCCAGGACACAAATCCAGCCTGCAGCCCTCCCTTTCACATTTGCTACTTTATCCCCACACACACACACATACACACACGACAACACGCCCAGACAACAGGCATTTGTACTAAATATGTTCACGCCCACCTCAACGCTAGCAGTTCATGCATTATCTAATAGCTTCCTGGATAATTTTCCTGCTATATGAAATACGAAAAGCAACGCCACAAGAAGAAAAAACCTACCCCAACAACAAAAAGCTTTGGCTTGGCAACACACACAGTCGTGGGTGTGTGAGGGACTGATTGTTTGTCTGTGTGTGTATGAGTCTGTGCGAATATGCTGAATTCTATTTTCTTGAAAATCCCTGGCCGTCCCCCAGCCCTACATCTGCAGTAACTGGCGCCAAGGACACAGCTCACATGCCGCATCTCTAACCTTAATTTTCTAGCCCATTCCAGGCCCCCCTCTGCTTGCTCCATGGGCTCAGGCATTCTAGCTGCTCCTTTAAAGTTAATACGCCCACGTGGAAAATGTCAATGCGTGTGCGAAAACTTTCTGTTCGACAACAAGTAAACACCATTTCATATAACTTGCTAATAGGAAATACACACGCACACACACGCAGTGGGTTCATAAATTGTTGGCAGATAAAAGTTCTTGAACGGTCCAAAATCTCAATCCAGACAGGGCTCAAGTTTTCTCTTTTCGTTTTGCCTTTTTATTTAAATAACAGTTGAGCCGATGCGAGCCGAACGCTAGACAGCGGAACGGGGCCGGTGTGCACGAAATGTAATGTGCGTCCTTGAAATTTCAGGCCGTATAACAGATAGCAACCCAAAAAAAAAAAAAAAAAAAAAAAAAAAAAAGGAAGCACAAAAAAAGGGAAGGAAAAGTGAAGCACATGAAGCTCCTTCCCTCCGTCATGTTAGGCCCTCTGCCCCCGGCTACCATGAAAATCCCCATCCAGCTGCTTGGGTCGCCGACTCACCTTCTTCCCGGTCTCGTTCAATTTTTGGATGGATTTTACCCTTATGATCCGCTGCTGCGGCTGCATTCAAAAAGTTCAGATCACTCTGAGGTTGCGAGTATGGTATGGATATATTTTGACCATATTGCATATTATTGGCCGCCGAAACTGTAATATATAAGAGAAAAAGTAACATTAGAAACTAATAGCTTGAATATTGGGAAAGTTCATTTGTTTTTAGTTAGTTTGTGAGGTTAGTTTAGATATTTACACATGCTCGAAATTGCGCTAGAATCACAGCCTTATTTAGCTACTTTATAAGTATCTGTATATATATATAACTTTAGTCAATATATTTTTGTATATGTGTTTTGTATATTAGATGTGTACTCCAGCTATTTGTTAAATTTGTTTAGTACGAGGTCGCCGCAAGCGAGCTCCAGCAACGACTAACTACAACTGACTCGAGGCCTGGCGTCTGGCTGAACAGCAGCTACAGCTGGCAGCGGCAGCGGCAGCGGCAGCGGCGACACACGAACGAGGATCGGGTGCCGGCTGAAAGCGGACGGCTGTTCGTTTTTATGCACGATGTCTGGCAGTGTCCCACTGCCGCACGATTTGTACCTCGTGGGTGTGCGGGTGTGTGTGTGTGTGTGTCTGTGTTTGCATACATATACATACATGAAGTTACTGCCTGTCTGCTTTTGTATGCGTGCGTGTGCCTGTGTTCGTGTGCCTGTTGGCGCTTTCCTAGTCGTTGGCAACACTGGCTGGCTGACGGCTGACGGCTGACATGCGTGAGTTGTTGCTTTAGCCGCTGCTGTTACTTTTAGGCAGCTGTGGGCATGTCTGCCTGCCTCCTTTATTCGTCGCCGCGTTGCCGTCTGCCAAGGCCAAATTTAGCGCCCACACAGAGCCAGAGCCAAAGCCAGAGAGAGACACACACGTGCGAGCCACGCATACATAGGAAAAAGGAAATTAAAATTGAAAACGCCGGTCCTGCCGACGCGCCTCAAATGTATGCTACACATACACATATACATGAGTTCGTATGTATGTGTGCTTATTTTTCGGCATTGCCTTTGCCAGCAACATTTTGCCGGGCGCTCGTTTTTATTAATAAATATTTTTTGGCTGTTGCCAATTGGCCCGGTTTTTTGTTAGTATTTTTCTTTATATTTGCTTCCTTTTTCCTGATGAAATGTGAGCGAGACAGAGAGAAAGCAGCAGACACATTGCATGTAGCTTGGTAAGTAGTAACTAAAAAGGTTACAAATTTAATAATAATAAAAAGAGACGAAATATTTAAAAGGAATGTATGTATGTGTTTGTGTGGGTGTGCCTTTTTTGTGTGTATATTTGTAAGCGTGTGTGTGGGGGTGTGAGTGTGAGTCAAACGGGTAGCAGACCCTCGTATAAATTAACTTGTGACCTTGCATTATAATTCAACACATTTCTTATGCTTTAATGCCCTTTGTGAGCGGTGATGCCACAGTCTCATAATATGAGCATACTTTTGGGGTAAACGAATTTAATACGCTAACCTCAATTAGCCAGGTCATATGTGTGCAGACGGATGTTGTGAGAGGAAGAGAAATTGCCCTGCTTGGCAAATAAAGGAAACCGGCTAATGGGATCTAATAAAGGAAAGCAGTCCGAAAGGAGGATTAGGCTGAAACAATTGACTAGCGAACCATAAAAGGCACCCATAAGGCATCCTTCCAAAGCAGCAGCTTAACGGAAATTTATTTCACGAACGAAAGTATGCTCAAAAGAAAAATTCTCTTTAATTAGAGGAACTAATTGCAGATGAACACATCTGCATTTCAACAGGGAAAATAGTATATAAATTTATAAATAGTATATAAAAACCTTTAGCTTTAGTGTTAAAAAATTTGATTAATATATTCATTTACTGTGCGTTTACAAATAAATTTGGAATAATGAAATGTCTATATTTCATTCTATTTGTTCAAATTATATCAAAAAAGATATCATGACAAATAATTAATTCAAATGGTTTATTTTAATAATACGAAAACTATTCAGGTTAAGCATAATGCTTACGCACGAAAAATCGATTTACATATTAGACACAAAAAAATCTCGAAGTGCGGCACAGCGAACGAGAATAAGTAAAGTAAAAAGGCCGAGATAATCAAATATTATCCAAGCAATTAAATTCTGCCATCCCCATCAGCAAACAATGTAAGCTGTTAGACAAATGCAAGACTTATGTAGCGGTAATTAATCAACTAAACAGAATGAGTGCACAGAGCGAACAGCATGCCCCGAAATGTAGACAACGAAAAGTGACAGAAAATAACCAACAGCCCATAAAAATGACAAAACACGAAATAACAGAAACAACACACACACGCACACAAATCAAGGAATGACAAAAACGAAATGGAACATGGAACGGGTACTGAAATCAGGCGGCAGAAAAGAAGAATAGAATTGACAGACGAACGGAAATTCTGGGCTAAGCCTGTGTGGAGCCATGACTACGTCGAGCCACTGACAACACACAGCAATGCTGAAAGCATGCGCTCCATTTTCCATCATCAGCGTAGCCGGCATTGTCGTTGTAACATTTCACTTTTCACTTCACTTTCACATGGGCCACACGACAACGACCAGCACCAACAGCAGCAGCAGCACCAGCGCACCAGCTCCAGCTCCAGCAACGGCAGAAATAGTGGCAGGACGAGCACAAAACGGCATGAGCTAGAGAAACGGTAAATGAAAATGCTGCCTAGCAACGAGTTAAAGTCGGTGAAAACTGAAACACGGCCAAGCGAGAGTGAGAGCTCGCCCAACTAGAAAAGAGCGTGAGTGTCGGCAGAGAGTGAGTGAGAGAAGAGCGCGCGCGCTTTTCTATGTGTGCGTGTGTAATCACAGAGAGAGAGAGAGTGTGTGTGTTTATTGGGCGCACACTCTCCAACCCACAATATGGCGGCTGCCTTAGATTTGAGTGGTATATCCAAAGTGGAACAAAATGGAAAGGAATTCGCTGGGTTTGGAGAACGTAATGTGAAACATGGCGTTGCGCTCTGTGTGCCTACTTTTAAGTGTGTTTATAGTGCCGGCACACACAGTGAAAGCAGTGAGAGAGACTGTGTGAGAGAAAGAGCGCGCGCGCAACAGCAATATATAAAATATAAAAAAAATATATATATATATATATATATATATATGTATATATCAACATACAGATATATATAGATATATAAACATACATATATATATAACAAAGAAGAGAGTGAGAGAGCGTGCGATGTTAGCAAAAACTGCAACCCCTATTAGAGTTGGGGATTTTAACGCCCGCTGCTCGGGGTTTGGGCGTATGTAGCGCGACGCGGCGCCAGTCGCCAGAGTTTGAGTCATCAACGACAGCAACAACAGTAACAGCAATAAGCCACTCAAACCACAACAGAGTTGCCAGAGGCAGCTTTAAGCCTTAAAGCTGCCATATGATATGAAAAAGCTTCGCTTGGCTTTATTGTTTTACACTTGCCTGCTTTTTCGAACGGCTTTGGGGGTAGACAGTGGCAAGGGTAGATCTAACTCAATTACATGCACACTCATTGGGCTCATATGTATTAACTCCATATATGTGTATATATACATATGTACATGTAAACAGTGAAAGCTCTAATAACGAATTTGTACACAACTACATTTAAAGTTGTATTTAATTTTTATTTTTTCATTTGGTTCTGCGTTATCAAAATATATTATTATATATAGTCTATATAGTTTTCATATATTTCATTCTTGTCCATTGCTTAGAGTTTTTACTGTATGTGCTTAGGTACACATCTACATCTAAAGTCTGACAGACTTATAAGCACGCGCATTTTTAGTGTTGCATAGCGCCAGGCGCTGCTGCCTCGTGGGGGTGTAAGCCCAGCCAGCAGACGCTCACACTCACACTCGCACTCACACTTCCTCTCTTGCACACAGAAACATCAACACATCCACCCACATATCCTCTGTTATGTACACATAGAAATGAGTACATAAGTGCAAATAATTTATGGGGGGTTGCGACCCTTTTGACAAACCGCAATATTATCACATACACTCGCACGCTCGGCTGGTCATTTGCATGGCATATAGAATTACCTGCCGGACATACGGATCGTGTTATAATAAAGATCATATTAATAGATTTGTATTCTATGTAACCTAAGCACATGGCTAATTTTGAGCAACCCAACCCCTAGCTGAAGCTCTACCTCTCTCCCACACTCACTCTCTCAGCATTTTTGTGTATTTTTCTACTCATCCCTCTAAACACCCCGATGCTTTGTCATCGTTTAAACGGAAAAATCAATGAGCCACAAATGATTTCTTTTATTTGCTGTTTTTCGTATCCCCCTTTATGTTTTTTTATTTTGCTAAAGAATATCCTTTATTTGCCTTGCATTTTTTATATTCACTTAAAGAGTTGCCCCAGGGTTTGATGAATTATGTAAATTGTGCGCAGAAAAAAAAGAAGAAAGTAAACAAATATTTACATCAGGTGCTTCAACTTGAAAGAAATTCAAGAGCAAATAAAAGCTAATGTCATACGGACAACTTAAGGAAAGTTGCAAACAATATTTAGACTATTTGCAAGATTTACATATAAATGTAACGCAAATTTGTAAACAAATATGACTGTAATATTGGTTATTGGAATTGGTTATTTTCTAAAAAAAAGTCAATAAATTTTCAAGTAATGAAATATGGTATATCTTTGAAATTCCAATCATAAAAGACAAATTTAGGCTTAAAAAAAATAGTTGGCCTTCAAAAGCAGCGAGACAGAGCTGTCTAAACGTTTGCGTTTAAGTCTTAGGCTTTCTAACCATATTATTAATTCGAAAAATGAAAAGTTGGCATACATCCTTGTGGTAGCCTATGTAACCCACCTGAACGGTATATGTGACATATACCACGCACATATATAAGTTTATTAATCCACACTAGTTAATTCACTCTTATGTAACATTTTTCAACTTCTTTCTTCGTCATTGAATCTTTACTGTATATAGTTATTAGGATAAACCAACACCCCTTTGTATATAGGTATATAATAATAATAACTAATAAAAATATACAAAAAAAATTTTGAGTTTTTCCTAAATAATCAGCTAAAATTCTACGTAGATATGCCAACTTTAACCAGGACAAATAAAAAGAATGGGACAAATCAAAGATTGTCTGTTCTGATTCGATATCTCAGATGATTTATGAAATAAGAAATTCTATCGTCAGCTCTATCTACCGAAAAAAAAACTGGTCTCTTATTGTTGTTTTTGTTGTTGATAATCTAACTAATATGCGACAAGAAAATGTGGTAGTTGGATGAGCAACGGAAAGCGGGTAGAGGTCGGGGTGACAGCGGTCTACCTGCATGAGCTAGCTGCAGCCATACACAAATACACACTCACACACACATTCACTCACGCATATAGATAGATAAAAGACCCACTCACACACACTCAAACAACTCAGACACACGCATGGCCACATTTTCCCGTTGTTGCAGGTAAAAAAAAAGAAGAAATAAATAAAATGAAAATGAAAAACCAAAATGAAATAAAATAAAACGTTAAACTGGAAATGGGAAATGTAATACGTAGAGCTAAAAAAGCTGGGATCAATGAACTATAGAAAACAGTGGCAAATGGCATCGCGTTCGAGTTTGAGTTCATATTCGAATTCGAGTTTGAGGGAGTTCAGGTTTGAGTTTTGCGTTCTTCAACTGGGGGCAAAATGCGTTAAAAATGAAAATAAATGCGTAGAATGATCAACTAATTATGCAAGTGAATGCAACTAATTATAATTAATATAAACAATGGCTGTGCAGAATCCAAAGAGGATTGGCAAAGGTATTGATGGGTAGAGATAGCGAGTCAAATACATAGGTAAGGGGCAGTCAGTTCTCTATCTTTATAAAAGCAATAGTTAAACGCTAAAGAGGCTAGGCAAGTCAGCGGCGCAACTGTGAACTAGTTCAAATGCAACTGAAATTATGACTATAAAAGTTGAAGTACCTTAAGCCTCAAATAACCTGTTGATCCTTGTACCTAGGGATTCCACTGAAAACTTTAACAAGCAACTTTGAAAACAATAACGAAACTATGCGTAATCAGAAAACCGATTAACAAAATAGATATTACATTAAATTTGTAATCTAAATTAGACAATAGATAAAAATCCTGTAACATATTAGTGGCTGATCAAAAATTACTGAATCCGGGAATCCTTTAGTTGGCCTATTGACATAAAGATTCGATTGGACCTGCATCAAAAGGGCATGAACAATATTAGATTCTTTGTTCTTTGTAACTGCATTAGATTAAATTAAAGAAAATAAATATAATGTAAAATATTTATATTATCCATATGCAGTCTCATTTGAGTTTGCAGATTAGTTGATAGAAACTTTATCTGGACGAGCAGCTTATGTACAAGGCGTTGCGTTGCATTTTAGGGGTTGAGCTGGCAGTCACCCTGCCACAAAGTGTTGCAGCTTGGCCAAAAGGAAGTCAGTGCAATTAAAAAGGCAGCGACGCTGCCCGTTTACAAACGGGGGTTGGGGTTGAAAACTGCGCACGCATACACGCACACACTCATACACATACTCATGCTCAAACTCCCCCATTTAATTGTATGTGTGTGTGTGCGTGTGTTGAGTAGCTAACGACAGCAAAACCCACCCCCAGGGCCATACAAAGTAAAATGCAGCAAATTCAAAAGTTATTTGAGTTCATTGCATTTTCAAGCGAAGCTAAGCAACAACAACGAAAACGAGGAGAAGAGCGAGAAAAACTGGAAGCAGTAGCGGGCACGCACACAGACACACACATACACATATACACGTGTATTCGTTGCCAAATGGGGGTGGGTGGTAATGACTCAAAACATAGCACAAGCGAAGGGAAAAACAGGAACAACAACAGCGAAAAATCGTTAGATTCGGTTATGATGACAGGCGGACCCGCTTTAATATTCCACGAATAGTAGAATATCACACAAATTGAGCGTGTGCATGATTTACCCTATGAATTAATTAATTTCACTCAAGATTAACATACACAAAGAAGATTTGTATACATTTTTTTTCATATTTCAATATTCAGTACAACTTTAAATCGGAAAATCTATATTCTTTAAATTAACAGACTTAATATTATTATTATTATATATATATATATATATATATATATATATATATATATATATATATATTGTATATCCTACAAATGGAAACCAAACAATGATTATTCCATTACTAAAATCAGTTCAATGAAATACATACTAAATATTATGAATTAATTTGAGATCTATAACTGATTTTCAAATAAAAACCCGTTTTTTGACAGGTGGCAACTCTCTTTTGAGCGCAACATGGCTATAATGCATTTTTTTCAATACGAACTAGTTCTGTGAGCAGCAAACGAATCATTAAGCGGCTGATTTGTTGTTTACTTGCGCTCTCGCTCTAACCAATAGCATGTCGTATGCTGCGCACAACGAAACCAAAAGCAATGCAAACATTAATTCTCTTATACATGCGCAGTTGTTGGCTTTTTTCTTTTGGTATTCTTCAAGTTGATCCTCAGCGCTGTTCTTCTTCACAATCAAAACATGAATGTTGTGCTAGTTACACATGTTCATAAGGCCTCAAACGACGAATTGTAGTGGATGGGATAGGAAAAAGCAAATCGCTGCCGCTACTTGTGTTGCTGTTGTTGTTGTTGCTGCTGCTGCCGCTGCTGACGCCAGCCATGGCGTCGCTGGCGACTCGACCGACAGCGACGTTGGCAGCAGCAGCAGCAAGCGAAAATAAATCGATAAAAATAAAATAAATTTTTAGTGATTATGTTGTATACACACATGCACACACATGTCTCTATTTACATGCATGTGTCTACATACATATATAAAAATGTACATATGTGCATTAGTCTTATATATGTATATGTATATCAATTTGTATGAATGCATGCACTTACCGTTGGGCACATTCTGATTGAAATGATTGCCATTGGTCTGATAGCGCTGAACATGATTATCGCTGCCCGCTGCAGCAGCTGCAGCGTTCACCGGCGGCGTACCAAATGCGCCCGGTGTTTGTGCATCAAATTTAGCAGCAAACTGATGAATACCAGAGAAGGGGCCGCCGAACGCGGAGAAATTCATCATGACAGTTTTATGTTGTTAACAGGGCTTCACACATACACGCACAGGCCGCCGACTTACGCGCGCACACACAGGCAGGAGCCGAGCTGCCTGTGTGTAATTGCTGCCTTTTGTTTTTTTTTTTCTTTCTTTTTTTGTGGAGATTACTCCCTAGCCGTTATTTGATTTTGGGGCTTGTGTAACACTTTCGCTTTTTTGTTGGCTGTTTTCAAATTGCACTAGCCAACACTAACAACAACTGTAACTGTAACATAAACGTTGCGTCGAGCCTGAGCAACTGAAATACGATCGAATTAGAGAAGCAGAAACAGGCGATGTGCGATGACGATGTCGATGACTATGCGGCGCTTTTTAGCTGTGGGTGGTGCTACTTGGCAGGATTTGTTGTTGTAGCTGCTGATGTTGTTATTTTTGTTGTTGCTACTCTTGTTGGTGGGGGTTGGTTTTTGGTTGGTGTGGCGTGGCGTGGCGTGGCGTAGCGAGGAACACACACAAACTGACACTCGCGTACACACACGTTTGTATGAGCGCGCGATTGTATGCAGCGCTTTGCTTTTGGGGGTAGCAAATGTACAACTTTCAATTTCGCTTAAACTAAACACACACAGAGACAAAACACACAACACCAGTAGACTCAAATACACACATACACACACACACAATCACACACGAGGCAACGTCGAGCGCGACGACGACGACGTCGACGTCGAACAACAACAATAATAAAGTAGAATTAAACGAAAGTCACGCTTACAACCGGCTCGTCGAGGCTCCGACATCAAACTAAAAGTAACATTACAACGAAAGAAAGCGGAAACACTGGGGCAGGCAACGGCAATCAGGCGCAGGCAGCGACTGCGACTGCGACTGAGCTAGAGACAGAGAAACAGAAACACAGTCGCCAGCGGCACAGCGACGCAATGGACAAATGACAGTGACAGCGCAGCTCTCTTTTTTTGTATTAGTTCGCTAATATGTGTGTACATACGTACATGTGTATGTATGCTTGTGTGTGCATGTGTGCACAGTGCTTGTGTGCGCTGTTTTGAGGGTGGAAGTTTTTCTACTTCTCTGGAAAATGTGCGTTTATTTGTACATTCTTTACAATGCGTTTTTGGTTGGTCATATGACAACAAACATGCCCTACACTTGATTAGCCAAAAATTAAACTATGATACAGTATAACTAATATTTGAAAATATATAAACTAAATCCATGAGTCATATTCTTATACAAATTATATCAAATTAAAATTATTATATAAATAATATTATATTGTTGTGAGGCGTGGTAAATTTAACGAATTCGACTAAAATATAATTATGTTAATGTATAAAAGACCAACTAAGAATATTACACTGATTAAATCAAATACAAAATGCCAGACTCGTACAATTTCTACAGGTACAGGGCATTCACAAGTGGACCATCGCTAACCAGAAAACTCACAAACAGCGTGCCTTGTAGTCGTATTTTTATTTGGTTTTCCAACTTTTAGGGTTGTGTGGCCTGGCCGTCGCAGCCGCAACGAACGGCCAGTGCATTTATATATGTACTATGTGATTGTATATACATACATACATATGCATAAATGTTTGTTTATACACGCGTCTATATGTAAGCATTAACGTTGCTGCATACGTACGTTTATATGTAAGCATTAACGTTGCTGCAGACGTACGTTTATGAGATTGTGTGTGTCGTGTGTATGCATGTATGTATATACATATGTATGTATGTTTTGGGATGTCTAGAAACGCACAGCACCATTCTCGGCGCGTCGCAGTCGCAGTCGCAGTCGCTGCATTTCATTCTGCCGGCGCTGCCTTTGGGACTTGTGTTAATGAAAGTGAGTGCAGCATCAGCATAAGCACTTGTCTGTATGCGTGTGTGCGAGGACGGGACGCTCTAATAAGAGAGCAGTAGCCGCTGCTCGCAGAAGCAGCAGCCTCTCAGCTAGCGGCACTCTCACATGTATTTGTTTTTGTGCCTGTGGCTGTGCCCGGCGTGCAAGTGTTGTATTATTGTACCGATGCCCTACACCGCACATAGCGTAAACAACAGCAGTAGAAGCTTAAGAACTTTTTTTTAGCTTACAAAAATACACATATCAAGTATGATTCCCAATAAACTGGTTTGCAGCGCAACAAACAGCCGCATAGACTCTTATATCGCTGAAGCGTTTTCCTTCTTTTGTATTCCTTTGTTGTTCTTTTTTCTCCTGCTCTTGTCTTCTATTCGTTGACTTATTGTGAGGGTTGGAGTTTTTGACTTTCCATGCGTTCTTTTTAACTCATATTCGATCAATCTCTTGCGCGTCTCTTTCCCATATTCTGTGCACTCTTGTTGTTGTTTTTGTGTTTGGTGTCTCTTTCAATGCAATGCCTTTGTGTTTAGGCTGCATCTCTCTCTCAGAGCTCTTATTGTTACATGTGTGTTTATCTTTCATTTCCATGCACATTTTCCAATTACGCGTTTACTTCACGACCACATGTATAAATGTGTGTGAGCTTGCTTGTATAGGTATGTGAAGACGTGCTTTATGTTTTTATTAGGTGCTTTAATTATTAGCTATTTTATAATTATAACCCATTTGACGGCGCAGTAGAACAGTTAGTTATACGCACATGCAAGCATGCTTTGCCTATTTGTTTTTACGCATACATGAATATACACAAACATTTTCTCATGCTGCTGGTTGCGACCTCCATCTATTAATCACAGGCACAGCCCATGTCATCATCGATTCTGTCTGTACATTATATATGTACATATGTATGTACAAAATGCATGCATATATACATACATGCATACATATTTATGTGCTTGTTTGCCACTTCCACATTAGTTTTCTGCACTCTAAAGAGCTGTTAATATGATTATCTTTGCTCCTTTACAGTAAATAAGGCAGGAGAACTCCTACAAACTTTTCGCTAGCAGAATTTGAAAGGGGAGGTCATCAATCAGGGAGCTTTGTGTTAAAAATAAAAAAATATCACCGCACTGTTGTGTTTAATCAATTTTATTAATTATTATGAGCTTTTATCTGATGTTTTCATACAGTTCTCTGGGTTGAGATATTTTGTGAGGTATGGTCTTAAGCCTTGCTAATTGAAAATTGCATAAGCAAATTATTTTTGGAGTTGGGGCATCATTGTTTTGAATCCCCATTTAAGCATTTTCAAAGAACCTGATGCGTACAATCATATATTATCCGGTTATATAACATATTTGGCAAATTAAAGGTATGATATACTTATTGGTAACTACTCTACAAAAAACTTCAATTAAGGCATTTGAGTTTGTGCCGTATGAAAACATCATATAGTTATAATGCGTACATATTTTCCGATTTATATATATATTTGTATATTGAGAGGTTACAGTATGTAAGTAAATACTTTTAATGTCATTATATGCCCATTCCATTCAATACGCACCAAAAAAATAACGACTTGACATACCATTGCCGTACAAATAGTGTGTATATATAGTTTATATAGAATATTTTACGTATAATATCTTTTAGCTAGAGTATATATATAAATATATTGAAATGATCAATGATTTGCTAACGGTTTGGTTTCTGTCTTGGTTGTTACTAACGAATGTTTACAAAATATTATATATTATTATTATATATATGTAGAATATATTCGTATATATATATATATATATATATATGATTATTTATCAAAATATAATTTACATATTGTAAAGCCTTGGGGTTTTTTGTGCATATTTCTACACGGTGTTTGTATATGAATAACAAAAAACAAACTCAACAAAATGTAAAGTTAAACTAAGGTAAATTTTGTAAACCCAAAATAAACGTGTTAATTGGCAACTTAAAAGTTAATATCACAAAAATCATTATATATGTAGAGATGTTTATAACAGCGCAAATTAATGAATTGTTTAAGCGAATGTTCACATTACAGATCAGAATACAAGGTATATGAATATCGATTTTCCATATATAAATATTGAGAGAGATATATGTAAGTATAGAGCACGAATAATAGTTAATATATGTTCTGTTTGTTGGTTTTTCAGCAAATATGCTCGAGTATTACAATTAATTAAGCATTGACTTCTAGTTGCGCAGAGCTAGCAAATTTTTTGTTTATGTGGATATATTACGTGTATATAGTAGCACGGCTTATAGCGGATAACCAAGGGCAGCTGATAATAGTGGCTCCCAAGCGCGATTTATATCCAAATATAGCATTGTGCACTGTTCAGCGATCGTTTCATCGTCGTCCAATATAGTTATAGGGAAGAGATCATTCTGTTCCAATGATACACACAATGATACACAATATTAATATTTTATAATTTTAAATAGTTGCAGCTATCAATTACTCACATTTTTGGCCTGCCATAGCTGCTCGAGCAGCCGTAAGAAGCGTTGCATTTCTGCGCTGCTTGCAAAGAATATAACCAAATCATCTAGACACTCTAGCGGCGCCTCCTGACAGGAGAACTCCAGTATGCACCACCAGGTCTCACTATGCGAGGGTATTTTAATGCCTGTCATTGCCTTTATGTCGGCACATGTAAGTATTTCCAAGCCCGAGTTTTTGCCGTAAACACTGCTCATATTATGCGATTGTCCCTTTGGTACAGCTTTGGAAGTGTCCACCGATTGCTTGGTGGGTGTCGAGTTAAGCGAGGAACAGGACTGTTGTGTGCCACGTGTGGGTGTGCTCATGGTAGAGCTCAGCTAAGGATAGACAGATATATATTAAGAAGTGCTGATTTATTAGCCCAAATGTTTACTCACCAAGCTGCTGGTTTCGAAGATGCACAACATTTCCTCATCCCGTAGCAGTTGCTTTTGTTCTGCAGCAGCTGGCGGTGTTTCCGATTGGCTGTTCAGCTGTCGCAAGGGAGCCGTAAAGTCCTCGCGTAGCGTAATCAAATGATTCTGGGTAACGATCAAAGTGCAGCCCAACGCTTTGTGTCGCTCCTGTAGCTCGAAGAGCTGTCAAGAAATATGAATTCGATATTAAGTAATGCGAGTTCTTGGGTGGTTGTCATATAACTTACACCACTTGCTGACTGCAGCAGCGCCTGCAGCCACTCGGAGGCCACATACTCATCCGGTGCAGCCATTTGTAATAATTCGCCTTTCAACATAATCTCGAAACAATGCGGACGCGCTGATTTGACCGCTCGCCTTGCGCCCTGGCACTCTGCCAAGGCCATGGCCCAGCTGGGCAACTTTTGTGTGGAGTCATGGAACATGTACAGCACACCGGCTCTGCAATATGGAACATATTAATGATATACCAAGCACTATTTGTATAACTAAACCTTACTTTAGCAAAAAGTACCCCGGCTGCCAGCTTATTTTAGCCGCTGCGTTCGCTGTGGCCGTCTCTCGCACCCGTCGATGCATGAGAAAGCCCTTGATGTGCGGCCCCAACGGCTCCTGTTCACCATCCAAACCCCGGCCCAGGGCACCGCCCGCTGGCATATTGACTACCGCATAGAACATCCATCGTTCATCTTTGCTCACACAGCTGTTTGCACGAACAAAAGCCTGCAATGGTGCCAGATGCTCCAACGTCAATTGTCCCACAGCGGGCAACGTTGAGCCACTACGACGAGCGCACAGCTCCAGATTGGCAACCAGTGCATCCGCTGGATATGGCCCGCCGGCTAGCAGCACCTGCTGCATATCCCGCATACTGTTGCTAAGTAGCACCGTATTACCGAAGGGGCCCATCTGTGCAGATGGTGATTTTGTGGTTATTATATAGACTGGACTCAATAAGGTATTGCTGCTTACCAATATGACATCCAGTTCCTTGTAGGCGAGCACAAACTTTGCACACAGACAATTTCGCACCAGGTCCGTTACATATAGCGTCTTATCCGTGAGCAGTACCAAGACCGGCGTCATGAAGCCCTCGCGACTATAGCCAGTATACAGCTTGAAGACCTGCACAGGCAAGTTGAGTAAAACAAAATGAAGTTAATTAGTTGATAGTGACTAGCAGATACCCCTCGCAACTATCTGTTGACCCCATATACACAAAATATTCTTAATGATTACCTTCAACAGCTGCTCATTGGGTTCACGGAGCATAGGCAAATGCTTGCCATTGAATATATCAATGGATATTTCGCCAATGCCCAATTCGAAGCGGGAGACATCTCCCGGCAAATCCAGATCCATGCCCACAGCCAGTTCTCGTCGCGGCGAATTAGCGCCAGACATTTCTATCTCCATGGCGATCTCGGCATTCAAATCGTCGATGAGTTCATAATTCTTGGGCCGCACACCACGCACATAGAGATTGGAACCAAGATGCTTATGCTCGCTGCGCAGTTTGTCCGCAAAGAAGTCATTTTTTCGTATAGACGATTCGAGGATTTTCTTCTGGGTCACATTACGCAGAAAGCGATTGATCAGCGAAGTTTTAGCTGGCGGTACAGGCGGTTTCAGGAGCTGCGCATAGTCCACGTCATTGTAGTCCACAATAACGAGATCGCTCTCTGTGGAAGGTCGCTCATTGGCCGTATCCGTGGTGGTGGTTATGGTCAGTATATCATCGAACTCCTCACTGAGTATAGTGCTCTTCGAGTCACGTCCACTCCCGCCAACTGCCGCACCACCTCTTGCACTGCCCAAATAGCTACTCGGACTGTGCAGGCTGCGACTGTGCATCGACTGCTGCTGCTGCTGAGGTGGCTCGCCATAGCGTGGCGGCTGTCCGCTGCGCTTCTTTAAGGGCGACGGCAAATGACGGGACTGACGGTCCACGTTGCCCAACATCAAGCCATGGACATTGTTTGTGTTAGGAGTTTGTGGTTTAGTGCACGATGTGGAATTGCTGTTGGTATTGTTGCTGATTGAGCTAAGCTCAGATATGGTGGATGAGGATTGAGTAGTGGGCATCTTGGTGCTAAGAGGCTGATACTGTTGCTGCTGCGGCTGATGCGACTGCTGTGGCGTTTTTGACATTTTTGAAGCTAAGCGAGAGAACGAGATTTGATTTGAATTACATAGAATTGACTTAAAATTCTTTTATATTCCATACCAAAGTAACTATCTGTGGCTGCAAGTTGCTGCTGCTGCTCTTCAACCTTCCGCTTCTGTTGCAGCTCCTTGTCCACAGTTGCCGAACTGCTGGAGTTCTCCTTGAGACTGCGAAAGAAGTTGCTAAATGTCTTGGCTATGGGTGCGCCCATAAACGAACTGCGCAGCTGACTCGCCGGCTGTGCAATGGGTGTGTCCCGCTCCAATAGACCGGCCACGTTATTATGCTGTGTGGTGGATAACTGCCGCTCCGTCTCCTGTTGCGGCTCGCTGGTCTCGTAGGAGACGCCTGTGTGCTCAAAGACTGTGCTCTCGCAGTTGATGATAAACTTGCTGCGGAATTCGTTCTGTGTGCTGGTGACAATTGGTGCCGCAACGACTGGTTCATTATCAAACTCATCTTGGCGTCGCAGCACATGTGGCTGCTGCTCTAGGGGTGACGCCTCGGCTGAGCTGTTTTGCTCATCGTTTTTGCGTCGCAGCTGCTCGTCAACATTGTGCACGAATTTCTTGACACTCTGCGTCTGTTTAGTGCCATCCAGGCTCTTGCTTAGAAAGGGTTTGGCCTTGACCGGTGGAGAGTCGGGCGATTCGCATTGCGCATATACCTTCGGCTTGTGCTCGGGCGTCTGCTCCAGCTCCGGCACGCACTCAACCACCGATTGCAAATCCTCAGATCCCTCGGGCACACCACGTTCGGGCAGCGGCATCGTGAAGATGCTCTTCAGCGATCCGAATATCATTTTGCTGCTATTGTCGAGCAGCTGATGTTTTATGTCGTGCACATTGAACTTCTTGACGCGCTCATTGAGATCCTGCTCGTGAATAATATTTGTGTGACGTTTGGTTTTCTTCAGGCAGCTGGACTTGGGCTTCTTCTCCTTGTTCCAGACAGACTTCTGCTTGGGGCTGCCGGCATCCCCAATATTTGGCTCTGAGTAGTAACAGTTGTCGCCTTGGATTTTATTTAAAATAGAGAACATAAGACGTTATATAACAGTCAGAAAATCTAGAGTGGAAGACTCACCAATTAAGTTATTGTTGGCATTGCTCATGCCAATGCAATCGCAGGAGCTGCTTTTGGCCTGCTCATATTGTTTGCGATTGGTATTGGAGTTGCTGTTTGAGTTCTTGTCCTGCTCATCCGAGTCCAGGCTCGAATTGGAGCTGCTACAGGCGCAGCGATAGAGCAAACGATCATCCCGGCGATTAGTATCCGCCGCGCTGGGCCCATACTCAAAGACTCCGGAATTGTCATATTGCAGTCCAACCGGTTCATTAGTGTCATAGATGTCTGTATTGCCATAGTCTAGGACATCCGAACAGGCGTTGCGATAAACTAGACGACGATTGTGACCCACAGCACCGTTGCCGGCTTCTCGTTCTCCTGCATCCCGGCCAGCAGCGCTCAGTTCTGAGGGCGCCTGCACGCGGTCCCGTTCGGCGCACCAGGAATAGCGACCAGCGGCGCCAGCCACGCCTGCAGAATTGCCGCCCATCACGGCCAATTTGCGTCCGTTTTTGTATGTGATAAAGCCATGCTCTATGTGTATGTTGTCAGTGCGTGTGTTCTTTAAGATATCTTCGTGAAATGAGACGCGCTTCTTGGGCGCCTTGGGCGTGGATGATGTTTTGTGCACTTTGCGCCTGTACACGATCTTTTCAGCAGTGTCAAAGGTCGAACAGGCGCTGGCTGTCATGTTGTCTTCGGCAGCAACATTCGAATTCCCATCGATTGGTTGACTGATAGGCAAAATCTGTGTCTTCACTGGCTCCTCGAACTCCAGGCCCGACTGAGAGCAGAGAGATTCCAGCATTATGTCGCTATTCTCGCTATCCAGCATTTGGACGCCAGAGTCACTGGGTGTTGTGTCCTCCTCTAAACTACAACTGGTATTCATACTGAGGCTCATCTTGTCACCGCCACCGCCGGGCGAGACCTTGGCACTCAGATTGTTGTTGACCTTGGGATATAGTGGTGACTCCATTACGACATCGTAAGCATATGTCTCGACTAGCGTCTCTGCTGATTAAATTGTATATCACCTTTTTGTGTAACAATGCTTTTTAAGGAGAATTTGCTTATTGGTTTTATGCCAATTCGTAACGCACTTTAATGATAATGAGAAAACAGACAATTTTGTATATACATATACACATATATATTTAGAAATTATTATATTAGTTATTTTCTTAAGTTTCGTGCTATTTTTCGGTATCTTAGTTTTCTGGCAAGTAATCAATATTAACACCGATTGCACACTGCGCCGCAGTCACATCACGTCACTGTGCAACAAAGGAGTACACGGATGACGACCCCACGACCTCACCTCCCACACGCCTTTTTAGCGCACCCAACAAAACAGCCCCAACTCAACACCCGCAATATTTTAACGGCCTATTTTCACGAACCCACCTTCAATTTGGTGCGAAAATTCCATGCTAAGCTTGTGCTCGGCGCTTTTCATTAATTAAGTAGCTTAGATTTTACAATATATTTGAGTTTTAACTGTTTTATAGTTACATTTTAAAATAACAACTACACACAAGTAAAACAAATCAATAATTATCATAAAAACTAAACGTTGCCAACAAGTTGAAAGGCCCAACTTATGGGCAACTCCTGCGCACAGCTGTGTGTAGTTATGCGTACATCTGGCAGCGCTGTCAGCTGTTTACAACAGGTGTATACCTTTGGCGCACAGTTTTGTACGTTATATGAATTCAAACTAAAGCAGTGCCTACAATTAGTTTTTGATTCCTTATAGTGAACGTATTAGTTTTGCATTAACATGTACGCATACACAGACTATATCAGTTTAATGTCAGGCATTACGCATCTTTTAGATAATAGCGGGCATATCGAATTTGTCGAAACGTTTGACGCCACACCAGAAACTTGGCTTCAGAGCTTAGTCAATCTATGCAACACGTGAGGGATTGAGGGGTATATGTGTATCGGTTTCTCCCAATACGCATTCCGTCTGTGTCTTTGTTTTGCACATACCTTAGGCATGTCAATTTTGAAAAGTACAATAGCAAAGAGAGGAATGACAATGAAAACGAATGAAACCATAGAAATTGAATTTATCACACCTTGAGCGGCGCACGGTAAACGTGTATATAACTCTTTTATATTTATTTTCGGTTACCTCTTTGCCGTATAAACGGAAAAAACGAACAAAAAATCGTCTTGCATTTATTAAATAATCCAATAAAAATCATTCGAATGCGTCAATCGAGTTAAAAAAAAAAATGTTCCAGTTCTGTTGCTCAATCGAAAAATGTCAACCACACCAGAACAATGTGCCGTAAAGCTATGAAACTGAAATATAAACGCAAAAAACAACACGGGAAAACGCGCAAAACTATGCAACATAACTAAATGTAGTAAATAGCCGTTACTTAAAAAATAATTTATATTGGAAACGAAAAAAAATAACCAAAGGCGTGTGTTCAAAATGCAAATGCCAAACATATTTAGACAATTGAGACAACATAATTTCTTGATTGCAGTTGCAATCTATATGCATATACTAGAAAAGTCCATTCAATTATGTGATTGTGTTCATGGTTACAGGTAATAGTTTATAATAATTAACTACAATTCATTTGCCAAGCTGGCAAACACTAAAAACGCACATTGCATCAGACATGGCCGCAACATAACCTCAAATAGAAAAATAGTCAAATATGTTGTTCACTTTTACTTCATTTCATGAAACCAGTGTAGAAAGCGTTATGGTTTCATTTTACAAATCAAGTAAAATAATGCAAGCTGTATGATCCATAACATGCAATGTCTGTGATTAGAATGTATTAACATAACCTTAAAAAATATTTTTGTTTGCTATTTACTTACGCTTACCTGTAGAAACAATACAGAGAGTGCCGAGCTGGTATCTCATTATGAATCAAGTCTATCGCTGCCAGACATATTGCCCATACCATCGAAGACTTATGACAAAAATCGTGCACCCAAGCTGCTGGGCCAGCCGACCGTTGTTTACTTCCACGTCACCGTACTTTCCTTAGACTCAATCAATGAGGAGTCCATGGTAATGATATTCGAGCTGTTTAGGATATTCAAGCTATCTATGATTTCTATATTTGCTTTGCTAAATTTTCACAGACCTATGTGACGGACATCTTTTTAGCACAAAGCTGGCGCGATCCTCGTCTGCGTTTGCCAGAGAACATGAGCGAACAGTATCGGATCTTGGATGTTGATTGGCTGCACAGCATTTGGCGTCCCGATTGCTTCTTCAAGAATGCCAAAAAGGTGACATTCCACGAGATGAGCATACCCAATCACTATCTTTGGCTCTACCACGACAAGACTCTGCTCTATATGTCCAAGCTGACGCTAGTGCTCTCCTGCGCTATGAAATTCGAATCCTATCCGCACGATACACAAATCTGTTCCATGATGATAGAGAGTTGTAAGTGGAGTGTTCTTAATGGAAGACATATGCTTAAGACATTACATTTTTCTAGTATCCCACACTGTGGAGGATTTGGTATTCATTTGGAACATGACCGATCCGCTAGTGGTGAATGCTGAAATCGAGCTGCCACAACTGGACATATCAAACAACTATACAACTGATTGCACCATCGAGTACTCAACGGGTATGCGTGCCTATTGTTCCGACTCTATTGTCAATCTAAGACTATATCCTTCCTCTCAGGTAATTTCACCTGTTTGGCCATAGTTTTTAATTTACGTCGACGCCTCGGCTACCATTTGTTTCACACCTATATACCCTCGGCGCTGATTGTGGTGATGTCGTGGATATCGTTTTGGATTAAGCCCGAGGCAATACCGGCCCGTGTTACCCTGGGCGTTACTTCGCTGCTGACGCTGGCCACCCAGAACACACAATCACAACAATCGCTACCGCCGGTGTCCTATGTAAAGGCAATTGATGTCTGGATGTCATCCTGTTCGGTGTTCGTATTTTTATCTCTAATGGAGTTTGCTGTAGTTAACAACTATATGGGACCGGTGGCTACCAAGGCCATGAAGGGTTATTCGGATGAGAACATCACAGATCTAGATGATCTGAAGGTGAGTTTGGACATCGTTTAATCGCTTCCCAAATTGGTTGAAACTGAAACCATGTAGTGTGTCTTACAGCATCATCATCGGGAGTCCATAATAGAACCACAATATGATACCTTCTGTCATGGCCACGCAACCGCCATCTATATTGATAAATTCTCGCGCTTTTTCTTCCCCTTCTCGTTCTTCATACTCAACATTGTTTACTGGACAACTTTTCTATAGAACCATGTGGAGCACTTCTAATGTTAACTTTAAAAACATTAATAACAATAATAATACAAAACGCATTTGTTTAAAAATGTATATAGCTTGTAAGCCACAGTCGAATTTGCAAGTAAATTATATAATATACATATAACATATATGGTATATTATTTTATTGTATAAATAAAAAAAAGGCGTTTATTAATTAAATTTAATTCAAAGGAAGAAATTAAGAAATGCATTTTAATTGCGCAACAAAGGTGGAATTATCTTTGGTATTTTTACTATATAAGTATGTATGTATGTAGAGTTTAGACATATAGCAAATACATAGGTATTTATATATATAAATATGAATATAAATATGTATAAATGTATATAAAAAGTTGTTATCGTGGCTTTCTTTCCATTTTCATTTCCATCTCCATTTCAATTATAATTGTTCCTTCATTCTTGTCAGCATTATACGTATAATCACATGATATTATAGTATCCTTTTATATATTTATATATATATGCACATTTAGAGTAATATTCTCTTTTTTTAATTGTAGTTACTTTTTCCATTTTACTATATAATTTGTTTAGCTTTTGTCGCTACGTTAATTGTTGCTAAATATTCATGTAATTTATGCAATATGCGAGTGTTAATAAACAACGTTTGACACTAATTCAACTTATATATGTAAAAATATTTCGGTTATAAATAATACACACAGAGCTACTACAGATCCAGAGTAATACACGCGTTCACAAATAAATACTCTATCACATATAAAAAAAAATATATATAGGATATAATAAGAATAATAACGTTAATTGGATTGTCCTAAATAAAACAGAACATTCAGCATAATTTATATATATAAATATATATATATATGTAGCAGAGGGAAGAAGAGCAGAACACGCATTGAACGTAAGCGTTTGTAGAAGCCGCAGCAAGTAGGAGCACTAAATAGATCGCCAGGATAACAAACGATATCTGCCGCTGCTGGATGAATTTCGGGTTTACTGCAAACAAGCCTGCAACTTTTCTGTCCACTCCTGCGCCAGGTTCGCATTCATCGCATAGAAGTTATAGGTGCGCTTCGAGGTTTTAAGCTGTAAGAGATTTAATGGATTTTGTGTAGGATACAAGGTTAAAGCATTTGAGAAAATTGTGACTTGAACTAAAATCCTCTAATCAATATTCTAATAGACTTCAGCTCTGAGCATTTGTCTCTCTCTGCTCTTATTGCAATAACTGTACTTACATCAAAGAAACCTTTTTCATCGACGCGTTTTGTGCCAATTTGTGCGGGCTGTGCGGCAGTCACCGATTGCACCTCGGCCAACTCTGAAAGACGAACATTATATGTCATGAATACTTTTATGTTTACCAATTACCAAAATACATGTTACCTATAATACCCTTCGGCGCTGTATCATCGGATGTATCATAATAGCGCAATTGATGTTTAATCGAGTCCAAGACGAACCAGCGTTGCTTCCATCCCTTCAGCAGAGCGCCACGTTTGTAGAGATGTCTGGGAATAGGATGGATATTATGAATAAAGATCTCTAGATAATTTGGATCTGTAAATAACACTTACCCTTCGTGCGTGCGATTCTCGGCAACATTGCTGCTGAACTGGTTGTAGAAGTGGTGACTGGAGGTGCGTGCGGTGGTCGCTGCACTGGATGCAATGCTGGCGGTATCACCCTGGGATATGTTGACATTTGGCGGCCCCACAGTACCATCTATGGCCTTGTATTTGGTGCAGTTCTTCATGGAGAGCTCCGTACACTTCTCATGATAGGAGTTGCCACAGTCCATACAACGATATCCAACAGGCCCCCAGAGCAACTTAGTGCAATGATTGCAATTGGTGGGCGTCGTATAGGGATGCTTCTCAAAGCGATGCGGATGAAAGAACTTATCCTGATACCCAGCCAAGCGGCCCTTCATTATAATTTCGAGCGTGGAGCGCTTGTGTTGATGCGTCTGGACCAGCATGCTGTTCATTGAAGTTTTGCGCGATATGGACTCTGATTGTGGTACGACCATATTGTTCCACACCAATTGCCACTTCTGTGGCAGATGGCCGCGTTCCGTCTCCGCCTGTTTCACCTCGCTGAGCAGACAGACATAGGCATTGGGATTGCATTTCTCAATGTTGTCATAGCCGGCGCTAATCACCATGCGTTTGCCCTTGATCTCAGACAGATCGATTTCATCATCGACATTGGTCACTTCCAGATCGTAGGGCGGTCCCTGTGCCAGCTCCTCGTTGGTATAAAAGCTCCACAGATCTAAGGCAGCCACGCTATTCTGCGGACGCAGTACCACATCCCTGTTGGCAGAGTACAGGAAATTATAGAATATTGGCGATTTGTTGTGCTGTCGCTCGATATAATCGAAAATGGAATGTCCAATGCGATTCATTTGATTAGGCGTGCGTGGACTGCGTATGTCGAGCGGATAAACATTACATTCATCATCCGAACCATTCGCAGCACTACCGCCACCACCAAATATATGCTTGGTGGTCAGTGAGCCGCGCTTGTCCTCCATGGACGCAATGCCGGAATCGTAGCGCTCCAACTCGCAGTCAAAGAGAAATGTGCGAAATCGACACGAGACCACGTGATAGGCCAGAAAACGCAAATAGAAATCATTAAACTCAAATGCCATGGGAAACTGTCGCTGCAGCTGATAGACAACATCCAGAAACTGCAAAAATGTGGGCGCGAAGGCAATATTTGTGCTGGCATGGGATGGTTTCAAATTGCTGCGATGGGCAAAACGATGTCCGAATGCCAGCCACTCTTTCTCGACCAGCACACGAAAGCCGTCGATCGTGCGATAATAAGGATCAAGGCACAGTTGTGCGATGCTCGACAGCTGGGCAGTCACGTCGGAGCCATCCTCCAGTGAAAGCATGACGCTACTTTCCTGCAAATCAATGAGGTCCACAACGGCACCGGATAGCTGCAGCAGGGTAGAGATTTGTTGCAGCCAATCTGATTGCTCAACCATCTTGGCAAAGCTAAGGCTATCTGCTTCACTGATATTATGTGAGGGCATGCAGGCACGTATCAGTTTCTTGAAGGCTGATCGAGATTGCCGTATATCCGGATAATCCACTGGTATAAAATCCGCACAGAAGTCACCATTCAAATTCGACTTGGCTTGCGATTTTTCACCTACCCAGAAAAAAAAAATCAAAAATATATTAGATGCTAGAAGAGTTTAACTTTGGTATGTGTAAACCTACCTAGGACATAGAGCCGCATCTTCCGAAAGGCGTTCGCTGCAGTCCTTTCATTGCCTTTCATGGTTCCACCTTTGTTGCCGCCGACATTGCCTTTACTACCTTCCGTCATACTCAAATTTGTTCGTTGCTTGCGCATAAACTCTGGTGTTAACGATTGGTGTTCTTCGCCATGTCCGAGCAGTGAGTTTATGGAGAGATTCATATCGGTATACTGATTGAGTGCGTCGAGCGGCGTCAATACAGGCATTGTATTAATCAGCGCCATTAAATATTTGTCCTGTTCCGGATAATGAGTGACATCATTATGCGCCATGGTATTTGCCCCCGTTGTATTCTTGATCATGCCAATTACGGATTTGCTATTTGGCTGTGCACCGCGTATGAGCAACGAGCCATTATTGTGCCGCCACGTGGGCAAGGGTATCCGCTGGCTCTTGAAACAGCGTCCCAGGTGCGTCATGACCGCATCGCTGCAGTGGACCGGCGCTACTATAATGGCCGGATAAGTGCGACACGTGGCATAGTTGGCATTGGCATTACTGATGCGAAATCCGAGTTGTGCCTCTGCATCGAAGCCCAGACGCTTCCAATCACGTACATAGCTACGCTCACGCATGCGCTCGATGTCCTTGGTCGTGAGCAGACGTGGCAGTGCTTCGTTCTGCTGCGTCTCAAACTCATCTCCATCCTCTAGCTCATCGTCTATGGAGTGGGTTTCGAGTGCATCTGTGCTCCCACCGCCCATCTCATACTCCGGGACCAATTTACGTTTCGTTTGGACTTTTTGCTTGAATCCAGCTTTTTTAGCTGTGCGTAACAGCGTTTTCTTTGCAAAGCCCTTGAGCGTGGAGTACTTTTCCTTCGTTTTTAAAGGTACAACGCCTTGTAGCATAGTTCCATACGATTGAAATGCGAAATACTCAAATTCATCAAATGGATGGCGCGCCTTGTTTAGGGTTTTGCGAAACGTTTCGATTTGTTCGAGTGTAACCTCCGTATCGAAGGCAATCTTGAGCAACTGAAAGCAGCTGGATCGCAGCTGCAATCCCTCCGGCAGCGTTTGATCCAAATGGGCCAAATACAGCATCGATATCTTCTTTTCTTTGAGCAGTGAGGCAATGGGAAAGGCACGCACAATTGTCTGCTCGCAAAAGAGCGGATCACAGGGCGAGCCCTTGAAAACGATGCGATAGTTCGTCAAGAACAACGCACCCTCGGCGGGTATCAAGCACTGGGTGTCATCTTCTCGTCCATCGGGCATGAGAAAGCAACGCAAATGATCGCTCGCTAATTCCTCTCCGGGCAGTAGACAAGGGGTCTGGATTTTCGGCTTCTGCACATGCGGATGCCGCTTGGCTTCGAGATAAACTGGCTCCAGCGATTCAATATGCATGTGCACCACGCCCGGCACCATGTCATGCAGATTGCGTATGTGCTCCGAGGTGACGCCGCCCTCCGTGCAAACGCAATCAATGAAACGAGATATTGTTTTGCCTACAGTAACGCCTATCTCAGAGGCATCGTTCTCCTCGAAACCTTCATCGGAATGTTCGCTCAGGCTATGCGAGCCCATAATACTAAAAAGAAAAAAGAAAAATTGTCGATTGAAGAAAAATGCGTTCTGTTCGATCTATTTTATAATACCTATTGGAAACGCTCTGGTTCTCCTCGAGCCGAAAGGGCAGCTTAGGTTTGCTGGCCGCATCCACATTGACGTCGAGCGGTATTAGCAGGGATACCATGCGATTGGCAAAGTGTATGGCCTGGCTATAGAGCGTGGACTCTTCCGATTTGGCCAGCTCAGCCTTTTTCTCCTCCTCGATGGTGGGACTCTTCCGCAACTGTTCTGCGGTTATTTCTAGCGCCGTTGGCTCCTCCAGCGGCACTTCGTCCAGTACACAGTTGGCTTCCTTGTTGTGCTCGTTCTGGCGACGCTGCAACAAATACAGTGCCTTGATTTGAGCTTGCACATCCTGAAAGAATGTGGATTCCCAGAACTGCAGATTCTTCCATATGACATGATCCTGTATTTCCGTATAGGCAAATTGTACCACGCCCATAGAAAGCTTACGACAGAATATAGTTGACATGGGGAGCAGCGCAGCTGCAACAGTATACTCATCCACGCCCGATGAGTTCTGCAGCGCTTTGTTCATGAAGCGCACTACCAAATCGAATTGTTGATGATCCAGCACCGCTTTATTGCCATGTACGTAGCCAAACAGCTCACGACAAAGAATGAGACGTGCGTCTCGATGCTTTAGTGTGCGCATTACGGCAGGCAGTAGCTTTCTCGCATCCGCAATGCGATTTTCAAATATGTATGAGACACAGGTGCGCAGCACCTCCAAGCGACGGGCTGAATTGTGTACCGTTGTGGGTCGCAGCTCCAGTGCTTCGGGGAGTCGCGGACCCATGGGTATAATTCGGGGTTGATTGCGGGTGACATGAAACCGCTGTGATTGCCCATTCTTGCGTATGCCATCCTGTATGATTAGCTCTACTTTTTCAACGTTTATACGTGGAAATGACGGCTGGTGAATGCGTTGAAAAGAGCCTTGCGGCGGCTTGAGCACCTTTTGGGCATAGGTTGTGTGAGCATTAGATGCCTCATTTTCGTACAGTGTGCGACCTAGTTCCTGGATATGTGTGAGTATCTGCAATGGTAGATAAATAAGGTTTAGCTTTGTTATAAATCTTCTTTGTTTTTATTACATACGAGATTCCGGTTTTGTGACTCCGTTTTGAGCAATTCATTCATCGAGCTGTACAGCTCATCCCAGGCATCCGCAGCCCGCCAAGGTGGTCCACGTTCATTAACAAAAGTGGTAAAGAACATGCTATCAAGAACGCGATATAAAAACTCGCTTTCTATAAGATCGCGAGCACCCAAAAATCCAGCCTTGTGAAATGTTATCACTGGCTTGGGGTGAATACGTATGATGGTCAAGCAAGAGCGATAGCCCTGGAGCAGCTGTGCGAATAGACGCATAAATATGGCGCGCAGCTCCTTGTCAATTTGTGCTTCGGTCTTGACCATAGTTGAGTTGGGCCGCTCATTATTAGGAAAGGCGAGATCAGCTTGCGCCAAATTGGGAAAGAGTATCATGCTGAGCAAATCCTGCGTTTGCTCCCACAATGGTGATGGAAATATGGGCACTGGTGGCGTTAGTGCATCTGGTATGGTCACTAGACCACCATCCAAATCTACCACAATGACATCCAGCAAGTCTGTGATCTCCGATTGCAGCGAACTATGTATGCCCATAATGAAGGGTGTTGGCGTGGACAGCACCTCCGTGAGCGGGGCGGGGAGTATGGGTATGTAGACATGAGTATAGCGAAATGGATACATGAGCGCAACCAATGCCCGGCAACTATCCGTGAGATGCCAATAGCATTTGGAGTGAAAGAGTATTTTGTTTTCAGTCATCACGGCGCAAAGTAATATCAGCACATTCTTAATGCCCAGCTGCTTGAACAGGAAGTAAACACCACTGCCCGTCATTGGCAGGGAGGAGCTTTGTGGTGGCTGCAGCGATTGCTTGTCACCGGCGCCAATCGAAAACCGCACCTGCGGCCCACCTGCCGGTGGCACTTGTATGCAGCCCAGAATGTTGCCAATAAGATTCTCCATGGCATATGGCAAATTCTCAATGTACACCGTGTAGATGGTACCCAGGCAGTTCTGTGCAATAAATAAATTTATTGAATATCCATATAATATATACATATCAGTCTTTAACTCTTACCTTAAAAGTCTCTGCGCAGTCAAGTCGAGATATTAGCACCAAGCATTTGGGCGCATACATAATGCTGTGATGTGTTATGGACTCAACGGGAGGAGTGCCCAGCAATCCGCGATTGCCACAGTTGCCATTGCTATTGTTGGCAATGGTCTCATCCTCATCGTCCACCGTGCGGGTCTGGGTGATCGCCAGAGTTTCATGAAAGCTTAAGCACGCACAATAATGCTTATTTGCATCGATGTCGGTGAGCACGGATATAAAGAATTTCGGCTCTTGTTTCTCGTACGATAAATTCCAGCCGAGCGGCTGACAGAACTACAATTATAAGTTTGAGTAAATAATGTGTGTGTGGGAATGTGTGTCAAAATAATGTATACCCACCCATTCGATGCCCTCGATGAAGGGCGTGTCGGGCCAATCTTTCTCGGGAAAGCGTTGCACAATTTTTCCGCATATTGGCTGACCGCAGACATTGCCGGCAGTTTCTGCAGAAAAAATAAAACAAATGTATATTATATTCCAAGTACACATACATATTTAAATATACATATAAATGCATGCGTATATGTGACACTCACTTTCTTTGTCGTTATCGTAGCCAACAATTACAAAGTAATCAGCGAGCCGGGACATCTCGTACGCTTACACTGCAGCTGCACATTGCAGTCTAACTTAGAACTGAGGGGAACTGGGTGACTCTTATAGTATGTTGTTGTTGCTGTATGTGTGTGTGAGTGAGTGCAGTTGTTTGTGAGTGTGTGTGTAAGTGTGTGGTTGGGCCGATGTTTCGGATATTTTCGTTGCCAAATCTACAAAGTAAAAGCACAAAACGAATAAAACAATACTGTTGTTGTTGTTATTATTGTATTTCTCTTTTGTTTTCATATACACACAACAGCAATCGCAGTCGCCAGCCGCTTTGGCCGCCTGCCACAAACTGATTTGCATACTACAAATAATTGAAGCTTTCAATTAATATAACTCGGGTTTTTGTGATTGGCATAAGTAATTAGACGGCTCGTATTGTTCTTTCTTCTTTTATTTTTTGTTATATGTAAACATATTTTTAACGTACACGAATTTTAAGCCACAAACCACACCCCACCCCTGTGTTTAAAGTCAATTGAATACACGTATGCGTTGCATTAAACATATATGTTTATGAAGCATTTTACATATATATGAACACATGTATGTACCGTTTCAGTGCTGGTAATATTAATTCGTTTGATGTCTGGCACTTTTATTATAAACAATTTACTTTAACTTTTAGATTTTTCATGCCTGCGGAATGTAGGGTTGTTGATATGCTATCGATATTTATAGACTCGTGATTCGATCTATTTGTTAGTGCTATTCAACGTTTGATAATTGGTCATTATGCAACACTATATATGTGGCGCATTTGAGATTATTATTCAATTTTTGCAATTGAAAACTTAAAAAGTTAGAAACCGCCTCATATTGTGTAGCTTTATAATGACTGCACTGATAAAATGCTTTGGATAACGGCTTCTCATATTTCTTAGCGTTTACTTATCGATATCGTCCACTGCAATTGTTCACGTATCGATACATCGATACTCATAGCAGTCAGTGTGTGTGTGTGATTTTTTCCCTACGACGTTAATATTTTTGTGCTATTTATGAAATTTTAACAACGTTTCTGGGGATTTAATCGCACTTTTATATTACTAAACCGGTGCTGGGGAAGTTACCGCATGTGTTAAAAAGAAAACTACGTTATAAAAATGACTGCGTTATTTGCAAATTAGCGATTCCCTTACATTGGCATTAAGGTGTCTTGTCGGGCTTCGGGCAGCAGGTAAGCTCCATTCGCTCTCCCCCTGTTCCGTTTTGCGTGCTCACCTAAATTATGCTGCTCTCTTTATTTCGCTCCCTCTCTTTCTTACTTACTCATTCTCATTGACTACCAAAATATTTAGCTCTCTTTGTCTTATTCCTCACTCACAGCTGTTTTTGGAAAAGATCTCAATTTCTTATCAGAGACCTTTCTGCAAAACAAATAAAAGTTGTAGTACACCAGTCCGAATTTCCAGGAAATTAAAAGAGTGTGATAATCAGCAATGGTTAATTCAGGTTAACATTCGGTACCACAATGGAAGCATGAATTTATGCACATTTTGTTAAACACTCAATCGTACTATGTAAATAATTAAGAATTTTCCTTATAGTTAGGACACACAAAATGCTTCTTTTTTTAAAGCAACAACGGCTTAACGGATCTTTGGTAGTTTATTGGCCAGGTAGATTATAGTCACAGTAGGCGATTTAAATAGACATATTCTAAATTTGTTGGTTAGATTTTCTCATAATACTCATATTTACGTGATCGCGTAGACACATTAATCATTTTTCTAATTTATGTTTCTCTTTAAAAGTAAAAAAAAAACCAACAAAAAAAAAGCGTAAGCATGGAAAATGAACAGGATGAACTCAGACATCGACAGCACATGCAGGACCAGCATCGTAACCAGCATCACGGCGTACCGATTGGATATTCTGATGTCATGCTACAGCTTGGCTCCCGAGAAGCCCGTAAGTGGATTTGCAAACTAAATAGAATAATGGCATCACTATTTATAATTCACTTGATTTGATTTGATTGCATTCTAGAACGATCACCATATGCCGTCTACTTTGAACAGCCACGTGAATCGCTGCCGGACAGCTATGTAGTTGTGCCCTCCTATCTTCAATCAACATCGCAGCAGCCGCAAACAGCGACTACTACTGCTTCTGTTGGTGGAGCTGGTAGTAGTGGTAGTGGTGGTGGTGGTGGTGGTGGTGGCGGTGGTGACGGTGCTGGTGCTGGTGCTAGTGGTGGTCCCAATGGTGGTTATGTACCCTTGTTTCAGTATCAACCGACGTCCAGGAGTGTTAATCGCGAGTCCTATGCGGAGCCAGCGAGCTCAACTGGCAACAAGTGCTGGAAATGTAATGTCATTCGCGATGTATGCCATTGCAGTCGGCTGGTAGAAAGCAATAGCAGCTACGCGGCACCCATGGAGCATGTGCATTCCACTCAATCGAATGGCAATGGCGCAGGTGAGCCAACGCAATTCTTTGAACTCAGCTCAACATCAACGGCAAGTGCCACATCCACGTTGTCAGCGTCGGCGAATAGTACCAGCAATAGCCGTAGTGACAGCGGCGCATTCATTCCAAATCACTCGCAACGTAAGACTGAAGTGGGTGTCCTGGCACAACAACAACTACAGCATCAGCAGCAGCAGCAGCATGAGTCACACACGCAACATCAAGAGTATGACAATAGCACCAACAACATCAACATAAATCCCAGCAACAGTGTGTCGCATTTAGGTAGCATCTGGTCCGCTGCCATGGATGACCATGCTGTTGATGAGCAATTAATGCAGCAGTCTAGAAATAATACATCATCGGCGGGCTATGAGCTGCCCAGCAGTTCGGTTTTAAGCTCCCATAACAGCAGCAGCACAAACAGCTCCTTTGAGGCAAGCAGCAGCAACAGTAATAATAATATTAACTCTCATCTGGTTAATGGTAATGCCACTGCTTTTGATGATGTCACATCCAGTGCATCGGATACGGAGCACGTGCAGTTTGCCAATACGCGCACAACCAACACAACCACAACAACGTCAGCGCTGCAAAAGAAAAAGCATCAATCGAGTCGAAGTCGAAGTGGAAATACAACAGCTGCGGCCGTAAATGGTACAGTCATTGACGCGACAGCTTCCGCTGCGACTTCCTCATCGGTCATTGATCTGGATGCTACGCCCAGCACCAGTGCCCAAGCGCAACAGCAGCAACAGCACCATCGTAACCGTCATGTCTATCGGCAACGACGGTATCCCAGCGAGCTAGATCATGCGGGCGACAACAGCAGCGACGATGGCTGGGATCTTCGCATGCGTAATGCAGCAACTGAATCCACAGCTGGACGGCCGCATAGTGCCCACAGCGATTTGGAGGCCCGCCATACGGATCACACGTATTTCAATAGTCGTGGCTCTACATTTAATGGTCTACCGCCCCCACCTCCGCCATCAGATAGCAGCTTTATGCGCTCCAATTCTGCATCCTGCACTACAGCTACTCACACCACCTGCAGCGTAGACTATGGTGGTCGGGACATCTGTGGCGTTCATCGTCTGACCAGTGATAGGGGTGCCGACACACCCATCGCAGAGCAACAGCAGCAGCAACGAACAGCAGCTGTGCTTAAATTTTGCTTTGGCTCGGGCGGGATTGTGCGCACGCGTTCCCGTGTACGCTCAATGGACGAGCCTATTCTGGCGGCTAGCAGCAGCGGTAGCAGCAGCAATCACAGTCTGAATCTGCCACCCAGGAAGCTGTCACGTCTGGAAGCCCAAAATGATGTGCGACTGTCCTCCTCCTCCTCCACCATGTCCAATCTGTCGCCAACGAATTTCTATGCATTTCAGCCAGGCCGTCATCGCCATCGCACCTATGCGGAGTTGGCCCGGAGTAATGAACAACAGGTAAGTGAATCACATTAAATACTGATGGAAAACGGTGATCTATATGATAAATAAACAAAATATGAAAGTATTTTGGTAATATCCATGTATATATTATAATATTGTATATGACTAGAAACTGACATTGTTAAATGTTTCAATATTTTTCTGTCAGTGTTGAGTTATTTTAATACAAAATAGGCGCTTAGAGATATTATTATTTTTGTTATTTTTTTCGTTTTGGTATGATAGACTTTACAGATTATACGATTATCCATAAACTTGAGTAATATTTGTAGGTGGAGCAATCCTTTATTGAAACTAATATATGCCATATGTCTGCAAGGGTATTTAATCAACTAGGAATTCGAAATAAATCCCTCAATAATTGTATTTACTATTTTTTCTGTAATTTAGGAGTCCCAGCAGTCTATGGCGCAACCGCTGCAGCCGGGGAGTCAGCCAACAAGTGCCGGTTCCTGCGTAATAACCTATGTAGGTAGGCCGCGTGATACAGATGGCAGCCGAGCGGCAACCAGCACAATGGAGCTGCCCAACCTGCCTTCCACTTCGACAGGCAGGCGACAACACTCTGGTTCACACACCAATAACAAAGATGCGGTGCTCACGGCGCCGGACCTGCAGCTATTGGATTGGTCTTCCGATTCGAATGACGATGATGACGATGTGGTATTTGTGCACTCCACACGTGAACCAATACTCTCCATCGATCTGACATCTGATGATGATGGCTTTGGTGCCAGCAACGAGGCGGCGATCCAGCAGCAGTTGCAGCAAACACGACATCGTCATCGACTGGAGCAACAACAGCAGCAACACCAACAGCAACAGCAACAGCTGCGGCAATTGCAACTGCAGCAGCAACAAGAGCAGCGTCAGCTGCAACATCAGCAACATCAGCAACATCAGCAACAGCAGCAACAGCAGCAACATCAGCAACAGCAGCAACAACTACATCGGCTTATACGCGATGAGCCACTCGCCAGTCGAACGGCGCCTAACAGCGAAAGCTTAAATCCGCCTGCAGCTGGTTCCAATACTGCCTCCGTGTCAGCAACCCTCCTACCGCGTCCAAATTCGGCTAGCGAGTACGAAGATCGACGACGTCAGCGCCCGGCGGCGGGCACATCCTTTGCTTTTTATACTGGCGCTTTAACGGATCGCGTCGCCATCACCGATCACAACTATAGCAGCTATGATCATACGCCGGCCGCCATGGGACCAATTATCAGTTTGTTGCCCACACGATGTCCAGGCCTTGAAGCTGAGGCAGCGGCGGCGCACTCGCAGCGCTATTTCCAGCCCATCACGCCGCCACCCATGTGGCATTTTGCGCCGTTGCCAGAGGGGCAACCCCCGCCACAGGCACTGCCGCCAACGCCCAGTGCTAATGCGGGCTCCTACGTGCAACATACGTCAGCGGGTCCGGTTATTGCAACGCCAGTGGCGCCGACTCCCGAGGCGGTGCCAAGTGAACATGGCAGTCCCGCCGCTTATTACCATCGCTATCAGCCGTACTATGTGCCGCACTATACAATTACAACATTACCAGCCAGCCAGAGCAATGGCGATTACTCGCCGGGACCGGTGACCAATCCACATTATCAGGGAGGTCTGGCCAATTCCACGGGCAGCAGTCGGAGCTCAATACGTGGCGCACTAAACGCTGCTGCTGTGGCAGCTACTGTGGCCGCAGCACAAGCGCAATCCTTCCATGATCTGTTATCTTTGGCATCCCCAGTCACCAGCATGGAGAACAGTAGCATGGAGGATAACTATCATCATCGTAGCCAAATGTTAAACCGTGCAACTACACCTGTTGCCACTGCCGTTGCCACAGCCGCAGGTCCACCGCCGGTGATGTCCTCCATAGTTACTGTAGCGGCAGCTGTGTCGCCGCCGCCACCGCTCGAGATGTATTCCGGGCGGCCAACAATGCAGTATTGCGGCTCGCCACCGTTTAGCCTACGGCGCTCAGATGCGTACCATAATCATCGCCAGCACTATCAGCCGCAGCCGCATCAAGGCCATCAGGCGCCGCAGAACCAAATGCATGCACACATACATCCGCCACATCGGGCTAGTGCGATTGTGGCTACGTCATTGACGCCGGCCCCACCGTATCCGGTGCATCAGAATCTGTGGTATCGACAGCAGAGCATGCAGGAGCTGCACCGTCGTCACATGACACCCACGCCCATTGATCTCTCCTCGAATCCATTGAATCTGACGAGCAGCCTGCGCACTCGTTATTTGCACAGCATTTGCAATTGTGTGCATGCACGCAATGGACCCGTCTCCAGCCTTGATCCTGCCTATTATCCGGCCTATGACGCAGCTGTACAACAGCAGAGTTCCACGGCCACTGGGCCAATCGATGCCCATCAGCCACCGCCGCCGCCGCCGCCACAGCTGGGAATACAATATCAACAGCAGCAACAGCAACAACAGCAGCAGCAGCAACAGATTCAGCAACAGCAGCAACAACAGCAGCAACTGCAACATCAACAACAGCGACGTCGAGCTGCAGTGCACCATCACATGTTCCATCATTACTCACCGCTACACCTGGAAATCGGGTTGGCCACGCCGCTCTCCTTGGGTTCCTCGCGCATACTGATTGGACCTCCCCGACCCAATCGTGGCGCTACACTGGTAAGCATGCAGAAAAAATCTGAAATATTGCAACTTGATTGAATGAATTAAATTCTTGCAGGAGATTATTGAGCGCAACACTTTGCCTCACAAATATCGTCGAGTGCGCCGGCCCAGCGAATCGGATGAAGATGCGGAAAAGTGCGCGATTTGCTTGTCGCTCTTCGAGATTGAGAATGATGTGCGGTGAGTAATGGAAATTAGGTCGTTTCGTTATCATTCATTAAATATTTATATGTGCGTTGCGTTTCAGACGTTTGCCCTGCATGCATCTCTTTCACACTGACTGCGTGGATCAATGGCTCGTTACCAATAAGCACTGTCCAATTTGTCGCGTTGACATTGAAACGCATATGGCCAAGGATGCATTGGTAGCCAGCTCCAGTGGCGTTGCAGCAGCTGCCGCGGCTGCTGCAGCTGGCACTGCCGCCTTATGACATTGTGTACATGGTTTACTCATGTAAGACATTAATAACGACAAAAACAAACACAACATCGGCTCTAAATCCGCTGCAGAATGCAGTAAAAGGATATGATTTTCGGACTGAGCCCGTCATGTTAAACATTCTTGTCAGGGCCGACAGCAAGGCGCAGCAGCAGCAAAAGCAACAAGAACCATAACCACTGAGAAACCATGTTTTAAAAACAAGCCAAAAAAATATAATAATAATAATAATATTGCATGCCGTGGATACACTGGTGCATCTGGAAACCACACGAAAACAAATCGTCAAACGTCAGCCAATTGGAACTGTGAACCCACCATAACAGGCGAAATCAGGTGTAAAAAATTTGCTGCGTTGCGTTAAACTATATATATATGTGAATATATATATATAATATATATATATAAACAAAATGGACAAAAATTAACTTAAAAAAAGCAAAAACTTTGGCTCAAACTCTACGTACATATATATATATATATATATATATATATATATTATCATAATATATATATATATATATATATATATATATATGTCAATAATATATAAAAATTATTGATAGGTGTTTTCTTTTTTGGCACAATCACCGAATCATTATTATTCCTACATTATAAAATTATGTCCATGTTTTATGAAACGAAATTCTTGTGATTTACAGACATGTACCACGTATTGTTAAATTGTGAAATGCCGCCTCCCCATGATTAATAATTATTTAATGTACCAAACAATAATTGTTATTATAAACCCCCGACGCTTTCCACTCTCTCTTCCACATATTTTATAATTTGTCACGAAATTAAAAAGTGTGGTACCATGAACAAAAAAGAAAACGATAAAAAATAACAAAAACTAAACATTCAATTCAATTGCATTTTTTAATCCTCTATTGAATTCTATTTGTTGCCATATATATGTAATCGATTTTCTGGTTGACTTCACCTGATCCGATCTGATCTTGAAACGTTGTGTGACGCCAGTCACTAAAAAGAAATAATTTTAATTAATCTCTTAAGTTCTCTTTTGGGTAAATCCAAGAAAAATAATAGTAATATAAAACCCAATTAAAAAGGATAATAGACCCTTATATAATTATATATTGATAAACTTGAATTGCAAATCAAATACAAATAATAAAAAGAAAATTAAAATGTTTTTTATTTAGATATGAAGGACTTTCTGCATAAAGGATTAAAAAATTACAATAGCTCAGCTAAGAAAGCTGTGCGATAAAACTTATTGAGAATCCGGTATGCTACAGGAATCCATAAGACTCCAACCAGTTTTGACTGTGGAGATTTAGGAGGTTGTGGATCTAAAAATTATATTTCAGGATTTTTCGTTCTATATTTTCATTTAAATAAAATCGAATTTCAGTTTCCAGTCCAAGCTTGTAACACATTTTAGAGCAGAAATATTTCTATATATTTATCAATCTAAAAATTCGATATTTGAACTGGTATGTATTTAGGTACATGCTAACTTTTATTAAGCCTTTACAGCACAAGGTCTTACAATACTATAGCTAAAAATTGTTAAGAAATGTTTAACAATGATATATATTTATAATGCCGAGCTACAAATATTGAATGACTGGTAGCATCTAGGTAACATTATTGGACCCAGCTGCTGTAGTGTTATTTCCACCATCGTCATTGTCGTCATCGTCCTGCTCCTTAGTCATATCGGCAAAGAAGTCGGAGGCATTTGTGCACTTCGAGGATGGCAAATTGTGTCGCTTATCCTTGTAGGCGTTGTGCTTCTCATTGTATTTAATGTCGCCAAAGTCCTCGAAATATTTGACGTTCCAGAAGCGCACATCGTTGTTGTGCGATGAAGATGCCAATAACTCACCACTGCTATTGATGTCCAGCGATTCAATGGGCATATTGTGCTGGCCCACAACGCCCAGATTGCGATAGGGAGCAATATGACAGGCACGTATGTTACCATCCTCGCCAGCTACGCAAGCAATTCGGTCCGTAATGGGTATCATCAAACTTATGGGACTTTTGACGCCCGGATACATGTCACAATGGTAGCCAAAGTAGCCCCAATTGTAGGTGTAAAGGCGTCCCTTTGAGGTACCCACCACCAACTTAGAGCTGCCCCGATAAATCCCCATGCAGTTCAGCTCCTCCTCATACGGTTCCGATTGCACATATAACTTCCGAGCACCAATATTAAAGGTGGTCAAATAACCATCGGCACTGGTTGCCAACAGCAGTTTGTTCTGTTCGTTAGTTAGCATTTGGGTTATCTGATCCTCCACCTCTTTCAGTTCGAATATGGCATCTTTGGTGCGAAAATCCCAAAGCTTTACTGTGCCGGCATCATCCCCGGTGGCGAATAGACGCTCATCGAGCACATGCAATTTGTTGATGGCATCATCATGTGCTGTCTCATACAATTTTTTTAGCTTCTCCGTTTCCATGTCGGTGACCATGACGCACTTGTCCTTTGAGCACGTAATCAAACTGCGTCCATCCTCGGTGAACTCAACGTCTCGACAGGCCTTTGCATGCACTTCAATTGAGCGTAACAGCTTGTTCTCCTCATTGCCATATTCGTACAGATGTACATCACCAATTATGGTCGCCAGGGCGATAATATCTCGCTCTGGATGGAAGCAGATGTCTGTGATGAAATCCTCCAGTCTAATCTCTGGGGGAGCACTGCGTGGTTTCTTTATAGCCGCAATCATAGCACGGACAGTCTCATCCGTCTCATCGTCCTCATCCAAATGTGAATAATCACCAGATCCACTGGGACCTGAACCACTGGGCTCCGCTCCATCCATTGCATTTTGCTCCTTGCGCCGCTTTGCAATGCTTGCGCCAGCCGTTGCAGCCTCATCCAACATTGAATCATCGGAGTCAGTGTCCTCCGCATTCGGATCGAAGCTACCATCGCTGCTGATGCTCTCGTTAGAGCTGATGTTACCATCATTTCGTTCTGGCTCTGGCGCCCCCATGTCTGCCAAATCGTATTCGTCGTCGTCACTTTCGGATTCGTTGAGTACCTCCTGCTCAATTTCAGCTATTACACCAACTACCATATCGTCATCGATGTCATCGAGTTCATCTTCATCTGCAGGAGTCTTGAAACAATCATGCCTGTGCATCATATGGATTATATTTAATTGAATTAATTATTATTTCTTCGAAAAATAAATAAATACTTACGTAAGCATAGTAGGAATCACCTAAAATCAAAATTTTCCTGGTTTTATTAGACTGAACACGCTTTTTTCCGCCAGAACAACCCAAACCCAAGAATAGCAAGAGGAAGCACCGCATACAACAAAACACATGCCTAGCGCACACAGCTGATGGCATGGCAACAACAACAGTAACAGTAATACAGTAACAAGTTACAGTTTATGCCATGTCACACCCTGTACTCACATATAGAACAGATTCCAAAAGGCCTGACAGTTGAAATCAAGGTAATATGTGATATTAATGTTCAGAGAAATATTTAATTATTTAAGCTGCAGGAATTTTAATATTATTTAACTAGGGATGATGTTTAAATATTATGTACATATTTATTATACTCACACATTTTAACCCCTGGTTATCGCTTGCCTTTGCCATACATTTTGTATACAGGGTATTAAAAGAAAAAGAAATGGAACCCTACAGTGTTGCCAGATGGCCATGAAAACGTATTTCAATTGCCGTCAACTTCTAACAATGGTGTAATGAAAAATCGAACATACATCTCCTCCTGATCATCGCACTGCATCATGAAATGCATCTCCAACAGCCCGCTGGCATCAGTTTTTATTGCCACCTTTGATGCCACCTGCATGGCTTTGTTTGTCAGCTTTATTTGCTGACTTTTGTATCTCGCCACCGTTGTCGCGCGACAGTTGAACAATATAACCATATCACTTGACTTGGCCACCTCTACGCTGGACTCTGCTTGCATGACACCCAAAGTGGTGATTTTGAAGTGTGGCTTTAACGGTGATATGGTAAACTCGAATTCATCAGCTGCTTTGTCCAGCTCGTGAAAGATGTTGGATAAATCTGGGCCACGCATAAATATGGTGTTCAAACTAGAACTATTTGCATCCAGGTCATACTCCATTGGCTCCTCCACATTGGTAGTTTTAATGGAGCACTCTGTGCTAACCTGATCGTCGTCGTGAGGCTCTAACAACAGCAGCAATGGTGCACCTTCGCCCTTATACAGTATTTTAATACTGCAATCTGAGAGACCAAACAGGCTCAGGCACTCCGCCAGCACATTCATCTTCACACTGAAGCTCGGCGAGCCGTCGACCTTGAATTCGGCAAAAAATGCTGGAGCTATAAACAATGTGGCCTGTATAGATTTGCCCTGCTCCACCGTGATGAGTAGCCCATCTTCACTGGCTTGCAGAGTACCGAACTGTAACATAAAATACTTGATGAAAAATGTATAAATATAATAGTAGTAGACTTTTTTACATCACTAAAACAAATCGCCTTGATGGATGAGTATAAGGTCTTAATGTGCTCCAAGCGACACACCAGATTATAGTTTTCATATTGTGATTGTGTTAACATTTTACGGTTTTTAATGATGCCCTTCTCGTACAGCACTTTCGAATGCTGCATCAATCCTCATAGATATCAATGTGAAAATACCTAAACTGATCAAGCGTCAAGATCTGAGTCCGTGGTTCTGGATGTAATAGCTGATTCAAACACTGTGCCAATATGTGCTCACACGTAAAAGAAACTTGATTGCTGTTCAGTTTCTCCTTTTTGCGTTCCTGCTCTCCTGCTTCTTTCAATTGCAACACAAAACGTTGGAAGTAGCGGCACTTGCAATAATTAACACCAGGTACAACGCGCACAACATGCGCCAAGTTTCGCTTGCTAGACAATTCCACTATACTGCGATAGCGGTCTGATGTGTAGTAGGTGATAAAGTTCCACTCATCAAGTATATGTAATGCGCGCTGTAGAAGACCGTCTCCCAACAAGGCGCTCAACTCTGAAAATAGCTGCGAGCGTTCCTCTATAATGAAAATAATCGTTATAGCTAAGTAAAGGAAAACGGACCGTATTGATTACCTTTAGTTAAAATTACACCATTATCTCGTTTATACTTATTAAAAACTTGATGCACCAAGCCTGGTATGAACAGATCCTCTGTTTTTATCAACACCACATTATCAAGCGGCATTTGGATATGTAAATAATTCATCTTGATTCGCAGATATCGATTTATGAATTTCCGCGCAATTTTCGATAAGTGCTCTTAAATTTGTTAGTCAAAGATTTTGACCTCTGCTATTCGTTAGAGCTGGTTTATTCAAATAGAATCGATTGGACTTTATTATCTAATGTCTTATTTGTAAACAACAAGAAATAGAACTATTTTTCTACTTACTGAATTTCGATATATTTTTATCCCTTCCTTGCTTGATTGCAAAATTCTGGCAACTCTATTCAAGTAAAATAAAAGGATGACTTTTGCCCGCGTTTTTTATTTTTATTTTATATATGTTTGTTTACATATTTGTTCACTAAATTTAGTTTTATAGATGCTTAGAATTGTGCACAAGCTAACATAATGTCTAGAAAGGCCGCTAATCAGAACAAACAGCTGACAATGTCTGCATTCCTTGGTCTGGACAGCAACAGCCAGAGTCAATCGAGCCAACTTACGAAGCCCGCAAGAAAAAGTACTTCATATATATTTTCAGATGAATAATAGAATAATGTGAAACTGTATTTTTGTCTTAGATATTTTAGCAGCAAGGACAGCAAAGGCAAAGTTTTATAATCCCATTTATCTCGACTCATCGTCATCCGATGAAGATGATGCACAGACTCAAAGCCAAGTGCCATCGTCTACTACAGCGACAGTTACGAATAAGGCGCCTGACAAAGATGCCAATGGCAGTGCGCTTATCAAAAGGTACTGCTTTCAAAATGCCAACCAGTCGCCACTAGCTCCACTGCCAACAAATTCTGTGAACAAGCAACAGTCGCCCCCGAAGGCAACCGTGGCTGGGAGTTTGAAATTGAACTTTGATAACTTTGATGAGGTGCTCAGGCAGGATGCATCTTACCAAGCGACTTTATCAAAGCTCAATGGCCATATAAATAAATTGTCCGAATCGCCACGCAAAACACTTTCACTGTCGCAATCTCCAAACAAATGCGCTGAATTGAATGGCATTGGATCATCGAAAATAAACAGCTCGTGTTCCAGCAACACTCTGGACGACAGTTTTGATAAAATGGTGAAAAAAAACGTCAAAGAGGAGCCCCTATCTGACACGCCCACTCAACTGTTCGTGTTGCCCAATAAGTCGGCCCCATCTTCAACGGAATCGAATACTCCAGGTTCCCTAGTGGTCAACACAGAGAAGCCCTCAGCTGAGCCAGCAACGGTCAGGCCCAGACTTAAGATAGTGTTTGATAATACCCTGGCTGACTATTTGCGAGATTTGGGCCAGTACGATATAGGAATGGCCAAGACCGACATTGGACAACAGAATGAGACAATGCTAAGGAGCACAATGGGCATGTACAAGAGCAAGTACATAGAGTTAATGGAGAAATACTGCGAGGTGATTGATCAGATACCCGCGGTGCAGTTTAATGAAATCGATGGCTTCGAGGCAAACACTTTTCTCAAGCTGAAAGTCATGCGTCAAAAGTTTAAGGCGCGTACACAACTCCTGGAACGACAAATAGAGCGCAGGCGTCAGGAGCGCAATGTGCAGCCGGAAGAGCCAGACTTTGATGCACTGGAGCAAGAGGAACGCGAGATCCAGGCGGAGCAGCATCACACGCCGGCAGAAACGCCTTACAGTCATGCAACTTGTCCGTCAGAGGAAGCGAACGAGGAGGAGGTAAACGATTTGGTCTTAATGACTACCAGAAAACCAACAACAACAGCCACATCAACAAAAACATCTTCGAATAGAAACTATACAAATGGCCCACCTGATGATTTGGATGAGCTGGTGGCTGTAGATGGTCCAACAGAGTCGGACGAGGATGATTATTTAGCTCAGACAATGCGACTCGATGAGGGCGAAATATTCAGCTCCACACAATGCCCTTCCCCAGTTGTATTAGCTGCCCCAGACAAACCCACGACTGTTATTGAGTCCGACGATGATTTTGAGGAGACAATGAAGCAAATACGCGAGGAGCACGAGGCGCTGAAGGGACGAAAATCGGAATTTAATAACTATGCCTATGCTGATTTCGAAGCTATTAAGCAGCCACCAGCAAAGAGTTTACAAACCGCTAGCCAGACTCCAACGGTTGTTCTTGATGATGACGGCTTTCCAGAGTACGATGAGGCGCTGTTTGAGCAGGCTCATATACTGGCGTCGCAAACTATTGACTTGACTTCCAACCCGATGGTCGAAGCCCAGTCCAAGGCTACGCCTAGCACAAGCGGAGCTACAAGTGCACCAGTAGCAGTGACAGCTCAAAAGATCGAGGCTAATTTCCATTCTAATGTACATAACGATGGCATTACTGGCGAATTCGATGGCCAGAAATATGAGCACTCCACACGTCTGATGCAGGCACTTAGCTTTAGCTTTGGTCTGAAGAGCTTTCGACCCAATCAATTGCAGGTTATAAACGCAGCACTGCTGGGCAATGATTGCTTTGTCCTTATGCCGACGGGTGGCGGCAAATCCTTGTGTTACCAGCTACCCGCGATTCTCACAGAAGGCGTTACCATAGTCATAAGTCCACTAAAATCTCTGATCTTTGATCAGGTTAGCAAGCTGTCGTCGCTAGATGTGAGTAGAGTGGGAAGGGTATGCGAATCAATGTATTTCATCATATTTATATCCATTGCAGATCTGCGCCAAGAGTATTTCCGGTGATCAGTCTTTGGACGAGGTGATGACTATATACAGAGACTTAGAAAGTCATCCACCGCTGGTAAAGCTACTATACGTTACACCAGAAAAAATTTCCAGCTCGCCGCGTTTCCAGGATACATTGGACCAACTGAACGCCAATAATTATATCAGTCGTTTTGTCATAGACGAGGCTCATTGCGTGTCCCAATGGGGCCATGATTTTCGGCCCGACTACAAGAAGCTGGGCATTCTGCGTAAGCGCTTTCCCAATGTGCCAACAATGGCGCTGACTGCCACAGCGACACCTCGTGTGCGCCAAGACATATTGCAGCAGCTGAATCTGACGCATTGCAAATGGTTTTTGTCCAGCTTCAATAGACGCAATTTACGTTATCAGGTGCTACCCAAGAAGGGAGTCTCTACGCTTGACGATATGCGCAACTTTATACAGTCACGACCTGCGACCGCCAGCGGCATTATCTATTGTCTTTCGCGGAAGGAATGCGACGAGGTGGCGAAGAAAATGTGCGCTGTGGGCATTCGAGCGTTATCCTATCATGCCGGCTTGACGGACGTGGTTCGAGAGTCCCGCCAAAAGGATTGGATAACGAACAAGGTGCGGGTAATATGCGCCACAATCGCCTTTGGCATGGGCATAGATAAGCCCGATGTGCGCTTTGTCCTGCATTATTCGCTGCCCAAGTCTATCGAAGGCTATTATCAAGAGGCGGGTCGCGCAGGGCGTGATGGAGAAATAGCCGACTGTATCCTTTACTATAACTATAGCGATATGCAGCGCCTGAAAAAGATGATGGATGGTAAGTGTGGGAGCTTCAGTATAAAGATCACAATAAAAAATTCACTACTTGTTCTATTGCAGCTGATCGAGCTCTTCAGTATCACGTCAAGAAGATACACATAGAAAATCTGAATCGCATTGTTGGCTATTGTGAGAATATTACCGATTGCCGCCGTGCTCAGCAGCTGGATTACTTTGGTGAGCATTTCACAAGCGAACAGTGCCTGGAGGATCGGCGTACCGCCTGTGATAATTGCCTGAAGAAGCGCACTTATAAGCAGATTGATGCCTTGGAGCAATGTCGCAAAGCTGCGTGTGCTGTGCGGGAATTGTGCAGCGGACGGTCACGCTTCACACTGCTCCATATAGCCGATGTACTGAAAGGCTCTATGATCAAGAAGATTGTTGATTTTGGACACAATAAAACACCGCATCATGGCGCTCTAAAAGACTGGGACAAGACGGATGTACAGCGTTTACTGCGGCATATGGTGTTGCAGGATTATCTAAAGGAGGATCTTATTTTTACAAAGGACATTCCTCAGGCGTATATTTATCTAGGCAATAACATAACATCGCTTATGAATGGCACACCGAAAATAGAATTCGCTTTGTCACGTAAGGAGAGTAGCGGTGGCTCTAAGACGGTGGCCAGTGTCTCTGAACCAGCTGCAGCCGGCAGGCCCGAAATAAGTAATCTACACGAACGCTGTTATGCAGATCTGCTCGATCTGTGCCGCACCATAGCCGCTGCACGTAATGTGACCATGGCTAGTATTATGAATATGCAGGCCCTCAAGGCCATGGCCGAGCAGCTCCCAACTACAGAGAAGGACATGTGCGCCATACCACACGTAACCAAAGCCAATTTCGATAAATACGGAGCCAAGTTGCTGGAGATAACCAGCGGATATGCCTCAGAGAAGGAATGCTTGCAGGTCATGTACGACTTAGAGGCCGCAGAAGCTGCTGAAGCTGCAGCGGCTGCTGCGACTCCCCAAACTTCAAGTAGCGCCCGTGCATCGTGGGCGGCTCAAGGTGGTGATGATGATGACTGGGGACAGGCGGCGGCATCACAGGGAAGTGGAGGATCGGCGGGTGGAATGCGTGGCGGCAAGCGTAAGCGGGCTTGGCGCGGACGGGCCACAACCACTATCAAGCGCCACAAGGGCACCGCATCACCGCGCAAAAAAGCGACGCCGGTGAGAAGCACTCGAGGTGCCAGCAGCAGCAATCGAGGAGCGACATCCAGGAGAGGTGCTGCCACCGGTGCGTCCAGTTGGTTGGGTAAGAAAACGGGCACCAGCACCGGCTTTCAATTGATGCCGATGCCCGGATCGCGGTAGCAGAAGAACAATAAACATGTTTTTGTTTTGTCACTTTGTTAACCAACAACAAGCTTAAGCTATACTAATTTTTAAGTCTCCAAGCGGCAATTCTTATCAGAAAAAAAAAAATAATCGATGCCAATTTATTTGATGATCGAACGCAATTTCTCCTCGAAATCATAAGCACCCATGGACCATATCAAATTGCTGTCAGTCTCCACCTGCACAAACTCCGTGGAATAGGTATTCGAAGTACTGACCATACCACCAAATTCCAATTGTGCATGATCTACAAATGAAAGAAGTACATTAAGGGATCTATGGGCAATCGGGTACTCATGACACACTTACATAAGTTCCACTTGAGACCCTGTGTGGTCACATTGTGAGCTGTTCTGCCAACAGGTATTAGAGAGCACCAGCGCTGACTGGTGACCAGGTCAACAGGCACCTGTATAGTATGCTTGCCTGGTCGCAGCAGCCACGTGATAGAATCACCGCTCAGAAGGTATACATTACAATTTTCTTTCTGCACTTTGAACAGTGTATTCAGGTTGGCCATCACCTGGTCTAGTCGACCAGAGCAATCATGAAACACTACCACATCCTTAACCTTGCGCTGTACCATTACAGGCTGTAGAACTGCGAAGGCTTTGGTAAAATCCGTAGCATCCTGATCGGGCGTGCTTATTTTCGGTATTCCCTTAAAATATTCAATCGTATCTTCCGTAATTGAATCAAAATCGCCTGTTATCAGATCTGGTGGTTCAATGTCGCTCGCCGCAGTTTCACCATTGCTACTTTTCTTACCGTCTGTCTGTGATATGATAAAGTTTTTCAAGTGATTGGATCCTCCATCGACGGCACACCGCAAGGTCGCTGTAAACAGAATATTGGACGTCCTTATTTTAAAAACTTATGTTTTGATTATGTACGTTTTCAGATTTACCGTTCTTCCATAACAGTTTGACCACGTGAGGTGGAACCTGAATTTGTCGATTGAGCACAATGCAAACATGGCCATTGGAACCAAGTTTAAAGTTGTCACTAATAAGATTTCCTGGTGTCCATTTGTACTCTTTCGGGGGTATCGTGTGGTCCATTTGCTGTCGAAATCCAATAGTTGTTTTTGTACAATAGTTGCGAGGGTGTCTACAGATGCTGCCAGCTTGTCTGCAAAAGGAACTGCAGTCTGGCAACGCCAAAGTGGTGCCTGCGCCGCGCAATAATTTGAAAAGGGCATTTTTGATAGCTGCCCCTGCTGCCATCTTACGGCAGCGGGTGCCGTTAATTCGTATGGAACTCATAAAATTTGATATAATATGCTTGGCACGACTTGGCATTTTACTATTTAATTTAAAAAAGCGACATGAATAACGACTACAGACTTTGCGTCAATAAATCAACGCCGTCAACAAACCGATTATAAGCGGCTTGCAACTCTGCAACGCCGCAAACAAAATGGCTCTGATTTTTGCAGACTAAAAAAGATTCATTTTGAATTTTCGCAATATAAAAATGCCAATCACTAGAGTAAAATGAAGGAAATAAAATATAAGTTTAAATGGTCGTGTGTACGAGAACAACATAGGTATTACAAGGAAGATTGTACAAATAAAATGGTGTCGAAAGTTCGTGATTAAGATTTGAATACAAAAACTAGTTCTCATAAAACGGCACACACACACGCACGAGCTGCAAACAGCTTCCCAAAAATGGAAGGTATGGATCTGTGGACGTCAATGTTTTCAGCAGATTTTGACGAAGGCGGTGGTGAGATGGAGGGCCATAATAATGGCGATAACGCGCTGGCAGACGAGTTTATGGGAGAAGAGGACGAGGAAGAACAGGAGGCTGAAGAGGATGAGGGCTCGGCCGACGAAAGGGGCAGCAAACAAAAAGGACACGAGCCCGATGACGATGCCATATTTGATTTTGAGCTAGAGCCTATTGTTAACATTGCGGAACCAGAACTGGAACCGTTGCCCAGACAAACGGCTGTCTCCCTGCAACCCCCAATGCCAACGGGTCCGGCCATCCGACCCCAGCACCGCCAGTCGTTGCCAGCGTCGTTTAGCTCTCAGCCTATGATGGCTCGTGGCGGTGCAGGTACACCGTCCACACGGCCAACAACCTCACAGATCAATGCCACCGATGAGAACGGCGTGCCCATCAATTATGAACTCGGCGTTACTTATATATGCCCCGCCTGTGGCGCAGAGTATAGGCAGCAGGACATGTGGAAGCGTCATATGAACCAGATGCATCAGTACAATACCCGACGAGGTCTCAATTTCGTGGCCATTGACAAGTTGTATCACCGCTGCTTGGAGTGCAACAAGCGCATCGCGATGCACAGCAGAGAGAATTTGCTAAAGCACAAGTTCACACATTTGCCATTTAGGTGCACCAAGTGCCACATATGCAAGCGCGAGTACAAATACAGGCAGGACCTGATGGTACATCTTCGAATGGTGCACTGTGATGAAGTGGTGGCCATGATGCGTGGTGGCAAACTGAGTGCCGGACGCAAGACGCGTGTTCGTGAGCCGCGCATCGAGCAGCACCGCGAACATTACGGACAGGCTCATGACGACGACGGCATTGAGGTGAAAAACGAGGTGTTGGAAACAGAAGGCAGCGCGAAGGCAGCTCAAGAGTCCCATCATGATTTCGATGATGAGTACAGTCACAGTTCCAACCAAGCGGCTGTAAAGAAGCGTACCACTTCTGTGGGAGCCAATGGCAGTGGTGCAGCGGATATTTGCGAGGACTATATACACTATATGTGTCCGGATTGTGGCACCGATTGTGATACGCACGCCCAGTGGAGTCAGCACATTGAGTTTGTACACGATTACGTCAGTCGAAGGGGGCTGAACTTTCGCTGCGTGGATATGCAAATGCAGTGCCTCGAGTGCAAGCAGGTGAGACTTGGTATGATTATATCAGAGATTGCTTTATATTGCCATATTTTTTCTCTATTCAGTTTGTTATCCCGAACACCATTAAGACACTGCGCACACACAAGTTCAGCCACTTGCCACAACCGGAGTGGATGCGTTGCAAGCTGTGCTATAAGGGTTTTACAGAGCATCATGAAGTTATGACGCATCTTCTTAAACAGCATAATTTGGAAACCTTAATGCCTGAGAACGAGGAGGAGGAGCAACAGCAGCCATTGGCTATATCCAGTGTGGGTGATGAGTGTGAGGAGAATCCTGGCATTGGTTGCGATGATGAGACTTCATTGCATTGGGACGATGTGCCTCGTCGTGGTGGTCGTATCGGTAGCGATGATATGTACGAACCTCATATTGATTATCTTTGTCCGCAGTGCGGCAGAGAGTTTATAGAGAAGAAGCATTGGCGCACCCATGTTGTACAAGTGCATGGCATGAATGATCTGACCAAGTTGAATTTCGAGGTGATCAACGATCGCCAATTGAAGTGTACCGAATGCGAGAAGATCATAACAAATGCCTATGGCATACAGAATGCCCAGCAGCACAGAATAACACATTTGCCCTACAAGGCGTACGCGCGATGCCGCAAATGCCATAAGTCCTACACGGACAGAAAGGGTCTTGTCAAACACTTGGCAACATACCATCGTGTGGGCTACGAGCCGCGCAAAGTGGTTGGATCAGGAGCAGGTGTTGCACCATTAACGCCAAACAAATCACACACGCCGCGCAAGCAAATCGTCACCGTGGCCAATGAGACATATGAGATTATATATTTGGATGAGGAGCAATCACCGCCTAGTAACAACAATATAAATGATGAGAATGATTTCGGCGAGCAAATGCAAGCGGACGACGATGACTACGCTCTAGGCAGCACCAGTGGCTTAATGGGTCGCCAGCCACAAGCACCGACTGCTGTCGCTCCTGCACCAATTCCTAATCCGAATCGTTATAAATGCGTAGACTGTGGCTCGCTATTTGCCACACAGATCGCATTAAAGACGCACATCAGCGAGGAACATGATTTTATGGACACGCAATACAGTGCCAAAAAGTTTGACAATGCGGAGCCCACGGAGGAGGCTGCTGCAGTGCCGGTTGCCGTTTCAACCACTGCAGCTAGTTTGCCTGTAAAGAACACCTCGGGAGCTTCCACCATAGAGCAGAATTATATATTCCTGTGCCCGTCGTGCGGCAAGGCCTACAAGACTCAGTTCGAGTGGCGTCGCCACATCAACGAAGAGCACAACTTCGACAAACGGCAGTATTTAAATATGCGCCAGCTGGACAAATATCGCTATCAGTGCACCCTTTGTAAGGATGTTGTGTGCAATTCTAAGCTGAAAGGCTTGCAGGATCATCATTTTCGTCATTTGCCTTATCGGCTGTATCTGAAGTGCCTGGTGTGTGGCACCTGCTACAATCACAAGCCCAACATCGCAGCGCATCTGCGCACGCGGCACAACATCTATGAACGGGAGCCCTCATCTTGGCGTGATCAGCACCAAAAGTCCCAGAATGGCCACGAGCAGCACAAGCATAAAGATAAGGATGGGGATACGCAAGCAACTGCTGCCACCTGCTCAGCTTCTGCCTCACCTACTCCCAGTAGCAGTCGCACGCTCAAGCCACAGCCGGGCGTGTTGCCGACGAGACCTGCTGGACTCAACACATTGGAGGATAGTATATCGTATCACAATGCCGTGGATCTGGACTTCATCACCTATTTTTGTCCCAAGTGCAATAAGAACTTTGACTCGCACGCCTTTTGGCGCAAGCACATCGTTGAGGTACACAACTACAATAGTCGGCTAGGCTTGAATTTTCGCCAGATTGACATTCATCACTATCTGTGCCTGGAGTGCTATAAGCGTGTGACAGTGACGCACACTAAGGGCGCCATTGGGCAGCTACAGTCGCACAAGTTCCGACATCTGCCTTATCGCTCCTTCAAGTGCTTGACCTGCTCCGGGGAGTTTGTTCGCAAGCAAATGTTCTTCAAGCACTTGAACCGCGACACTAATCGTTGCGACAACAAGCCATTGACTGGCCAGGAGAATGATGAAGATACAACGGATCAGTCAGACAGGCCGCCTCCCATGCTCGCAAAAGAGACACTCGATGTCGCGACATATCGCTTGATGTGTCCTCAATGCGGTGATGGGTTCACCACTAGCAGCAAAGCTCTGTGGCGAGAGCACATTAACATCCATCATGGTCTAGGCAAGCGGGAGATGCTGCACATGCGCAAGCTGGGCGACGAATTGTATCGCTGCACGGACTGTGAAGAGCAGTTGCAAACGAAGCAGCTGAGAGTGCTGCAGCAGCATCGCTTCCAGCATTTGCCCTATGCCGCATATATACGCTGCCAGCTATGCGAACAGCAGTTGCCGGATGGGGTAAGTCATGGTGTGGCGGCTGCCGGATTACACAGTATGCGTGAACTGCAACAGCACATACGCGACGTACATCCGGATGTGGTGGCGCAGGACAAGCAAATGCAAGTGCTATTGGACGAGGAGGAAGATAGTCAGCAGCTGGCTGTTGGCGGAGAAGCAACTGATAGCGGACTCTATATGCCGCTGCCGCCGCATTTGCTAGACGATGCTGCAGAGGATATGGAGTTTGAGGAACAGTATCTGCTAGGTTAAACAGAAACACTGGCCAAATCTTGCCAGCCCAGTGTACAACAGAATCTGCAAGTCTGCCAATAGGAGACCCCATTTACAATTTAAAATCTCTATAACTACATATAATGATATATCTAGCTGAACATAAGTATTTATAGATAGTTTATGGTTATACAACTCACATAAGAATTGAAATTTCCTTAAGAATTCTCATTTAATTACTTAAGTAGATTATAAATAACACTGCAACTATTTATTATTTATCACCATGCCCTAATCTCCCAGTCGAGTACCACATACAGATATACATTACATTACAAGCTAACCGTGAAATTATTATGAGATTTCTGAATTAGCTACTGATACATAAATAATTCATATATTGACAATGTACAATCTATACTTTGTCCTAATTTATAGTTATTTGTTCGATGACAATTAACTAGTATCTCATTTTACAATGATTGGTCTCTATTTGGATTAGTTCTAGAAACACAAATCAGAAAAAAATTAGCAACTTAATATTTAACATTAAATTAAATTATATCTCTAGGAAAATTTATTCTTTTTATTCCAAAACGAATTCAAATTTTATGTAATTGACTATTTCCTTCAAATGGGGAGTACAGATTGTATTTTTCTCTTTTTAGTGATTTTTAGCAGCTTTAAACTTGTACCCGCCCCTTTTTAGTTTTAACTTTAGCCTTTCGTTAATATACTGAAAATAAATAAGAAAATTGAATATGACAAAAAATTGTTTGTGTTTCTCTATTGAATCAAACTTGGCTCAAAACTGCAGAATATCATTCGACCAATTGGAGCGATACATTCGTCCACTCTAATATTACCCGAGTACCTCTTAACATTCTGTTAAACATCTAAAAGATTCAAAGTGAGATGATGGCTACAAATATTCTGATAAGATTATAAATCGAAAATTACTATCAATGAGGGTAAGCACAGTACATACTACTTCAATGACATACAGCCGATCGGGCGAGGGGCTTAGGTACTCGAATTATTTATAGAATATTAATTGACACGAGTTATTATTAATTAGTAATAGTATTTTCGTTTATTATTAATTTCGACTAAAAACCCATATAACATCCCAAAAGTGTTTTCTTTTCCTTGAATTTTTACTGCGTGTATATGTATTTATCAACGATGTTTGTAATTTGGCAAACACGAGTAAAAAAAAAAAAAATAAATAAAAAAGAAAGAAAAAAGACAAACAATTTGAAAAGTAATAAAATATGTATATTGATATACCTATTTATATACATTTTAATGCCAGACATATCGAGCAGCTGACAGTGCAATGTGATCCAATTTAGTACGATAATAATACGATATGTATTGTTTAATAGAATCCTAAATCTAAAATTTATTTCATTTTTGTGTATTTCGTTTAATGTTATGTAATACAATAAATAATAATGAATACTTTTGAAAAGCATAAACAAATTGCACGCATGTAATAATTGCAACTATTTAAATAATAATAAAATATATAAAAATACAAATTAGAACAAAAATCGTTTTCTTATTCAATATAAAACAAAACTTTTGCTGTTTTTCATTTTTGTTTGTTTCTTTTGCCAAATACTTTTCGTTTGCGCATGGAATGAACGTTATCTAATTGACTGTTCTTTAAACAGTTTTCCTTTGTGGTTTACCCCATTATCGTTTCGAAGCTTGCAATTTGTCAGTTCCTTTCTCTTTTGTGCACGCCTGTCTCACTATTCGACTTTGCCTAAGAATTGATACAAAACTCATGCATTGAGTGTGTGTGTGTGTGTTTAGTAACAATTGGTTTCTCTTTGTTGTAGAAGTAATAGTAAATGGTTCTGTTTTTATTATTTTTATGTTTGCAGCCTCACAGCGTGGGCATATTCCTTCTGCTGCTGCTGCTGGCGCCTCCTCCAGAAGCTAACCCATCCTGTTGTGCCTTTTGTTTGGCGCGACGCGCCTTTTGACGGGTATGCTCGATTTGGAAGTCTTCCACACGCAAGTTGAGCCGCATCATATTGTTGATGATGAACTCCTCCTCCATGATATGCTCGGGCGGGGAGCGTAGCACCTCTAGTGTTTCGCACAGACCAGTGCACGTTTTGCGCACCTTGTGTCGGCTGAGTGAGGCACCAATGATAACCAAGGCCACCTTAAACATTACTCGGATGCCCTCGGCAAGAAAGCAATCCCAGACTCGCAGCAACGTCTCCCAGGGCAGAGTGCGTGTCATGGCGCACAGAAACCAGTCCGTCATATAGAGCAGCGGCTCCACTTTGTGCTTCTGCAGGTGACGATAGACGGGTGGGCAGGTTTTCTTAAGCAGTCCCTCCAGGATGCCTGCATCATTTTGTATCACCTCGAGACCAGGTATAAAATAGTCCTGCAAGTAGCTAGAAACAGGTATGAGTTTTTACATAGCTCAAAATGAGGAGTGGCGAGACTTACACATCACATACGCTCACGAATACCCAGAAGGCATCCTCTGCAGGCAAATGCATCAATAGAAATGCGGCTATTGGCGCTTGCGCTTGACAGAAGCCAACCTTGGGATTATATATCGAATAGGCTTTGAGCACATTGAATAGCTCGATTTGGCCCACCTTCTCCTCGTCGAGAAACATTTCGTGAAATGGGAACTGACGATGTTTATCTTTTCTAATCTCCTCTATGGTCGATGGATTGCCGGGCTTCTTCAGCAGCTCCTCATAGACATCGGGATTCTTTTTCTTAAGCAAATAAGCGCCGGATAGATAGAACCAAGCTTTTGGGCGCACCGATTTAGGTATGCCTTTACGACATCTGTCACGTATCTATGATGTGAAGTGGAATAAAATGTAATTAATATTTTAATTAATTCACTTAAGTATCGCATACTAACCTTTTTGTAGTTCTTGGACATATAAATGGACCAGTTGTCAATCATGTAGAGCCATTTCTTTTCACGCGCTATGATTTGTGCCTTGGACAAAGGCTCTTTGGGTTTGTCACTGCGCTGAAAGCCGCCATAGAAACCATTGCGATCGGGGCAACTGGATACGGTGGAGCACAGCGAGATGGTATCCAAAGCTCGCGGTGGCGTTGCCATCTGTGTCAATTGTGCTGCGCAGAACGATTGCAAACTAAATCCATAAATTATTACAACACTAACATACGCCCACAATAAAGCAATTTAACCTGAGTGCTCAACAAGTAGATGCCCTATACACAGCGCTACTTTTTAATATTCTAAAATGGGAAAAAGTATATAAAAAATATTTTCACAATTAAACCAGAATATTCGACATTTCTTATTTATTTTAAAATAATTTTTTTTCTGTTTTTTTTTTTTATAGTCGATTAAACTTTCTTGAATGGGAACAAGGTATATTATGAAAGAAAAACAGCTTAAGATATTTGTAAGGGTAAGTGTAGGTGGATTGTGAGAGAGGGCTACGATATTGAGATAAGAGAGACAGAGAGAGCGAAAGAGAGGTAGAGCGCACCCAACTACAAAAAGCGAAGACAATTTGCATTAATAATCTGATGTTTGTATTTGTAAAAATGAAAAACTGCGCAATTAAGTGCGATCAACGTAATTTTTGACGGTTTCTCAATCATTCTCTCAATATATATTTTTTTCGTTTAGCACATATTAGTCACATAAATATATACATATATGTATATGTTAAAATTTCATATATACATGACTTTAGCTAACTACAGATATGATTTTTATTGTTTATTTATAACGTTTGCTTATCAGCGGTTCACTTAGATAATAAAACCTTGAAGATTTGAGTTCTTATTTGGTTTTCTGTATGCGCACCTTGGTCGGTTTATCTGAAGGAGCTTATCCAAGCTGGCGCTTCGTTTTTTTTGATGCGTGCGAAATAACGGAACCATTGCAACTATTTCAAAAATCGTCTATGCAATGCCAAAAAGGTTTTAAATAAATTGCTAGAAAGACACACAAAAGGGACAGACGGCAGAACAGCCGGCACAACTGTTTTTGAGTTATATACATATGTATGCATGTATATAAACCAGCACGTGAAATACAAAATCAAAGAATTTACGAAGGAGCACGGCATTTATAATGTTTACTCAATTAGTCAGCAACGGACGTAAAAAGGAAATAGTAATCTATAATATAAAACGTAAACAAAGAACTCAACTAATTAGCGATATATAAATAAACTGTTACAACAAATGTATATTACAATATTTACAATACAGTGATGTCTCTGATAGTGGTCCTATTCTGAAATACGAATATTCATTTAAGCTCAACTTGTTTAAATTAATATCAAGTTTATTAAGTGGAAATAGAATACAAATATAGAAACAAATTTAAGTTACACAAATGAAGAGGGAAGTGTAACATGGATTTGCGACCTCTTATAAGAGTGATCTTCCAATTGGACACCGGAAGATGCAACTCAAATGTCAACTCAGACGTAAGCATTGCACTATGGGTCAAAAGCCCGTTTTTTTGGAATTAATTAATAACTTTTGAACCAGTCAAGATAATTAAATTTGTCTTTTTGCAGTTGACTTTCGTTCGCAACACGCGTTTGTGATGAAAAAATGGGTGTGGCACCGCCCCTCTTTCATATTATTAGCTGTCATAACTTTTTTATTTCTTAAGTTATTTACACCAAATTCATATATTAGGTGTGTTGTCATGTTTTAAAGACCCTGTAAAAAAATTATCAATATCGGTTAACTATATCATATAGTTTTTATATGTAGAAGTTGGGGAAAAAATTTTTCATGGAATAAAAGGTTATATTTTATGATTTGAAGCACAAATAACATTAAAATACATCTCTTTTATTGTTAATCATCGTATTCTTCATTATCTGAAGCTAGCATGCCATAAACCTATAAATTTGAAAAGTCCTGCCTTTCGGACATGCTTATTTCGTCTTCCTCATCTGAAACGAGGTTAGTTGCTGAAAAATGAAATTGCGCAAAAAGTGCGCAAAAGTGCACGTTGAACTTATAGGTCTTAGTTCGGAATTGAGTACTCTATAAAATGGGCGTAGTTTCATTGCTACAAAATGCTACAAACACAAGTTATCTCTTATCAAAGACAAACATTTTTGTTTTAAATGATGTCAAAGACAGCTTTTTGACTTACACAAAACCTCACATCACATAAAGATTTTGGACAATATAAACACGTAAAAACAAAGAACAAGCCCTATTCCATACTTTCCACTAAAAATTTGAATCTAATTGCCATTATTTTTATTTCAATTGGCCATTGAAATTCATATAAAGTTTTTTACAAACTTGATAATGTGCGTGTCATGCATAACAGCTCTGTTTAACAGCAGTTTTGTTAGCAGATCGCGCCTCTGTTGAAATTCTGAGTATGTAACATTTACATATAGGGTATTCCTAATGGATTGGCATTAAAATATTGTAAATTTTTTCAACTTGAAAATAAGACTTTTTTCCAAAAAATCGGGCTTTTGACCCATAGTGCATTGTCAGTTCGAGTGGCTAATGACAGGCGACTAACTAATTGAGGCAACTGTGTATGTAGTTGACTTTAATAACCTACTGAATGGTTAATTGCAAAACAAAAAGCGAGTGAGCAACTACGCAAGTGAGCAAATAAAAGTGCAAATGCAGCGCAGCTGCAGGGCGAAAAGAAAGTCGCTGTGACAAAAATCTGGTGGGAATTGCGGCTGACGAATTGGAATCACTACAATTCTTATCAGCAACACATATTTTGAAAATTGGTGTCTACTTAGCCCAAGTCAATTGTGAAGGTTTTATTGAGTAATATAATACATACACCCACACTCACAAAGAGACACGCACAAACACATTCACATGAACATAGCTCAGGCGGTTTGCGGCCCACCCACCATCAGTGCTAGCATTGCTCTTGGCTGCCATATTGCTTGAGCGCTCCAAAAGCAAGTGTCACTGTATGATACTATGGCGGCTGTGGTTGCCTGTGTGTGCGTACAATACTAAGCGATTGTTATTATTAACGCGACGCTGTCGCCTGCTTGCTCCCGTCATACACATTCACGTACACTTTTTGCTTACCTTTCGAGTTGCTGGTTCTGGCTGGTTGCTGTTGTTGTTGCCTATTGCCACTGAACTGCTTCCGTGGAATGCGCAATAGTTGTTTTCACGTTTAACTTTCTATGCTTTCTTGTGTTATTCGTTTTGTTTCACATTTACGCACACACTTTGCGCCCGCACAAATGTGTTGCATTTATTGTGTGAGTGGAACCACTATTTTCCAATTGGATTTTGTTTATTTCTTATACAAACTGGGAAGGGTGAGGTAGCCATCGGAATGACACTTGTTTTCGTTTCTCATTTGCTTGTTTACGCGTTAAAGCACGTTTGCTTCTTGTTCAACCGCACTTTTTGCTTTGGCACACAAATTGTAATTATTTTGACGTGTTTTAAGCAAAAATTGCACAAGAAATACAATTATTTTTTTTGGGAGCTACGTGTGTTGCGCGAGTGAACAGCCGAGCACTTAGCGATGACATTTCGTTGGTCTTTGTACGAAAGCAGTGTTGCATAGATTTCGATAGGCGAGGCGCAGGTGTTCATGTAACATTAACAGAATCGGTTGTGTGAGGAGCATTAACAGTTTATTTAGCGCGAATATTCAAAATGTTAGTTCGTTAAATATTAAAAATAATTTTAAGCAAAATGCATCTTTAATAGATGGGCACATTCCACTTCGGCAGTTGAAAATTTTCTCTTCTATGATCGCCCAGCATATAGTGTGCCAGTTGACATAGTACCAGCAATAAAAATGGTAATCCTTGCACAATAAAAAAATGGATGACTCGAACCAAATCTTGCCAAGAGATAATTTCAGAACGTATTCGAAATAGAGCAATTATCGCCATGAAATTGCACATGATGAGCAGTCTACAGAAAATGTGCCGTCGACTTAGCCATGTCATATTACAGTTCGCACAAATGATGCATAGCAGAAGGAAGATCGGCAATAGAATTTTGATTGTGATCAGAAGTCCATTTATGAGCGTCGAATAGAAACCAAAACCCGTGAATCGCATGTAGAAGCGAAATTGATCTACTGCATCAATGTTGCCAATGACAAACAAAGAGTAGCAGCTATAAATTAGTATATACATTGCCAGTGTGGATTTCCGATTGATGCCCGTTCCGATGTCTTGGTTGAGACGCAGCTGCAACTGTAGTTCCATGGCCAGTAGTTGTATGACCAGTGGCTCATAGGACGTGGAAAGCAACGCATACAGTGTACACAAATCGAAGAGGAGCTGCTTCGCACCGTCCCGTCTTTGACGTGGAAAAAACACATAGCAAGCGAATGCACGAGCAATCAGTTGAAGTAAACACGCCTGCGAGCTGAAGAGGACGTGCAGTCCAGCCAGGAGCAGTACCAGTCCATTGAAAATGCAATATCGCCGCTTTATCTGCTGCGGGCTGCAAATAAACGGACGCACTGCGGTGATGAATAGGCTGCCGAGCAGCCAATTACCTTGCCAATAGCCCAGTGCCGGAGGCAGCCACGATAGCGCTGTGAGAGCACAAAGAAGCAAAACCCAGATGACACAGATTGGTGAACGCTGCGCAAAAGCGCTCCGATTATGGTAGCAGGCAAATCCAAAGTAGATGAGTCCAATGAAGCTGCGAAAGAAGAATCCGACAAAACAGCAAATGGAGAACAGCATGAACATTATCAGCTGGCGATACGATATTAAGTATTCCTCATGAAATACACCTTTGTAGCTCCAAAGGAGCGTCGGCAGCAGGAGGATACCACTAACGAGCCAGGGCACACGCTGCAACAGCACAAATATGATTAACAGAAAGAACACCAGGCGCACCAGTGCCTCGAATATTAGATTTAGCACACTTTGTGATCCGGCTTTCGTGCCACGTAACTGATGCACCCAGCCCAGAAAGGCGAAGGCGCTGGCCCAAAGCAGCGCTTGGCGATAGTAGTGGACATAGTAGTCGGTCAACTCCAGAAGCTTGGGCATGAAACTACTGCAGTACTCCGTGAGCGTGATGTACCGCTGCTGATGCCACATCGAATCGGCCGTGCTGACGAATTTGTGGATATTCACGTCGCTTAGCTTATGACTGGGTAGGAGCTTGGTCAAGAGACCACGTTGATGTCGGCCTAGTGCCGTTTGCGCCAGGTTGACAAACTGTAGCGCATTCAAGTAAGTGGCATGTGCTTCATGGAAACTGGTGTTGAGCAGACCCGCGGGCAGCTGGCCGCGATTGTACATTGGGAGCGGCAGACCCAATAGACCACTCATGACTGAGACCAACTGTTTGGCGTCCAGGACGTGTAGCGGTAGGCGTTGTCCCTCTTCAGTGGCCACAAAGCTGCGACCTGGTTGGGTCGAGCAGTTGGCCACACCTGCTCCCCATAATACAAATGGCATCTGCACCTCCCCGTTGTTGCTGGTATTGTTGTCCCCTATTAGAACATGATCAGTGGTAAAAGTTTAATGAGTTCCATACATTGAGGCAGCTTACCTGGTGATCCCACATGACGTGAGGTCAGCAAATATGCAGTGCGCTGATCCTGAAAAGCCCGTTCAAATATGTTGTAAGTCTCCCAAATGGCACGTTGTGTATAGTTCAAGTGTTGCTGATAGGTTCGATATAAATTGGGCAGGTTAAGGCCCTGCGCCTGGATAAAGAATACCTGACCGGTGAGGTTCTGCATGTGGTGGGATGCTATTAGAATATGAGTCTTCACTGCCCTAAATGTCCACTCGTCCAGGACGATTTTTTTGGTGTTATCGCCTTGAAAGTTCTCCTTCAGCTCCGCTGAGCACCAGGCATGGCTGGAATCGCTCCGATTGAAGATTGTGTCAATGGGTATTCTATGCACTGCTTCCAGGACATCCTTATGGCAGCCAGAGAAAAGTGTCGTAAAAGTGTCGCATCTGTTAGTCACACGCGCACGGCTTATACCAACCAGACCCTGATGCAGAAATATCTGCTTCAGATGCGGCACATTACGGCAGCGTTGCTCGAAGAATGACTCCACGTTGAGTCCATCGACAGCAAAGATGACCAAACGATTGGCTGGCGGCTTTTCCAGCAACGGTTTCTGTGGCTCCAACCCACTCAGCAGCGTGCGCCGAAAGTAGATGACGTACACGGAGAACAGCAGTAGCAACTGCACAGCGCAAGCATACCAGTAGGTAATGCCCATAATGAAAAGTATACCAACAAAAAATAAAATAAATTGTCAAATGTTGTCAAATGGAGTAAATACTTTCTAGGCGAGCTAGATATAGAATTCTAAGCTAACTCATGTCTAGATATTAAGTATTATTTTTATACCCTGAACCCATTTTCAATGGGAAATCAGGGTATAATGGTTTTGTTGAAATGTATGTTACAGGCCGTATGTATGAACGCGTCGATTTCAAAAGATATAAGAGCTAGAGACTTCAAATTTTTTAAATGTCCGTATTTACAGCGCGGATATGGAGTTTATCACTAAAAATCGATAAATCATCTCGATCTATTTTTATCGATAAAAAACCTTATCGAAAATCAGTTCTTAAATTATATCTCCTAAATCTTTGGAGCTACAGTCTCCACATTTTGAATGTATATTTAGATGCATTTTACACAATTTCGGTGTGTGTGTGTATGTGTTTGTGCGTGTTTCTTGTGTAAGCAGAAATACGAAAAAAATTATTAAACTAGCTATTGCTCGAAGGGTTCAGGGGATCTCGTAGTCGAGCAGTCTCGACTAGAGCTTTCTTACTTGTTTATAAATATTTTTACCTAATATATTACTCCAACAGTTATTAATTATAAACACAAGAAAAAGCTAAAAGTTAATGGATTTTAAAAAGTAAATATTTATATACATGTACATAGTATTTATTTTATTTATATATTATAAAGTATATTTGAAAGAGTAATTTGTTACATATGTATATTGGCGCGGCAAATCGGAAAGTAGTGTATCTCAGAAATAATTAATTATTTACATAAGTTTCTTTAGACTTCAAATTTGGGATATATTGGGTTTTCAACCAAAAATTAAAAACTGCATTTACTGCATGTGGATGGAAACAAAAAATTTTATGAATAATAGTTCTTGTTGGACAGCTTTATTAAATTATAAAATTGGCAAATTGAAAAACCTGAATTTTTCAGTGTATGTTACTGCAGACTCCATCTTGAACGCTTTACTAATAAATATTAACATGGTTTTGGCAGCAATCTTGTGTTATTAAAAAATCATTCAGAATTAACCCATCAAAGTAGGCTGTGGGATATTTCCAAGTCAAGTAAGCATTGCTCCATTACATATGTGAATTATTCCATTAAAACTCTCAATCATTAATAGGTCATAGAAGAAACAGTACTGTTTCTTATTTTTATTGTTATTTTTCGAAAATGTGGAAATATTTGGCTCTGTTGGTGCATATATTGCTGCTTGGATATATTTCGTTGATCTATTACCAAAGCTCGGTTATCAATGGAATGCAACCACAGGTTGGACATCGCTCTTTAGGCTTGCAACCGCCAGCAGATCGTCTGGTTGTATTTCTCATCGATGGCTTGCGTGCTGAATCATTATACAGCAACAAATGGAACGTCCTACCCAATTTGAAACATCTATTTATGGACCATGGTCTGATTGGTATATCGCACGGAAGTGCTCCAACCGAGAGTCGTCCCGGCCACATTTCCATCTTTGGTGGCTTTCAGGAAGATGCTGCAGCAGCCTTGCGCAATTTCAAAAGAAATCCTTCCGTTTTTGATACGGTATTTAATCGGACGATGGGCGCCTCGTGGGCTTGGGGCTCCAAGTCTGTATTGCAATTCTTAAAATATTTGCCAAACCATGAAATGTATTTGGATATGCATACCGAATCGGAGCTCACGGGAAACAAGTTTACACATAAGTTGTTGCACAGTAAAGTGCGTAAGTTTTTGGCTGGATCATTTGACAATTCGACGCTGCCGTCAGTCTATCTTGTGGATTTTAATAGTCTCGTTGGAAATGAGATTGTGCTCAAGCCGAACAGCGATGAGTTTTTGAAGGCTCTCAATAATACTGAGACGGTCATTAATCAGCTATATAATTTATTTGAACAATACTTCGGGGATCAGCGAACGGTGTATCTTCTGACATCCGATCATGGAATGACCGATAACGGTAATTACTTCTTTTCTCAGATCTCTTTTACATATTTACAATATGAATTAGGTCGTAGGTTACCATAATCATAAAAGAGTTTTTTGTTTGTTATGAAGTTCATGTTAGTTTTTACTATGTAATTGGTAGACTGTGCATCGATTTAAGCTGAGCAGGATTGAGTTGTTAATAAGGCTGATATTGTTACTGATTTTGCAGGTGATCACGGCGAAGACAGTTTATTTGAGATTGAGATGCCATTCATCTTTTGGGGCGCAGGTATCGAGCGACTGGAGTCTCCCTTTAAAGATATCTACGCGGCGAAGACAAATGGAACTCCAATGCAATTCCAGGAGCTGAAGCAGGAACAGCTCGCGCCTTTGATGTCCGCTTTGATTGGACTGCCGCCGCCACTGAATAATCGGGCCACGCTGCTCATGGGCATGATGAATGTCAGCCGAACATATGAGGCACACTCAATGTACCTGAATGCACGCCAGATATTGGCGCAAGTTGAACAAGTATTGAATAGGCAAGAGCGCAGCTACATCTGGAAATGGCTGCCCCGATTTGAGCGCCTGGATAGACATCGCATAGCACACTTTCATGAGCAGATCCTCACCCAGATACAGAGCGGCTGTCTTAATGAGGCAATACTGTGTAGCCAGAGGATGATACATTCGGCATTGGAATGCCTAGAATACTATAGACTATACTATCGTATACCACTGGTGGTGGCCTGCATGCTAACCTATCTGGGCTGGTTCTACTATCTGCTGGCCAAGCAGGGACGTGCCGAGCATGAGCCCACACGGGGATGGTTCACTATTGCAAATCTGATTCTCTTGATGATGGAGCTGCTCGTGGCTCTGACGTGCTTTTTGCATAGCGTCCCATGCAGTACCAGTTTCTATCTATTGGTGCCAGTGCCCATGTGGGCATTGGCTCTGCGGGAGCAGGGCTTGCAGTACAGCTGCATGCGTGCTCCGCTCATTCAGCTGGCCTGGATCGGCGCTGCCGTGGTGCTTTTCATTGCCACGTACTTCTTCAAGCCGCTCATCGCGTTGGGCTATCTGATCGTGGTTTGTGCAAACAATGGACACGCCTTTACCCGGGCACCTAGGCTACGATTTTGGCTGTGGGTCGCGGTGGTTGCCCTGTTGACCGGATTCACGGTGAAGCGCCCCGATTTTGGATGCAATTCAATAGTATTGCTATTCCTGAGCATGCTCGTGACCATACTGCGTCCACTGCTGATGAACGAGCGACATGTCTGTAGAGTCTGGCTGAGCAATGGCAGTGCCTTGCTGTTGGCCACCTATTTAGCCTATGAGCGCCTTTCCAAGAATGAGATCAACTGTGTGCTGCAGGGCGCTGCCTGGTTCTATGTATTATATGCATTCATCTCTATACCCTACAGCAATACGAAGACACCGCGTCGTCGTGTTCAGCTGATTCTCTTCAATTTGAGCACCGTATACACATTGTTAAGCGTCAGCTATGAGTCGATATTTATGCAATTGCTCTGCACCGAGTTTCTGCTGGGCATGCAGGTGGACACGGGAAAAAAGAATTTGACAGATTCAGAAGACAGTGAGGGCGTTGAGGACGAGGCGAAACCCGACAAATCTTTATCTTCGGAGGATCACATCAACAAAATCTATCGCTATGCTGTGCTCATACTTGTCTACGCTTATTTCTCGATGATTGGCACCGGAAATCTGCTCAATATCAGTGCATTTGATACGAGCTTTGCCCACATCTTTGTTTCGGACTGCTCGACGGTTTTAATTTTTTTGCTCTACATGCTGAAGGTGATGATACCCCTAATTATTATCATGAGCAGCTTGTGCGCCTTCCGTGCTTATGTCCGCCACAATCTGTGCGGCATTTTTATCTGCTTGTTCCTGATCTGTGATGTATTATGTCTGTACTTTTTCTTCTTTGTGCGCAACAGTGGTTCCTGGCGCAATGTGCGCGAGTCACTCTCCCAGCAGCTGATCGCCCATGGAGTACCCATGCTGTTGGCCGCATTTTCGTTCATACCAAATCTACTCCTGAGCGCCATACCGCTGACCATGCTGCCCATGCTCAACTGGAAGAAGGACGTAAAGATGACACAACTGGGTCAAAGTCAGGTTTAAATATGTGTCTCAGTTCCATTTTGAATGTTCCGAAAATTTAAGTGTTTATGAATTGAATAAAGGTTCAATTGGATTGTCATACTTTTCCATTTGAAACGAAAGGCACATTGTATTTTTAAAGATTCTGGTATATATTCAAATTATCGCCACGATAACACTTTAAGTATCTCATTTTGACTTAACTAAAACAATAAGAAATTAGTACTAGGCAGTTTTCAGCTTCTGTGATTCCAAATGCGCCTATAATGGGATAATAGAATTCGTTATTTATGTTATAATACGAGCATTTAATATGAGAAGATACTAGCCTTTTCTGCAACTGATAATAAACTGTCAAAACTGCTCTGACCCGTCTCCATAACCATGCTGTGGAAGATCTTCGATTCGCATTCTGTTAGCAACTCGTATGGCGAGCCAAACTCGACCATCTGACCAGCATCCATGACTATCACCTTGTCCGAGTCCATAATTGTGTTCAGCCTATGGGCTATCGTCAACACTGTGCATTCCCTGAACTTGTTTCTGATAGTCGTCTGGATGAGCGCATCTGTCTGTGGATCCACATTGGCTGTGGCCTCATCCATTACTAGAATGCGATTCTCGCGAAGAATAGCGCGCGCCAGGCATACCAATTGCCTCTGCCCCACACTGAAGTTGGTGCCACCCTCGGAAATCTTACTCTGAAGTCCATTTGTAAATTCGCTGATGACAGGTTTCAGTTTGACCTCCTCCAGAGCATCCCACAACTTAGCGTCGCTATACTCCTCAAATGGATCCAAATTATAGCGCATGGTACCCGTAAAGAGCACTGGCTCCTGAGGTATAATGCTAATTTTACTGCGGAGATCGTGAAGTCCCAGCTCGTTTGTGTTGCGGCTATCGATGATGATGGAGCCATCATTATAGGACAGGCGGAATAGGGCGTTGATGAGTGACGACTTGCCTGCACCTGTGCGGCCCACAATGCCCACTTTCTCCATTGGTTTGATCTCGAAGTTGAGAGACTTAAGTACATACTTGGATTGAGGATCGGGTGAGTAACGAAGACTCAGATCGTCAGCCACAATTTGACCTTGCTCTGGCCATGTGGGTGGGGGCTTTTTGCTTGGTTGGGATTCGAACTCGCCTTCAGGCTCAATATCATCATATTCCAATATGCGCTCCACTGCTGTCATTGTGGTGTCTAGTTCGGCGGATTGGGTCATGCCATACTGCACCATTCCTGCCAAACTCATGGCCTGGGTAATAGCCAACCCAACCTCACCAGGCTTGGTAGGTGGGTTGATGAAGTAGTTAAGTACAATTATGATTGTATATAAGGCACAAAAGAAATCCACATAGTAACCAAAAGCACGACTTGTGGACAGAAAAGTGTAGTAGCCAGAGCTGTGTAGATCTTGAAGATTGTCGAACTCGGCTATTAGTGCCTTCTGAGCGCCGAGTGCTCTGATTGTGGTAAGTCCATTAAGTGAAGTGCTCAGATGAGAATAGATGGGAGACCTGGCAACTGCCTCCAAACGTTTAACATCTCTCGACGTCTTAAGATAGAATTCTCTGAGATAATAGAAGATGACACCTAATACAAAAGTTAGTATTAGATAATATGGATTGGTTATACAGATGACAACAATGACGCCTGCCAATGTTAGAAAGATCTGCAGCACATCCAGCATAATTGTGGGCAGCACTTCATCTAGTTGTCCCAGATCCTTGGAGAAACGATTCAGTATACGACCCGATGGGTTCGTATTAAAGAAATACATAGCTGCCCTGGAAATGCCCCTGAACATGGAATTGTGCAACTGTATGGAGCTTCGCCTCGCCATTGTATAGAAGAGAATTGGGCGCATTACGCTGAGTACGACTGCAGCTACATTGAGTGCTGTGAAGTAATACATATCGACGGGATCATTATTGAGGATGTCCGTGTTATTTTTAGTCTTGTCAACCCTAAAAATTAAATACTTATAATCAGTTAAGAAATTCTTTGAAATAACACTTACCAGTAGGAGAGAAATATATCCGCTGCTGAGACGACAACTTGTGTGCCAATACATAGAACAATCATAAATAATATCAAGACCCAACCGCTGCCCGATGAAAAATATTCCTTATAGAGACCTAAACTGACTTTGCCTTCAACGCGAGTCTCTTGCGGAACCAGGGCTGTGTCCTGTATAACGGAGTCTGCCAGAGAACTCAGAGATGCGAAACTGTCAGTGCGTGAGGCTTGGCGGCTGGTTTTTGAGTGCAAACTAACATGGTCGCCTGCATCGCCCTTCTGTTCCCCCACCGCCTTTTCATCGGCCTTATTTATATCGGTTAACAGTTGTGCAAAGTCCAGGCCACTGTGCTGCATCGTTGCATATGTGCCCATTGCACTGATCTTGCCCTTGTCCATGATAACAATGAGATCGGCGTGCTCCAGAAACTGCAGCTGATGTGTGACCAATATAACCAACTCGTTTTTAAGATACCCTCTCATGCACTGGTCGAACAGATGACGACCCACATGTGTATCCACAGCACTGAGTGGATCGTCAAGTAGGTAAATGTCCGCCCTTCGATAGACAGCCCTGGCCAGGCTGATGCGTGCTTTTTGTCCTCCCGAGAGCGAAGCTCCTCGCTCGCCAACGATCGTCTTGTCACCTTGAGGAAGTAGTTCAAAATCTCGCTCTAGCGCACACTTCTTGACCACCGTCCGATAACGATGCTTGTCCAGGGCTAATCCGAAGAGAATGTTTTCGCGGACAGTGCCAGTGAAGAGCCAGGGTTCCTGCGCGGCATAGGAGAATCTGCCGCTGACTTTAACACTGCCTTTTTCAGCAGGAAGCTCGCCAAGAATCGATTGGATCAAACTCGACTTGCTTGCGCCAACGGGTCCTATAACTGCAACCAGTTGTCGGCGACCCAGTTTTAGATTGATATTGGTTAGAGTATTTTCTGTGGCTTTGACATCCCACTTGGCATGGAATTGGTTGAACTCAACAAGGGTCTCTTCATCGTTACCCTTCTGAGCTTTGTTTCCATTTTCATTACTTATCAGCACTCCATTTTCTTTTAGGATCTCTTCTTTAGAATAGTCTGATTCTGTTAGTGCGTTAGATTTGTCCAGGACCTGAGTCTCCTCTCTATGCATAAACGTCTCCAGGCGCTTGATTGACACCTTGATCTCCGCTAGTTGTGTGATGCTCAGTGGAAAGAAATTAGTGACCGCTCGCTGCAGCAGGTTGTAGTAGGCTGTGATAAAGAATGCGTCGCTAGCATTCAACACGCTTTCTAGCAGCACGAAGCCCACCAGACTGACAAAGGTAAGGGTGCGGGATAGGCACATGCCAAAGGCAATAAGGACTCCTCTTATATAATTGACTTTCTTGATGCAGTTCATCTCCTTGCCACGCATTAGTTCGACTAGTTTGCCCAAAGGCTTCTCCCAGGCGTACATCTTGATTACTTGAATGCCGGAGATAAATTCGTTCATCATTCGTACTCGTTCGTCCGTACGCAATGCTGTCATCAGACGCAGCACTGATGTTTTTTTTGCCAAATAGGCTTGAAAGGGTAGGAAAAGCAACATTATAGCAACTCCAAAGAAGGACGCGACGCCGATCTGTAATTATTTGTATTATAATAGAAATTTAGGACATTTATTCATTTACCTACCTTTTGATACATCAAAAAGGTAACCACGAACAGCTCCAGCGGGGCCAACCATAAGAAATGAACATTAATTAAGATCACATCGAAGCGACTCACATCGTTGGACAAGAGGTTCACCACCTGACCTATCGAGGTGTCCCCTAAGGATGTGTGACTCAATCGTAATGCTTTTCTATAGACCAGACTACACAGAGCCACACGCATTTTCATGCCCAGATGGAGGAGACCGAGTATAAACGGATGCCCAGTGACAACAGAAAGTACAGAGGCAGTGATAAGACCCGCGGCATACAGTTGTGCTTTTAAAGGGTCTATATCCTCATTCGAAAAGTACGACATAATACCATATAAGCAAATTGGCTGAGTTACTCTAGGATGAATAAGATTATTAATATTTGTCTAAGGTAAAAGATAACGTGATAAATCTACTTACTTCACAACGAACTCTCTGATTCCAAGAAGGAGTCCAGTTACAAATAGATGCCAACCAAATACGCGAATCACGACGCGCCCCAATCGTGGTTGTTTTCCCTGCGCCGATCGTTGGCTAACTTCCTCATCCCAAGTTGCGCACAAACGATCGCCTAGTGTATCTGTTAACACAAAAATAAATATATATATTCAAATGCAAATCTAGATAATATCACCGTAGATTATTTTCTATCGAACTGTAATGAGTCTACCACAATCAACAGGTACTTCATTTTAAATATGTAAATAAAAACATAGTAAGGTCATTCGATAGTATCGAAATCGTCGATAACAGAACCAGGATGTTCAGGAAAAATTGCTTTGAAAATGAGCTGAGGCTTAAGAATTAGTTCATGAGCTAGTTATATTTATAAATTTAAACGGTTAAGATGCTTGTCATTGAGGAGATATTTGCTTTACTTACCTGACTTGTGCTCTTTTAATGGCCGGTAAAGATCTGACTGTTCCAATGTCTTCTTGCGGCCCTTAAACAAAACCGGAAAGACAAAGCTGTACGTTGACAAACATAAAGGGATATAAAGATAAATTCAAACAAAGATTACAAGATGTATAATATGGAGACTGTTAAGAAATAAACATAAATACAAATTGTAGTCCTATTTCACTAGATTGCTAGAATTGAGAGATTTGGTTTTCATATAAGAGGCATCCGAATATTATCTATGTATGTATGTATATGCAAGGTCACAATGACGAGCAATTGTCAAACACATGTTTGTATGGATGTATTTGCATACATACCTCAACAACTTACAAAAACAGTAATTTTTTATTTTAACACTATTAAAGATAAGATAATGTTATATCTAGACAATCATTATCATAAAAATTTCATGATATCAAATAATCTGCCACGAAATATCTTGTCATAGAAGTCTATAGCAGGATTTGTGTCAAGATTGCAGACTCACCATAGCATAAGTTCTGAAAGTGGATTACTTCGTTCGCGTGGGTTTTCAGGTAGCTCATCTGCTTTTGTTGTTTGCATTTTGTTTTCTTTTTATTTATTTACATCGAGCAGATGAGTCCAATTTGCACTTCTGCTCAACCATATAAGTATTGAATTACACCAAACACACGCTTTCAAATATATATTCGATTTGAGATTGTGTATATGCACATATACATTTAGTTGGGGTACGTGTGTAAGGCCATTCTATAGAATTTTCTATATACAATTACAGAACTATTCCACTGTGCGAATGTGCCAGTCGAATTTTGTCAGAGATGCCGCGCTTATCGTAAAATACCGGTATCAAACAATATTGCCTTCACAATAAAAACAAGATCACGATTTGCATATATATAAGTCATTTAATTACACAAGAAAATATCCAGATAAGAACATTATTATACAATTTAAAGAAACTACAAATTGTGTTGAAAACTGTTTATGCCCAGCTGTTCACTCTCCCGCCGCCAAATACGTTCTACGTGCCAGCTGGCCGACTGCCGCCTTTTATTGGAACAGCCAACTGTTGCGGACGCTCTCTTTAAAGCTTTCACTCTTTATGTAAAGCTTCTCTCGAACGTGTGTGTTTTAAGGGAGCTTTTAAGCTTGCCTTTCGCAGGTTTTCCTAGATTATTTGTAATTCTTATCGGGCAATACGTTTATTGGTCATTATCTTTAATTTGACGGGTGATAAGATATTCAAATGATATTATGATGGGAACAGATAATATGTTTATATTTATTAATGAAAAAACCGAATTTGGAATAAGTGATAACATAAACAAATTTAAATTGTATGTTGGCAACTGAAATTACGAATAAAATAAACATTTAATACTTTAGTTATGTATTCAATACATTTATTTAATAACAGTCTCTTAAGAAAACTTTCCACCGTTTTGTTGTCACTTAAGTCTAATTAAAGTGAGCTTTAACACGCATATTGAGCAATCATAGGCCCTACGCAGCTTTCAACTTTATGGATTCCACATGGGCCTATAAATAGATATTAAAAATATTTATATAATTCCTTGCATTTGTATTGTTGTCACAGAATTAAATACTCGCCTTCTCCGCTATCTTAAATAGATTTTCATAGGTTTTCTGACCCGTCTCCATAACCATGCTGTGGAAGATCTTCGATTCGCATTCTTTTAGCAACTTGTATGGCGAGCCAAACTCGACCATCTGACCAGCATCCATGACTATCACCTTGTCCGAGTCCATAATTGTGTTCAGCCTATGGGCTATCGTCAACACTGTGCATTCCCTGAACTTGTTTCTGATAGTCGTCTGGATGAGCGCATCTGTCTGTGGATCCACATTGGCTGTGGCCTCATCCATTACTAGAATGCGATTCTCGCGAAGAATAGCGCGCGCCAGGCATACCAATTGCCTCTGCCCCACACTGAAGTTGGTGCCACCCTCGGAAATCTTACTCTGAAGTCCATTTGTAAATTCGCTGATGACAGGTTTCAGTTTGACCTCCTCCAGAGCATCCCACAACTTAGCGTCGCTATACTCCTCAAATGGATCCAAATTATAGCGCATGGTACCCGTAAAGAGCACTGGCTCCTGAGGTATAATGCTAATTTTACTGCGCAGATCGTGAAGTCCAAGCTCGTTTGTGTTGCGGCTATCGATGATGATGGAGCCATCATTATAGGACAGGCGGAATAGGGCGTTGATGAGTGACGACTTGCCTGCACCTGTGCGGCCCACAATGCCCACTTTCTCCATTGGTTTGATCTCGAAGTTGAGAGACTTAAGTACATACTTGGATTGAGGATCGGGTGAGTAACGAAGACTCAGATCGTCAGCCACAATTTGACCTTGCTCTGGCCATGTGGGTGGGGGCTTTTTGCTTGGTTGGGATTCGAACTCGCCTTCAGGCTCAATATCATCATATTCCAATATGCGCTCCACTGCTGTCATTGTGGTGTCTAGTTCGGCGGATTGGGTCATGCCATACTGCACCATTCCTGCCAAACTCATGGCCTGGGTAATAGCCAACCCAACCTCACCAGGCTTGGTAGGTGGGTTGATGAAGTAGTTAAGTACAATGATGATTGTATATAAGGCACAAAAGAAATCCACATAGTAACCAAAAGCACGACTTGTGGACAGAAAAGTGTAGTAGCCAGAGCTGTGTAGATCTTGAAGATTGTCGAACTCGGCTATTAGTGCCTTCTGAGCGCCGAGTGCTCTGATTGTGGTAAGTCCATTAAGTGAAGTGCTCAGATGAGAATAGATGGGAGACCTGGCAACTGCCTCCAAACGTTTAACATCTCTCGACGTCTTAAGATAGAATTCTCTGAGATAATAGAAGATGACACCTAATACAAAAGTTAGTATTAGATAATATGGATTGGTTATACAGATGACAACAATGACGCCTGCCAATGTTAGAAAGATCTGCAGCACATCCAGCATAATTGTGGGCAGCACTTCATCTAGTTGTCCCAGATCCTTGGAGAAACGATTCAGTATACGACCCGATGGGTTCGTATTAAAGAAATACATAGCTGCCCTGGAAATGCCCCTGAACATGGAATTGTGCAACTGTATGGAGCTTCGCCTCGCCATTGTATAGAAGAGAATTGGACACATTACGCTGAGTACAATTGCAGCTACATTGAGTGCAGTGAAGTAGTACATATCGATAGGATCGTAATTGACGTCTGAGTTTTTCTTTGTCTTGTCAACCCTAATAAGAAGATCGTTATTATCAATCAAACTATTAACAAGTTACTAACCAGTAGGAGAGGAATACATCCGTTGCAGAGACGACAACTTGTGTGCCAATACATAGAACAATCATAAATAATATCAAGAGCCAACCGCTGCCCGATGAAAAATATTCCTTATAGAGACCTAAACTGACTTTGCCTTCAACGCGAGTCTCTTGCGGAACCAGGGCTGTGTCCTGTATAACGGAGTCTGCCAGAGAACTCAGAGATGCGAAACTGTCAGTGCGTGAGGCTTGGCGGCTGGTTTTTGAGTGCAAACTAACATGGTCGCCTGCATCGCCCTTCTGTTCCCCCACCGCCTTTTCATCGGCCTTATTTATATCGGTTAACAGTTGTGCAAAGTCCAGGCCACTGTGCTGCATCGTTGCATATGTGCCCATTGCACTGATCTTGCCCTTGTCCATGATAACAATGAGATCGGCGTGCTCCAGAAACTGCAGCTGATGTGTGACCAATATAACCAACTCGTTTTTAAGATACCCTCTCATGCACTGGTCGAACAGATGACGACCCACATGTGTATCCACAGCACTGAGTGGATCGTCAAGTAGGTAAATGTCCGCCCTTCGATAGACAGCCCTGGCCAGGCTGATGCGTGCTTTTTGTCCTCCCGAGAGCGAAGCTCCTCGCTCGCCAACGATCGTCTTGTCACCTTGAGGAAGTAGTTCAAAATCTCGCTCTAGCGCACACTTCTTGACCACCGTCCGATAACGATGCTTGTCCAGGGCTAATCCGAAGAGAATGTTTTCGCGGACAGTGCCAGTGAAGAGCCAGGGTTCCTGCGCGGCATAGGAGAATCTGCCGCTGACTTTGACACTGCCTTTTTCAGCAGGAAGCTCGCCAAGAATCGATTGGATCAAACTCGACTTGCTTGCGCCAACGGGTCCTATAACTGCAACCAGTTGTCGGCGACCCAATTTTAGATTGATATTTGTTAGAGTATTTTCTGAGGCTTTGGTATCCCACTTGGCATGGAACTGATTGAACTCTACGAGCGTCTCTTCATCGATATCTTTTGTTTCTGTATTTCCATTGTCTTTGCTTATCATTGCATCATTTTCTTTATCGACTTCTTTATCAAAATCATATTCTGTTAGTGCATTCGATTTGTCCTGAACTTGAGTCTCTACTCTATTCATGAACGTCTCCAGGCGTTTGATTGATACCTTGGCTTCCGCTAGTTGTGTGATGCTTAGTGGGAAAAAGTTAGTGACTGCTCGCTGCAGAAAGTTGTAGTAGGCTGTGATAAAGAATGCGTCGCTAGCATTCAACACGCTTTCTAGCAGCACGAAGCCCACCAGACTGACAAAGGTAAGGGTGCGGGATAGGCACATGCCAAAGGCAATAAGGACTCCTCTTATATAATTGACTTTCTTGATGCAGTTCATCTCCTTGCCACGCATTAGTTCGACTAGTTTGCCCAAAGGCTTCTCCCAGGCGTACATCTTGATTACTTGAATGCCGGAGATAAATTCGTTCATCATTCGTACTCGTTCGTCCGTACGCAATGCTGTCATCAGACGTAGTCCTGATGTTTTTTTTGCCAAATAGGCTTGAAAGGGTAGGAAAAGCAACATTATAGCAACTCCAAAGAAGGACGCGACGCCGATCTGTAATTATTTTAAAAATAAATTGATACGCTATAACGGTCATTCAACGACTTACCTTTTGATACATCAAAAATGTAACTGCAAAGAGTTCGATTGGAGCTAGCCATAGAAAGTGTCCGGTAAAGAGAAATAAATCAAAGCGACCGACATCGTTAGACAATAGGTTAACCACCTGACCTATCGATGTATCCCCCAGGGCTGTATGGTTCAGGCGCAATGCTTTTCTATACATCAAGCTACTCAGCGCCACACGCATTTTCATACTTAGATGAAGAACACCTAATAAAAATGGATGCCCACTAACAACGGATAGCACTGAGGCACCTATGAGGCCTGCTGCATAAAGTTGTGCTTTTACGGGATCTGTATCCTGGCCAGAAAAGTACTGCATAATACCATATAGGCACATTGGCTGGGTCATTCTATAAAGAGTTCCACATAAATAAATGTCGCATAGTGCCTTAAAATGAACTTACTTCGTTGCAAAGTCTCGCAGTCCCAGCAGTAGTCCAGTTATAAACACATGCCAACCAAACACTCGAATCATAACGCGGCCCAAACGTGGTTGCTTATTCTGAGCCGTTCTTTGACTGACTTCCTTATCCCAAGCAGCGCTTAAGCGATCACCGAGTGTGTCTACAGGGAGGGGAGAAAGGGATGCTTTAAATAACTGTTATATTTTCCAACGAATCGATAGTTTTGCAGCTATCGATAGCTACTATTTGAGTTTAATATATTTGAATTTGTTTATCACACATTACACTATCAACGATTTATTTAAAAAACTTATACTGAAAAATGCAAGTCATGGTATTATAATTATTATCTATTCAAGAAATATCTTATTTAAACACACTCACCAGATTTGTGCTCTTTTAGTGGCTGGTACAGATCAGGCTGTTCCAAAGTCTTCTTGCGGCCCTTTAACATTACGGGAAACACAAAGCTTTAAGACATACATAGAAGATAAGAATAAAATCGTTTAAGGTCAGTCAAATAAAAACTGTTATAATAAAAAGATAACTCTAATATATTATATGATTTATAATATATTTTACTTATATATTTTGCCTAGTCTATACGGAAAACCATATGTGTTATATCTGTACATCAGCCTTAGCTGAGTGTGAGCA